CTTTTCCCATGAATACTCAATTCATGTATTTTGTGCATTTCTCCTAACCAAGAACAGAAATACCTCTGTATTTATTCAAATATTTGTATCCATTAGCAGCATTTTGGTTGTCCTCATATAGATCTTGTATAGGTATGTTAAATAAAACTGGTTTTTAAATTGACATATACATAAAAACTAATAGTTGAACATCATTTCTAAATTACTGTCATCCTCTCAATCTGTAAAATTGGAAGTTTCATTAAAATTCCACAAGGCGGCAGACTGGTCCCATTATATCTGGCAAGTGAACTGATTTAAATACATTCTAGATAGTCCCAGTATTGGTATCCCCAAATATAAAAAAGCTTTCTAAGTCAGCATAAGAAATCTATGAGTATTTTCTCCAAGAAACAGCTTTACAAATGATGGTTAATTTTGTAAATCAGTTCAAAAAGCTTATCATTAAATTAGCTATAGAATTTTTTAAAGTTTCATAATAATTTTAATATATTTTATTGACTTCTTACAGAGAGGAAGGGAGAGGGATAGAGAATTAGAAACATCGATGAGAGAGAAACCTCGATCAGCTGTCTCTTGCACAGCCCCTACTGGGGCAGGACTGGGGCATGAGGGAACAAAGAATTTTCAGTAACCACCAGAGGCTCACCCCAAAGACAGTGATCAGCACCCTGTCTTGGTCTGGTGCCCCCGCTCACCAGCTCCACCATCCTGCAACGGCCAATGCCCACCATGTTCTGTGCTCTGCCACCTGCTGCTGATGCCTGCCATGATCTGCGTGCGCCCCCTGGTGGTCAGCACACATCATAGCGATGGGTTGTTCAGTCTATTTGCATATTAGGGTTATATATAGAGATTATTTTTTTTAATTGATTGATTTATTGGAGAGTAAGACAGAGAGAAACAGCAATCTGTTGCCTCCTGCACACCCGACTGGGGACTGAGTCCACAAACTGGGCATGTGACCTAAGAATTGAACCAGCAACATTTCAGCGCACAGGATGACATTCAACTGAGCTACACGGGCCAGGGTGATCATAACATTATATACTGTTGAGCTTGATTTGCTAGATATAAGAATTGTAAATTGTAAATTCTATATTCATTTTTTCATTTGTATCCTGTGAGATTTTATGAGGTTCTGGGACTTTCTCCAACTCGAAGCTGCAAGTTAGCTGTTACGGTTTTGTGGGTAATGGCAGAAGACATGAGATTCCTGGGACACAAAAAACTTTTGCTCATAGCATAGCAAGTAGTGCAAACATCATTTATATAAGTACCTCTTTTTTTAAATCCTCACCTGAGGATACTTTTTCTGCATTGATTTATAGAGAGAGTGTGGAAGGGAGAGGGAGAGACAGAGAGAAACACCAATGTAAGAGAGACACATTGGTTACCTCCCGCATGACCCTGACCAGTGCCAGAGTCTGCAACAGAGGTATGTGCTCTTGACCGGAATCAATCCCAAGACCCTTCAGATAGGCTGACGCTCTACCCACTGAGCTCACTGAGGTAGGGCTTTTAAAAATATATATATTTTTATTGATTTCAGAGAAGGGAGAGGGAGAGAGAAATAGAAACATCAATGATGGGAGAGAATCATTGATCAGCTGCCTCCTGCATGCCTCACACTGGGGATTGAGCCTGCAACCTGGGCATGTGCCCTGACTGAAATCAAACCATGACCTTCTGGTTCATAGGTTGATGCTCAACCACTGAACCACGCCAACTGGGCTGTATCAGTACCTCTGGACTCTCCAGTTTCCACAGAAGCAAAGTGAACAGTCTCAGGTGGATGCAGCACAGGTTGAGTTTGTGTAGCAGTTGAGCTTGGGGAATTCACCTCTTGTACAAGACCTGATCTTTGTTTCAGATCTCATTCTTCAAGGTTGTTCACTGAAAAATGGCCCTGACGGAGTGGCCAGGGCCTTACATTCCTGACATAGCTGGCAAGAATGTATAGTCTTTTTTTTTTTGAGAGTCTTGAGGGCCAAGATACATTGTCTTTCTCAGCATGGTTTGTATCAAGGTTACACTGACCTTAATGAGCACAATGAATGTCCTTTTTTTCCCCCCTCTAATCCCAGAAATGACTTTGTTAAACTAGGGGTTGGTGTTGCTTGAAGTTTTGGTAAAATTCACAGCGAACAATGCTTTATTTTGCAGAAGGGACGGCAGAATTTTGATGTGGTAATCATTTTAACAGTAACTATTTTTTTCCCCCGAGTGAACATTTGTATTTTCCCCAAAAATTAATCCGTAACATTTTCAAATATATAGTCTATGATTTATTGAACCTACTATATTTTTATTTATGCCTCCTTTTCATTGAAGATCTATATTTGTACTTTTTCTTTTTCTACCAGTCTGGGTCCTCCCTCCCCTTCAACCCTCCCACTGCATCCCCAAAGATCAACTTTTAGTCCATATATTTTTTAAAAATATATTTTGATTTTTTTTTTTTTTTTTTTTTACAGAGAGGAAGGGAGAGGGATAGAGAGTTAGAAACATCGATGAGAGAGAAATATCCATCAGCTGCCTCCTGCACACCCCCTACTGGGGATGTGCCCACAACCAAGGTACATGCCCTTGACTGGAATTGAACTTGGGACCTTTCAGCCCGCAGGCTGTCGCTCTATCCACAGAGCCAAACTGGTTAGGGCTTGGTCCATATTTTAATTTGCATTTTCCTCTTGTCTCCATTCTCCCCCACACAGAGCCATGGGAACTAATTACTTAAATCTTCCACATATTCACTAATGGGCTCAAACTGGAGTAGGAACTCGTTCCTATTCATCCTGTTTTGTGGGCTGGTCCAGCACACCTCCACCTTCAGAATCTCTGTGAAAGTAGTAGATACAAATCTGTATTCCCCAAACTTGAGGAGCATTTCCAACTATTCCAGTACTCCCTTCCCTTGCACTGGCAGTAGCACTGGAGCAGGTCTGTGGGCTTCTGCCCCAGAGTAATCCTTCAGCCAGAGATGCCACATCCCATCCTCTCAGGCACCCCCAATCCAAGTAATTCTCTTGTTACCCATCCCCAGCCCTTTTGCTTGGTTTGAGGAATAAAATGCTGGTCCAATCGTCTCTCAATAGACCCTAGGAGGGAATAGGGCAGTGATGGCAAACCTTTTGAGCTCGGCGTGTCAGCATTTTGAAAAACCCTAACTTAACTCTGGTGCTGTGTGACATACAGAATTTTTTTGATATTTGCAACCATAGTAAAACAAAGATTTATATTTTTGATATTTATTTTATATATTCAAATGCCATTTAACAAAGAAAAATGAACCAAAAAAATGAGTTCGCGTGTCACCTCTGACATGCGTGTCATAGGTTCACCATCACTGGTATAGTGTCTTGTTCAATTATCTCTGATTCTCTTTAGAATATAGGATATCAATGTCTCTTCTTTAAGGCTCTGGTTGTTAAAAAAAAGAAAAGAAAAAAGGGGGATAACATGGAACAAACTGTGGACCGATTAGTTTTTGAGGTGTCCTTTGAAGAAAACCTAGTATCTCAAATTCACAGAAATGGAAAGTAGAATGGTGGCTACTAGGGGCCGTGGGAGGAGAATGTAGGTTGCTTAATGGGTATACTGTTTCAGTTCTGCAAGGTGAAAAGATTCTGGAGATCCATTGTACAAAAATGTAAATATACTTAAAATTACTGAACCATCTAATCTAATAAAAGACAAAAAGGGTAATTGACCATACCTTCGCTACGCTTCCCATTGGCTAATCAGGGCAATATGCAAACTAACTGCCAAGAAAGATGGTGGTTAACCGCCAAGAAAGATGGAGGTTAATTTGCATATGTAGGCGCCAAGCAATGGAGCGAAGCTGGCTAGCCCCGGGTAAGAGCAGTGAGCGAAGGCTGACGTGGCGAGCGAAGAGCAAAGAGGGAAGCCCGCCGCACCGGCCTCCGCCACGCCTCCGGAGCCCACGCGCAGCGAGCGAGGGGCTAAGCCCCTTGCCCGCCGTGCCGGCCCCTGCCGGCGAAGAGCAAAGGCCTGGGTTCTGGGCGCCGGAGGAAAACTGCTTCCAGCAGCCAGGAGAAGGGGCCCCCAAGGGGCCCCAGACTGCGAGAGGGCACAGGCTGAGCTGAGGGACCCACCCGAGTGCACAAATTTTTTTTAAAATATATTTTATTGATTTTTTACAGAGAGGAAGTGAGAGAGATAGTTAGAAACATTGATGAGAGATAAACATTGATCAGCTGCCTCCTGCACATCTCCTACTGGAGATGTGCCCGCAACCCAGGTACATGCCCCTGACCAGAATCGAACCTGGGACCTTTCAGTCCGCAGGCCGACGCTCTTTCCACTGAGCCAAACCGGTTTTGGCCGAGTGCACAAATTTTTGTGCACTGGGCCTCTAGTCCTATATAATAAAAGGGAAATATGCAAATAGATCCAACAGCAGAGCAACCACTCAAAGCATAATATGCTAATGATATGCTAAGGTTGTTCAACCACTCGCTATGATGTGCACTGACCACCAGGGGGCAGATTCTCTGACCAGTAGGTTAGCTTGCTGCTGGGGTCTGGCTGATCGGGACTGAGTGAGATGGGCCAGACATGCCCTGGAGCCCTTGCGCGGACCCACCCTGGTCTGATCATGCACCGATGGGGTCCCTCAGCCTGGCCTGCACCCTCTCGCAATCCGGAACCCCTCAGGGGATGTCAGAGAGCCAGGTTCAGCCTGATCCCGCAGGCCACTCACCTTGGGAGGGCACCGATGCAGGGCTCACGGCTGGCGAGCGCTGCTGAGGCAGCACAAGCCTCTCCCGATAGGGACTGACTGGGTGGCAGGCACAGTGGGGCTGGGATGAGTAGGAGCAGCAGGTGGGAGCTGAAGGCGGCATTGGACTGCAGGTTTTGGCCTGATCCCTGCAGGCCACCCAGAGGGGCCCTACCCATGCACGAATTCGTGCACTGGGCCTCTAGTATATTTTAAAATGCTCAAGATGGTTAAAAGAAGTATCAGACATTTAATATCAAGATGACATGGGGATTTTATTTTGTAGAAAAGCAACATCTAAAGAATTCCACAGACAGCCCTAGTATGTCTAAAGTACTATACTGTATATAAACATGTCATAATGAAAACACTGAAGCACTGAACGATACCAAAGTACTTCCTGAATCCAGAGTCAAAATAAACTCAGTATGGTTTTAACGTCCTTTTCTCAAAGTCCTAATACGCTGACATTTGGTAAACCAGGTAACTAGCCAATTACAACTTCGGGTAATACGTAACTTGGTGATGTCTAAATCTTCTGGCAATACAGAAACTTGCTCACACTCATCTGGTATATCTCCACACAAATATTTTAAAATTTAAATTTTTTGGTCAAGTGGTATAGTGTTTGTATTAATTAATTATATTTAGATGTTTCCATTATAAAGTTAAATGTACAACTAAATTAGTAAAAAGTGCTTACTATGGTTTTATGGGAACATTAATACTCTGACAAAAATGTTTACACATGTGCTCTATACTAATATTGCCTTTTTAATTTAAATCTAAATTTTCCTTCTATTTTACAAACACTTGTGTGATTTTTTTAAAAATAAATTTATGTCTTAATCCTCACATATTTTTTGCCCCTCCTTATTTCTTAACTTAAATTCAGTACAAGCTTTATTGGCATCTTAGGCTTCATGAGTATTCTTACTCCTGAACACAAGCAGTTCTATGGAGCCCTAAAATCCAGCATGGGAATTACTGTTAAATTAATTCTAGAAAAAACATTAAAGACATTTTTCTTGAAATATGCAGAACATGTCATGCCAAATCTCTTGTTTATACAATAGACTGGTAAAACCGGTAAATTGCATATATATAGATTATATTCCCCAAATAGAATAACTTAAATATTAAAATGTACCTTTAGGTTACCACCAAAACTGACCTTATAAGCATAACAAATGGCAATATTCCATACAAAAATCACAAAATCCACTTACTTTAAATGCTGAATATCACAGTAACTACTCTCATCTCCCTATGACCTATTCAAACTATAGACAGCATTTTTTTAAGCTACTCTACCATTTATACCCTAATTAGAAATTTATACGGAACACAATTTTATGTTCAAATATGGAAATAAGCAACATTATTCCAAATCCCAAAAGCATCCCAGCATTCTGTAAAAGGAAATATCCCCAGCGGCTACATCCATGGTCACTAGCATCATTGTGCAGCATCTCAGGTACCTTAGAGAAGAAGAAAAAAAAAGAGCAACTTTAAGTTTTCAAAACTACAGATTAGTTTTTATAAGCCTTTGCAGGACAGTTTATTTGTACTATATGTAGCTGGATATACTGAGTCAATTCCTTAAAACAAGATTACATACATACTGATTCTTGCTAATGTCACATAGCATTTCCTAGCAGTTTAATTAACAATGATTATTTACCATCTGTTTAGCAAGTCAAATTTATATTGGTCCCTGCTTCATGCCTCTATCTGAACAGAATATAACCTATGGCTTATCTGAGTTCAGATATATGAAAGCCTTACATTATATAAAATAAAATTTTAGTGCCCTGGCCCATGTGGCTTGGTTGGTTGAGCGTTGTCCCATGCACCAGAAGGTCTTGGGTTTGATTCCTGGTCAGGGCACATGCCCAGGTTGCGGGCTTGAGCTCCAGTAGGGGACGTGCAGGAGGCAGCTGATCAATGATTCTCTCTCATCAATGTTTCTCTCTTCCTCTCCTTTCCTCTCTCTCAAATCAATAAAAACATTTAAATCAGAATGGGGTAGATATTCCTCTGTATCCTCAGACACATTAAGCAGGATAAGAATGTGCTTGTGATCAACAATTCAAAAAGATAAACTCTAAAGGGACTGTATTTTATATTCTACCTTGTTGAGTATAGGATGACTTATCACTACTGCATTCAATCTAAAGCCTTTTTAAAAATAAGGTTTCCCTTAACAGTTTCTCTATTTTATTGCTAGTCAATACTATAATTTGACATCGTAAAAACTTACCATATCAACCAGAGCAACATACATGAATAAGCCAGCAGTAAGTGCAAATATCCACATAGAAACATTTTCAGCATAATGACCAATGAAAATTCCTGTTGCCATTCCAAGATATGCCAGCATGGCTGACAAAGCATTATAAAGAACAGCCTGCTTAACAGTCATGCCAGCCTTTAGTAAAACAGCAAAGTCACCTTTAACGAAAACAAAAAGGGGGATTAAGTAATTGAAAAATCATTTTAAAAACACATACCTAAGTCTTTGCCCTGGAAAGTTCTTAATAGTGGTTAGAGCGTCGGCCCACGGACTGGAGCAGCGGTTGCCAACCTTCCGGACCTCACGGGCCAGCAGTGGTCCGCGGACCACCATTTGGTGACTGCTGGACTGGAGGATCTCTGGTTCGATTCCCAGTCAAGGGCACAAACCTGGGTTGCAGGCTGGATCCCCGGCCCTGGTTGGGCACGTGCAGGAGGCAACCAATTGATGTGTCTCTCACATCTGTTTCTCTCTCCCCCTGCCTCCCAACTTCCCTCCTCCCTTCCACTCTCTAAAAATCAATCGAAAAAAATATCCTTGGGTGAGGATTAATCAAAACAACAAACAAACCAAACAAAAACAACAACACATACCCAAAAGACTTCACAGATTTAAGAAATTACCTAAAAATTTTTTAGAAATTATCTAATTTTTAAGAGGAAAACAACAATGTAAATCACTCTAACAGCTCTATACACTAAGATTTTTTTATCCAAAGTTTTTCTGAATGCTCCCACTTTGTTATGAGTGATACAAACCTACTATTACTATGCTCTTACACTGTCTTTAAGGAGCTTATAATTGGCCATAAACTGGAGGACCATGGAGAACACACATGAAATGATCAGCAAATGATAAAGGCAATTTATAATTAAGAGCTAAAGAGTCTAATGTTCTAGTTATACAAGGAGAAAATGAGATACATTAAGATGGGAATACTTAAGGCTTCATGGAGCATGAAGGATCCAGAACAGAACATAAACCAGATGTTGATTATAAGCACTGAGCAGTCAAGTGGGAGGCCTTCTGAGTGGCAGAACACATGCCAAAGAATGGAGTGAAAATAGTGTCACGGTGTGTGCAAATATGTGTTTATAGGGAAAAAACAAGGACATGACCAGATCCAGAATAACTTCGGGAAGGGGTTTTTCTTCAGCTCCAAAGAGATTCTCTCTGTTAAGGGAAAATGACTCATTTGATTCCCGTGGTCTAATTCATACTGTGTGTATGAAGAAATGACCACTGAGGTGTGTCAGTATGCTGGCATAAGAAAATAGTAGGGGAAGAGAATGTGAAAGGAGGCCCAGGTACCTCTTTGGCAACCCCACATAGGCAACTGTGTAATTGTACTTATAGGGTCAGAATTCTGGCTGGAAACAAACTTATATTCATTAAGAAAAGAAAGCTAGCTAGGTTAGCAGACTTAAGAGAAGGCATAAAAGTTATGAGGAAGCAAAAGCTAGTGACACTCAGACAATTTAGCCATCTGGAAAATACCATTTATATGGTTCTCTTACCTAATTCATGAGGCAACTCGTGACAAAACACAGCAACAGAAGTACTTAAACCACTCGATAAACCCTCAGTGAAAGCAGCACCTGTGTAAAAATCAACCAGAAAAAGACTGACTACATTATTTTATCGGTGTGTTTGTAAAAAAAAAAAAAAAATCTTACCAGCATACAAAATGAGGTAAAAGAAATAAACCGTATTCTGGTTGTAAATAAACAGAACTTGCCCAACTGCACTCTGTATCCTTGTAAGTAACCCTAGATAACATTCAATTAAGTTTAAATTTCCAATGGAGTGCATGCTGGTATGATTAAGAAGGGAAAGTTTCACTATGCATTATAAAAACCTGAGAAGTAATTGCTACTGCATCAAACACTTATTTAAAAATATAAAATAAACTGATTTAAAAGGTTTAGAAAAAAAAACTCATCAGTCAAGAGTACAAATTGTTTTACTGGCCTCAGAGGAATTCACTACGTAATCAGACTTATTTACATTCATTCTTTCACTGTCTCATAAAAAGAGTCTAGGACAAATAGCTCTCCTCCTTTTAAAAGCTAACATATTATACAACTGGTCATGTATAAACCATGACTGAGTATTTGAGTATTCTCTGTTGCTCAGGCTGTGCACAATACATAGAGGGGGAAGAGCACCAGGCTCCCAGGGAGCCAAGGCCTGGGCTCATCTCAAACAGCACTATCTCCTTGGGCAAGTGGTTCACCTTGCCAGGCCTCAGCTGCCTAATTTATAGCTATTTCCATGGTTCCTTTTAGCACCAAGTTACTAAAATTTGTAAGTACGTATTCTATAATCTCCTATTTGTGGTATAACAATTTAATAGCAAAAACTCTATAGTTCTTTGGATAGAGATTGGTAACTGAACTTATCAGATATAGAATCCTTTATAGCATGAAAGCAAAGCTGATAGAACAGATTCTTTACTTTAATAAATACTGTTTATATTGCAGATAAGAGAACTTAAATGAATAGGGGACAAAACTCACACATGCTCCAAACACATTGGAACCTGATCTTAAGACCTTGCAAATTAAAACAACTTTTGGTAGTTACAATATAGGTAAATGGAGAAAGCACAGCTCTTTTCATTTTATTATTTCACTGTCAAAGTAGCCAAAGAAGAAACAACATTTTGATAATCAACCAATAAGAGGCAAATATGTAGATGTGTACCAATTGCTAGGCCATCACTGAAATTGTGCAGGCCATCGCCCATTATCACCATCCATGCCAGTGTGGCAATGCCAGCATCTTTCAGCTCCTCCCGAGAGTAGCGCTGACTGTGACTGTGGGGGTGGTGGTTTTGGTGGTGGTGGTGATGAAGAATATGATGGTAGTCATGATGGTGGTGAATGAGATCATCTGACTGGCCCAGTGTATCATGGAAATGCGAGTGGCATTTATTCTTGCACCCTTTGGGTACATATTCATTATAGACTTCCTGTGGGTGTGCATGGGCTATCATGACCTCTTCTTCTTCCAAGATTGCTGGCTGCTGAGAATCAAAGTGGGAGGGCTCCTGTGAGTCTGCTCGTAAATAGCTTTCAGGTCCTGGGTATAAACAAAAAGGACACATTTCAAACATTTCCACTGACAATTAAGGTAAAAAAGATCTTAAAATGGAGCAACTCTCTCCCATATACCTGAAGGTCTAAACATTAGATTATTAGTATTATTTTTTTAATATATTTTTTATTGCTTTCAGAGAGGAAGGGAGAGGGAGAGATAGAAACATCAATGACGACAGAGAGAATCATTGATCGGCTGCCTCCTGCATACCCCCTACTAGGGATCGAGCATGCAACCCGGGCATGTGCCCTTGACCGGAATCAAACCTGGGACCCTTCAGTTGCAGGCCAACACTCTATCCACTGAGCCAAAACTAGCTAGGGCCATTCGAGTATTATTGATGAAAAAAACATTAACAGGTTTTAATGAATTTTAAAAATTAAATGGTCTCACATATTAAGAATTGATTTTAAACATTAACCTTCAATAACTACTCCTCAGATCCTCCCTTAATTTCTTCTGCCTCCTTATAAACAACCTACTCACTGACAATTAAAAAATGTATGAGTCAAAAAAAAAGAAAAGAAAAAGAGGGACATGGTTCCATCCTTCCATAGAGTCCAAAAAGAGCAAGGAGTTCTCTCCAACCCTCAGATTCATAAGGACTTACGATCATCTGCGTCTACTTTCTCCTCATTTGTTGAAAGTTGAGATTCATACTTGGACAACCGCTTCTTAATCTCCTCGTCATCATCATTTTCAGTTTTTTTCTGATTCTAACATAGCAAGGGAAAGAAATACTTTAATGGGGATTGAGCCAGTGACCCAGGCATGTGCCCTTGACCAGAATCGAACCCGGGGACCCAGCGGTCCGCAGGCCAATGCTCTATCCACTGAGCCAAACCGGCCAGGGCGGAAAGAAATACTTTAAAATAGCTGGTTTGCTTATGCGTACAACTTTAAATAGACACTTAAACAAAAGATACAGAAAAAACCTGCAGAGTTACAAACCTTCATTGGAATAAAGTCCACCTAAAAGGACAAGGCCTGTATTTAACTTGCACAGCACCCAGCAATGTATCCTAGGCACAGTAACTGTTCAAAAGGCGAAGAATCAGTGCCTCAGTAATATGAAATGTAGAAGAATCACACTCATCTTTATGAATGTCCCCGAGGTCATCTACTCTAAGTGTGGTCTTACGTAAGCAGCACAGCATCCCCTGGGAGCTTGTTTGAAATGCACAATCTCAGACCTAATGAATCAGATGGGGATTTTAACTAGATCCCCGTGACCCACATACACATTAAAATTGAGCTCTGCCTCAGGTTATCAATTTAGAACCAGTTAGAGAGCATTTTCTTCAGGCATTTAGTAATCTGCTAACCAATGCTAGGTTTTCTCCATCTCTCTTTTGTATGCTGAAAATCCGTACTTCCCATACTTTTTACATCCTAAAACTATACTGTGACACTGCTATGTATTTATTATTATAACTAAAATTCTTTTCATATAATATAACACCATTAACAAGCTTTCTCCTTTGAAACAAATCTCAGCCTTGAATTTATAATTAGGGTTTTAACCACTATGCTTGAGATACTGTTCCTATCTCTGAGCCCAAGCAAAAGGTCACTGTTTAAACCAGAGGTCGCCAACCTTTCGGACCTTACGGACCACCAGTTGGGACCGCTGGTTTAAACAATGGTACTAACTTATATAGAAGATAATATTCAAAATACTAAAAATGTCACACAAAAATTACATTTATTTGTAGTACCTTTGAATATGACTTAAACAATCACTATTATATCTAAGATTTCATTCTAGTTCTGACAGTGTATAAGATATCTGTACATTCTTAGGTTTGTGGATGAAAAAGAGGCTCTATAATAAATCTGACAAGTGCAGTGACTAAAAGTAACCTCACAGGATAATTGATCTGATCATAAATTTCTAACTGGGAAGGTTATGGTCTATAACTTCCCTTGTGAACTGTTACCTTTGCCTTAAGTAAGCCCTGTTCATTGTTTTTGTACATCTGCTAACATACCTTTGAAATGCCTCTTTTTCATTCCCTTTAGGAATGGAACCAGAACCACCTCAGGAGAGCACATAATCTTGTCAACCATCCTGTATTGAATCACAGATATTTCCTGGCCTTGCTCTTTCACTTCAAGTAATCTTCCTTACTTCCCTCCTTAATTCCAAATGCATAAAAGAAATTTCAAGCTCTCATTCTGGGAAGCATTGTTCTCAGTCTGATGAGATCCTGCTCCCAGGCATGTCCTGTTTGGCTCAAATAAATTCTGATAAACTCATAAAAATGTCCACAGTTTTGTATGTTCTTACATCAACAGGTTGTAAGAATTTTTAAAGACAAGCACACACACAAATCTTTATACCTACCCTTAACACAATACCTCAAACAGAGGGAGTATTTAAATATCTGTGAACATAAACAATTCAGGGTATTTTAAATAACTTCACTTGATGCTTCATTTCTCGTTGGGCAATGACTCTCTCTCGAGAACTTACAGATCTTAATGAATTCCTTTACTCCTTAAGTATTAAGGGCCTATAATGTTCCCTTGCTAAGCACTGGCAATACACGTAAAATAAGAAACAAAGGGTCTCTGTTCTCACAGAGCTTATCACCTACAGGGAAGGCGGAGGCTTTACACAGATAATGATTACACAATTCTTTGATTGCATTTACAAAGAAAAAACACAGAGTGCTCTGAGAGTGTATAACAGGACAATACCACGTCTCAGGACAGGCTTCCTCCAGAAAGTGATATTTGTACCAAGACCTAAAGATGAGCAGGGGTTTGCTGGGGAAGGGTGAGAGAGACAGTATTCCAGGCAGGGAGAATAGCATGTAGGAGGGCCAGGAAGGGGCCAGCCCATCTTTAACAGAAAGAAGGACAAGGTGGTTGGGGCCTAGTAGGTTAGAGACAGGGTGGCTAGAGATAAGGCTGGGCAGCTGAGGAGACCAGACAATGCAAACTGGTTATACTGTAAGAGTTGTGGCTACAAGCAATGAGAAATCACTAACGGAGGGATTTTTAAGTAGTGGGGTCCAACCTCATTAGATTTTCATTTAAACAAATCACTCTGCCTGGATTAGAAGACAAAATAATGTCAACATGTCCATTAGGAGGCAACTATTGTCACCCAGGAGGGAGATAAGGATGGCATGAACTAGAATAGCAAGGAAGATGGAGAGAAATGGAAAAATTCTAGATATATTTAATATAACTAGGTTGAACATGAGGAGGGAGATGTCATTGATGATTCTGATTTCCAGCATGAGCAATAACCTTTACTGGCAGAAAGTTTGATGTTGAACTGTTTTAACTAACTACTAGTATATCAAGTATGAAATGTAACCCTAATTTTAATAGAGATTTCAGATTGTCATAGATGGCAAATAACCTAAAACTATGATATAAAGTGGTGCAGGATGGATGTCTTAAGGAAAATCCTAGGTAAAATGTTCTGTTATGGGTCTAAAGAGCTTTAAATACCATGTAATGAATAGCTTTTTTTCTTTTTAAAGAACCAAATGAGATTAAATAAGATCTGGATGTCTTTGAAAAAAGACACTCAATCTAAAAAGGAAGAGGACAATGTTGGCAAAACTCCCATCTAGAAATTATGTTTACTTGCTGTTTTATGTTTCTTACACATTCAACAACTATTTTTTTAATAATCTTTTTTTTTTTAATATATTTTATTGATTTTTTTTTTTAAATTTTACTTGTCTTTTTTTTTTTTTTTTTTTAATATATTTTATTGATTTTATACAGAGAGGAAGGGAGAGAGATAGAGAGTCAGAAACATCGATGAGAGAGAAACATCGACCAGCCGCCTCCTGCACATCCCCCACCGGGGATGTGCCCACAACCCAGGTACATGCCCTTGACCGGAATCGAACCTGGGACCTTTCAGTCCGCAGGCCGACGCTCTATCCACTGAGCCAAACCGGTTTCGGCTTTTTAATAATCTTTTATGTGCCAGTCACTATTCTAGGAATTGGAGATGTAGCAGTGAACAAGATAAAGAGGTCCTGGCTCTTAAGAGCTTACATTCTAGTAGAAGCTATTTTAGTTTAGAACAGGGATTATCAAACTTTGACTACAATCTACAGTAATATATACATAGTAATATATATACTATACTGTAGTATTTCTTTAAAGCATATTTTTATTGATTTCAGAGAAGAAGGTAGGGACAGAAACATCAATGATGAGAGAGAATCGTTGATCAGCTCCCTCCTGCATGCCCCTCTCTGGGGATGTGCCTTGACCAAAGAACCACAACTTTCTGGCTCATAGGTTGATGCTCAACCACTGAGCCACGCCAGTCAGGCTACTGTTGTATTTAAAAACATTGATACAAGATCGATTTCACACTCATTAATAGGTTACAAGCTAGAGTTTGAAAAATACTATTCTGTATTAAATCATAGAGAATCTATCATGTTAAAGTGTCAGATTAAACAAAGGTTATCTTTAACTAAAATTTAAAAACTAAATTGAAATTATAATGCTCAGCCTGGCTGGTGTGGCTGAGTGTTGACCAGGAGGTCACAGCTCAATTCCTGGTTAGGGGGAGTTTCAGAAGCAGCCTATTGATGATTCTCTCTCATCATTGATTTTTCTCTCTCTCCCTCTCTGAAATCAATAAAAAAAATTTTTAAAAATTATGTTCAATACATTATGGAATTTGAAACAGAAAAAAGGTAAAACCAACCAATAAACCCCCAATCCTATTCCCCCCCAAAACTAAAAATGACCTTTTATTTTTTTTACTTTTTAAATATATTTTTATTGATTTCAGAGAGGAAGGGAGAGGGAAAGAGAGATAGAAATATCAATGATGAGAGAGAATCATTGGCTGGGTGCCTCTTGCACGCCCCCTACTGGGGATTGAGCCCACAAGCTGGGCATGTGCTCTTGACCGGAATTGAACCCAGGACCCTTCAGTCCGCAGGCCTACACTCTGTCCACTGAGCCAAACCGGCTTAGGGCACCTTTTATTTTTTTAAGGTAAGAAAAATTCCAGGTGGGTTTGGGGGACTGGGTGGAAAAGGTGAAGGAAGTAAGAAGTACAAATTGGCAGTTACAGAATACTCATGAGGACATAAAGTACAGCACAGGGAATGTAGTTAATAATATTGTAATAACTGTGTATGGTGCCAGGTGGGTATGATAATTATCGGGGGTAATTATATAATTATCTAACCACTATGCTGTATACCTGAAACTAACATAAAATAATACTAATATAAAATAATACTGAATGTTAACTTTAATTAAGAAAAAAAAGTGTCAAAAAGCCTGGGAAGATCACAGAAAAATGTAATAATGGTTGTATTACAGTGGTGCACTACAGGAAAATCCTATGTAATAAAACCCTAATATGCAAATCGACCAGATGGCCAGTTATATGATGTGCACTGACCACCAGGGGGCAGACACTCAACGCAGGAGCTGCCCCCTGGTGGTAAGTATGCTTTTACAGGGGGAGCGCTGCTCAGCCAGAAGCTGGGCTCACACTGGTGAGCGCAGCAGTGGTGGCAGGAGCCTCTCCTGCCTCCGCTGCAGGCAGGCAGTAAGGAGTGAGGGGCCCAGACTGTGAGAGTTATGTCTGACTGCCTGCTTAGGGAGCTGGCCTAAGCTGGCAGTCGGAGATCCCCTTAGAGGTCCCAGACTGTGAGAGGGTGCAGGCTGGGCTGAGGGACCCCCCCCACCCCCTGCCCCAGTGCACATAACTTTGTACACCAGGCCTCTAGTATTTTTCTCAAAAATTTTCCAAAAGTTTTCTAATGATCATGTTTTATTTTGATACTTTATTCTAAAAATAAATTAAAGAAATGTTTTTCAGAAAGATTAATTCCAGAGAACATAAAGAAATAGGATATTGCCTCAAACCAGTCCAAGAGCAATGGGAACACAGATGATAATTTCCTGAATTAAGAATGAATAAAATGCCCTGGCCGGTTTTTCTCAGTGGTTAGAGCACTGGCCTGCAGATCACAGGGTCAAGGTTCGATTCACGGTCAAGGGCATGAACCTTGGTTGCAGGCTTGATCCCCGGCCCAGACAGGTTGGGGCATGTGTGGGAGGCAACCAACTGATGTGTCTCTCTCAGAATGATGTTTCTCTTTCTCTTTTTCTCCTCCCCTCCCCTCTCTAAAAAAAAAAAAAAAAAAAAAATCAATGGAAAAAATATCCTTGGGTGAGGATAAAAATAAAAAAATAATGAATAAGTTATTCTTATTTCACTTCTTTCCTCTAAATTTAGGTCCAGCAAAGAGAAGATCGAAGATTTGCAATTTGAAAAAACACCCCCACCCCGCCCCCAAAAAAAGTTTAAAAGCAAACAAAACCAAAGCACAACAAAGGGGAAAATAAAAAAGATTTGCAATTTGAGATTTTTGTGAATGTAAACTCCGTAAGGGGAAATATTCCCAGTACTGAGTAGAAGGCTACTTTCCTTTCATACAAGCACTTGTTTCCCACAGTGAGTTCTATGTTCAGTGAGAATAACTCTGCTAGTTTTCAAATGTCCTTACGAGTTATAGCTGTTATTGTAACTATACAATTTAATTACCTATTGCTCAAACTATGTGATGATGGTGAGAATAGTTACTTCTATGAAAACTTAAGTTGAATGCATTTGAAAGTTAAAGACAAGTTGCTCTAAAAAAAAGGGCTATCAAATTATGTAAAGTGACTACTGTCTACAATTTAAAAAATTTCTGAAATCCAAATTCTACACTCAAACTATCCTTACAAGTATGTAACCTCTGGCTCAACTTTAGACAAACCAAAACTGAAGATTGTAGATGAAGCATCATGGCTGTAGAAAAAAAAAAATCATCACACAGAATCTAACTCAAAGATAATCTTGATCAACATCAGGAGTATACAAATGTTCTAAGTTAAATTAAAATGTCCAAGATATGTACATGTAATTTTTAAGAGTCCCCATTGGAAAAAAAAAAAAAAGTCGCCACTAGGTTAGTCTTTAGAGTGACTTGCCTGGTCACATCAGGTAAGAGGCAAATACCCACAGGCAACTCAAAGTTATTTTTACCAGAAATAAAGAGTCTACTGTTTGGTGCCGGAAGCCAACTCCAGCAGGTCATAATTGCAAGAGTTTCATCAAAAGGTTGATAGAACTTGGGGACTCAACAGGGGCTGAGTCACATATGTTGTCACCTGTTGGGAATGGCTGAGGACATTTTCCCAAACCTGAAAAGGATGATTGCTTGCTGCCAGACAGCTCAGGGCATCTTAATCTACATGTTATTGCCTCCTACTGGCCAAACACCTGAACAGCCGTAGGCAAATTCTTCCAATCTGACAATGGATTTCTGTACCTAACCCTACCCTTTGAAGTATATATCTTCACCTTGCCTTAGGACAAATTGTGTTAATAAATAGCAAGGGATACCCTGGCCGGTTTGGCTCACTGGATAGACTCGATCCTGGTCAAGGGCATGTACCTTGGTTTCGGGCACATCCCCAGTAGGGGGTGTGCAGGAGGCAGCTGGTCGATGATTCTCTTTCATTGATGTTTCTAACTCTCTATCCCTCTCCCTTCCTCTCTGTAAAAAAAAAAAAAACCAATGAAATAAAAAAAACCACAAAAAACAAAAATAAATAAATAGCAAGGGGTCCTGAGACAGAGAACTTAGTTTCTTTAGCTAAGCTCCTCTGACCCTCAAATGCCTTTCAAAATTATGTTTCATCTCTGGACTCTTTATTAAGTTACACACAGCCCTTCTCCAGATTGCTGAACCCTTCTTGATGCCGGAATAAGAACCCTGGCAGTTTGGCTTCATACTATCTTCTAGAAGAAATTTACAAAGGTCGTATCTGTGAAAGCCACGTATCCTTTCCAAAAAACTCTGAATAACTAGCTACTGGGTGAATAATTAGAAGTTAATCACATAATCATAACTACCAATGAATATTGATGATATATCCATGGTTTTTCTTAAACCACTTTACTGGGGTATGATTGAGATATAAACAGCTTTACATATTTGATGTATACTACTCAGAGAGTTTGGGGAAAGGTATATACCCATGAAACCATCAGGGCCATAACCATGAATCTTCTGATCTTCAAGGATCCACTTGTGCCGTTTGGTCATTTATATAAATGTTTATCCTTGCCTTTCTCACCCTCTCATGAGTTTGAAGGGAATTCTGAAGACAGAGAACTCCAGCATTAGAAAGATACAGACTTGCTCTCCATTAATGTCTCTCAGAGCTAAAAGTATCTCAAAAATGCTCAACACCTCTCAGACAAAGATCATATACCCAGGACAAGCTCTGCTAACAGTCTAGTTAGAATACTGCTCTAAATAAATGTTTGATGCATAGTAAGTACTTAGTATACTTTTTCTTACCTTTTTCTTCTTATCTTTAAATTGCTTGATCAACGTGAGTACATGTTCAACAAGAAACATTAAATACAAGCCTCCCAGAGCTGTTAGACCCTTCCATGTGGAATCAAAATAGGTACTTTCTTCTATGTTTTGAGAAGACAGATAACTGAACAGTGGCCCTCTCTTCATTTCCATTGCTGTTTCTTCATGGCTGTGACTATGGTGGTGACTTGCATGAGACTAAAAGCAAAACAACATGTATTTTATAAATTCACTAGTTTCACACGTCTGAAAAACTGGCTAAGATAAGGTCAAACTTGAAGTAATTCAGAATTGGGCAATTAAAAGGATACTCTGGAATGAGGGAAATTTAGGACATTAAATAACAGGGAACTGCCAGACTTAATAGTCTGTAGAGTTTACTGCTTCCACTCCTCGCTGGAAAGCTCACACCACTGTCCTCAGTGCGCTTACAAGAAGCCCAACCTGTAATGAGCCCGGCAAGTACCTGATCCAGGGGCGCTGGCCAGTGGCCTACAGGAATGCAGCAGAGACTATGTTACTTCATGTTAGGAAGTTGGGTGTGGCACGTATGTGCCACAGAGGATAGACTAGGTTTGGTGGTGGGGTTACAGGGTACACCCCATGTACATGTCACTTTGTGCAGCAGATATTCCTAAACATCTGCCATTTGATGGTCAGGGAGTTTGTCACAGCAAAACAGCTCCCTTTCACTACTGGAGAAAGCATGATGAGATATGTAGAACTCTAGGAATATCCCCCCCCCCCCCCCGCCCCCGCCTCACACTTACCTGCAAATTTCTAAGGGAAATTTAAAAAATTAGATCCAAATATTTTCTATCTGCGCACCTATCCCAAATATTTAATGGAAAAGTAAACTCACTTTACCAAACTTGCTTTACTTAAGAATTCACTCATGTTACCAAGTACAAACCTATAAATACACACATTGACTCAACTCTGAAGAAAAACCCTCAAGTTTCTTGGGTAGATAGCCACGTTTTTATTTTTGTGGCAATTACACTAATATGTAAGCAGACAATTCACACTGTTGCAGACTGTCATAATACTAGCATCTGAGTAGAATCTGTCTCCTTTTATTAACTGGACCCACCTAAATTAAATTAGTTTTTATAAAGAAAAGCAAAAAAACACACCGCACAATGTAGTAAGATCAAGCACAGCTCTGGCTGGTGTGGCTCAGTTGGTTGGAGCATTATCACATACACCAAAAGGTTGTGGGTTCGATTCCCAGACAGGGCACATATCCAGGTGGCGGGTTTGATCCCCGGTTGGGGCTTGTGCAGGAGACAGCCAATCAATGTTTCCCTTACATAGATGTTTCTCTCTCTCTCTCCCTCTCTCTCAAATCAATAATAATAATAATAATAAAAAGATCAAGCCTCAAAATGCAGCTTTTGGTTACCAAATATATTTTAAAATCAACTCCTCTAAACCAAATTTCTTGCCTTTATAAATATCAATACAAAGAATTCTAGCACACACACTTGTAATACCTTAACTAATAATAGTAATAAAAAAGAATTCTAGTACAAATAAAAAAAAAGTATGTATATTTTCAATGTTGAATAATACAATACACTAATAGGACAAATTACCATACTTACGTGTGGAAGAAGATGTAAAAAAGCATCACCACTCAATGTCCCAACAGCCAATGCCACAAGGAAACTCAGGAGAAACTTAAAAAACACCCGATTCATGAGAGGCACTAAGATAACACCCAGCAAAGACAGGAAACTGATGATGGAAATGGCTATAAAGCCACCAACCCAGGCTGTCAAACAAAAGAGCAAAGGTAAAAACATACAATTAATAAACTTTAAAAGAGAGACTTTGGAGTAGCATAAAGTAATTTATAACGTAGGCAGTCTTAAAGAAATACAAACTCAATAACCAACAAATGGGCTCGAATGAACAATTTGAGTGAACTCTCTAGGTAAAGAGCATAACCTAATGGAAAATCCTTCAGCTGGTAGTGAAAGAAGGGAAAGAAATGATAAACAAAGATGAATTCTAGCTCATTTGGGAACTGAGCTTTCAGACTCCTGTAACACCTAAATTATGAAAGAGAAGAGGAATATGTTAAAGGAGAGAGAGAAAAAAAGGGAAAAAGAAAAAAAGGAAAAGAATTATTTCCTCAGTAAACAAAGCAATTATTTCTTCATTCTAGTTTTTGAGCACTGAAATTCTAGCCAGGGGTGAGGAACTTACAGCCAAGCCTTATAAGGTCTGGCCAGGGGTGAGTTTTTGAGCACTGAAATTCTAGCCAGGGGTGAGGAACTTACAGCTGAGCCTTATAAGGTCTGGCCATGGGTGAGAAATGTCCAGTCAGACTTTATAAGGCCACCAGAGATGAGGACTGTCTCTAGAACATCCGGCCCGCAGGCTGTATAAGGCCTGTGAAATCATTTGGTCTAGCCCTGCCAAGGCTAGGAGTGAGTTAAATGAGCAAATATAACAGGCTAATTTTTTTTTCATTCTTTACTGATTAAAGTATTACATATGTCTCCTTTTCCCCCCATTGACCTCTCACTGGCCACTCCCACCCTCCACATATGCCCTCACCCCACTAGTGTCTGTGTCCATTGGTTATGCTTATATGCATGCATACAAGTCCTTTGGTTGCTCTCTTATCCCCCGCCTTCACTCTGAGGTTTGAGGGTCTGTTTAATGCTTCTCTGTCACTGGATCTATTTTTGTTTATCAGTTTATGTTGTTCAATATATTCCACAAATGAGTGAGATCATGTGATATTTATCTTTCTCCGACTGGCTAATTTCGCTTAGCATAATGCTCTCCATGTCCATACGTGCTGTTACGAAAGGTAAGTTTCTTCTTTTTTACAGCAGCATAGTATTCCATTATGTAGATGTACCACTAGCAGGCTTATATTTAAGTTGATAATTCTGTATGGCTAGCAAATGATTTATAAATATCCAAATGGCCCTGGCAGAAAATAGGTTCCCTAACCCTGCTCTACACTATAGCACAGCTTATCCTGGTTTGATTTATTAATAACAGACCAGAGCCCTGGCTGGTTTGGCTCAGTGGATAGAGTGTCAGCCTGTGGATCAAAGGGTCCTGGGTTTGATTCTAGTCAAGGGCACATACCTAGGTTGCAGGCTCAATCCCCAGTAGGGGGCGTGCAGGAGGCAGCCAATCAATGATTCCCCCTCATCATTGATGTTTCTCTTTCTCTCCCTTTCCCTTCCTCTCTGAAATCAATAAAAAGATATATTAAAAAAATAAATAAGTAACAAACCAGAATTGGGCTCCTAAAAGCAGAGATTAACTCTGACCCTTCTTCCCAAACAGGGTGACAATATAAAAAGCCCAAATTTCAGATAGCCCTTGACACTTCATGACCTCAGGCAAGTTACAACCTATGTTTTACTCATTTATCTATTTTTTTAAAAAGATAAGGTAAGTACCCCTTTTTAAAAGCACTCATTGGGCCTTTTGCTAATGACCCACGGAGCCCTCAAGAGAAAGGGCAAAGTAAAAACACCGCTTTTGGGTGAAGCAGCAGCATGCTGTGTTGTTTTGCTTCAATCGGTGGTGTGACAAGTTGTTAAAATAAAAAAAGATAAGGCAAGTTACAATCTAAGTTTTTTTAAGGGTCAGGCTAACATGCTTGCTTTTTTCATTCAAGGCAGAATGATCTCACTCATGTGGAATCTAATGAACAAAATAAACTGATGAACAAAATAGATCCAGAGACATAGAAGCATGGAACAGACTGAGGAATCTAAGAAGGAAGGAGGGGTGGTGGGGTAGGTGGGGAGAGGATAACCCGGGAATTTATATGCACAGCTCATGGACACAGACAATAGTGTGGTGGAGGCCTGGGAGGGGCGGGTGCAGGGTGGAGGGGATCAATGAGAAAAAAAAGGGGGGACATATGTAATACTTTCAATAATAAAGATAAGTTTTAAAAGAGATGTTATATTTGAAATTATGCTAAAAGTGAATAGGTTTTTGTAAATATAAAGAACACTAACAACATAAATGTATCTACTGGAAATTATTTTTACATAAAAAAACTCAATTCTACCTATTTGTAAAGAATAGGTCTTTGGAGGGATTTCAGCTTTCTTTTCACTCGTTGTATGAATCAGACACGATCTAGCATCAATTTGATTGATGATGGCTGGGCAGAGATAGTTGAACTCCATTTCATTCAGCAGAACCTGGATGCCCATGCCATGTGATGTGAGCAGCTTTGACGCATTGAAACACTAAAGAAAACAAAGCAGTGAAAAGCACCAAAAGGCATTCCCATTAGATAATCCAAAAAAGTTGTTTGATGACACAATACCCTTTCCTTACTGAAGCTGCTTCTTAATTTTAGGTTAACACTGATTAAAATCAACTTTTGTTTTAAGTACTTTGGAATTTCTCAAACTACCTGGAGGTATTATGTCATAATAGTGTTATCTCACCTCTCTGCTTACTTCTAGGTAGAAAGTTACATCAGTCGCCTAGGGAGAAAGCTGTAAGTGAAATGAGCTTGAGGATAAATGAGCATTCACAAGCCTGTTAACTCACTGCATAAACCTATTAAGGAAATGAGCTTTAATTTCGAGATGAGGGTCATTAGACATTGGCACACATGTTATTTTAGTACCAACGCTACTTGGCCTAAACAAGCCCCAAACACGTCATTCTTACAATGACCATACTTGCAAAACTTAGTTCAGTTCTGACTACACACTTGGCAAAATAATGCTCTACGAGAGAATATTAAAGCATGTACATTATTCTCACACAGAGTAAAGTTGGTAATAAAAGCAAACCTGTATTGGCAGGCAGCCGTTTCAACAATTTAATGAGATGACTAGTTTGATGAGAATCTTCTGAGTAACCTAAGCTCCTTCTATTCCCCCAGAATTGGTGGCAGCAACTGTTTCTCATCATCTGTAAAGTTATTTTAAACTCCACCAATTCTTGGTTAATAATACAAAGAACAAACTTTATTACCAGTGTCGCTAAGGGAATGACCATTAGTAGTAGTATCCCAGAATTAAAATAGTCATATGATCGCTTGCATGAAGTACTTAAGTTTTGCTTATTAACATATATCAACTAACTCCTTGTTCTTGACATCTTTCAGTCAAGGCAAACTGAGTACAGCCTTGAAGTCTAATCTAGAAAAAACACATGAAATCAGAACTTCACTGCCCAGGCATTCACTTGTCCAGTATGTCATTCTTGGCAGCAGTTCCAATGACTCCACAAATCATTACAATCCCTCTGCAAGGAGGTATTAACGTTCTTGAATTCTTCAACCCCTTTAACCATACCTTTCCCTAAAACATGGATTCTAACTCCTACATTTTCCACCTCCCATTTTCTACTTTTTATTAATAATACTCGCCTTTAAAAACTTTTTCCAAAAATAACTTTGATATCTGCTTTCTATACTTATTTTAAATTCTATAAAGTTTTAGCCCAGCTGGCATGGCTCAGTGGTTGAGCATCAACCTATGAACCAGGAGGTCATGGTTCAATTCCCAGTCAGGGCACATGCCCAGGTTGTGGCTCAATCCCCAGCGTGGGGTGTGCAGAAGGCAGCCGACCAATGATTTTCTCTCATCATTGATGTTTCTATCTCTCTCTCTTCCTTCCTTTCTAAAAGCAATAAAAATATATTTTTTAAAAAAGTTTTGAAGGCAGCACTATTCTTACTATCCTCCAAGTTTTTTTTCTTTTTTAAATCAGAAATGATTACAACATGGTAGGGACACTTTAGGCCAAGTGATTTGCTGAGAAATTCCCTTTTCAGTAACTTAACCATTTTATTTTTACTTTAAACTCCTTACAACTAGAGATAGAATGGCAATGACAGAATAGACAAGCAGGCATATTGATTAAAATAAGAACAGCCTTTATCTTACCTCCTGAGTATTTGCATTTGTGTTGCTGGAATACATAAACTCCTTTCTGGGCTCACTCACAGATTCATTTGTTTTTCTCCTAGCGGGCCGGCTCATCCGGCTCTTTTCTGTAATACTGGGTGGAGTGGAACTGCTCACATCTTTAGGGAGCTTTCCAGGTTTTGGAGTTTCTATTGTCTCCAGAAAATGAGTTCCTTCAGAGACAGCATTATATACAGTTGAGGTCACTTCACTAGCACCAACACCATCTTTGATTAAAACATTCCTTCTACTATTGGCATGTTCTGATCGGCGAGATCCTTTCCCCTGGTTGTTTCTAGTGTCTTTACTGGAACTATCAGAGTCATGGTCTGGGCAAAGAGCTTTCCGATTATTTTTACCGGAAGCAGCATGATTACGGTGAGAGTGATGCTCATGGTCGGAGTGATGCTCATGGTCGGAGTGATGCTCATGGTCAGAGTGATGCTCATGGTCATGGTGTAAATGAACTCTTTTAATCTTATCTATGCCTATATTCTGAAGTAACTTTCTGAACCCTTCAACTGACAAAGAATTATTTTCTCCATAGCGATGGAAAAGCTGCTGTAGATGATGTCGCTGGGTGGTAACTGCCAAATCAACATCAATGCCAGATTCCCAGTTTGGAATTTTCTCCGTGGTCTGAGGGAGAGCAGTCGCTGATTCTACTTCATGAAGGAGATTTGTGACTGACAGAGTGAAGGTCAGGATGAAGATTAAGGGTAAACTCCTCGCCATTGCACCTCCCTAGAGAAGACAGAGAAAAGAAATTTTGTCTTCACTTCTATAATAATTTGAATTAAAAAATCTCCTGCTAAACACTGATGTCTAAATCAAACAATCAAGGTCTACAAAACCTCATTTAGTATGGCCAGTGTAGTGTTAGGTACTGTGAAAATACACAAACAAGTGTCCTAGGCTCTACCCTCGCATTACCAAAACAAAAGAAATAACTGGAGAACTGTTGAGTGTTAAGATTCAGTAATTAGCACTATACAAGCAATAGTAACTCAGACACTGGAGAGATCCATGTGGCCACAACCATATTGGCAACTCCTTACTGTGTTGAGAACAATGATTTAAAACAAAACTTACCTCTACCATTGCCATTTCATAAAACATTATTTTAACATCAAAAGGAGTAGATACAGCAATCTCAGAATTATTCATTAAAATTTTTCTTAAACTATATACAAATCAATTTAAGGCTTCTTTCCCCAAGAGCACCCTTCAAAGTCACCCAATTACGCCTCGGGATATGTTCTTTGCGTCCTCAAGTAGATGTGTAATTAAACCACACAGATGGGATCTGATCTTTCTTTTCCTATTCAAAAATGACATCACGCCCTAGCCTGTTTGGCTCAGTGGATAAAAAGCCTCGGCCTGCGGACTCAAGGGTCCCGGGTTCGATTCTGGTCCAGGGCATGTACCTAGGTTTCGGGCACATCCCCAGTCGGGGGCATGCAGGAGGCAGCTGGTCGATGTTTCTCTCTCATCGATATTTCTAACTCTATCCCTCTCCCTTCTTCTCTGTAAAAAAAAAAAAAAATCAATAAAATATATATATATTTTTAAAAATGGCATTGTTCCAGGAAAGTACATATAGACTGACCCCATGCTTTAGATGATGGCATAATCATTAAGCTCTTTAAGTTAAACTTCATTTTATCACAGATCATCACTCATCCAGACAAGGGTGTTTGGAGATAGAAACTGAGTGAGCCTTGAAAAGCAGAATTCAGTTAAGCCGAGAAAGGTACAAGTCCATAGATGTGGATAGACTGGTATCTCAGGACCCAGTCGTCACCAAACTCTGGAGCCAGAGAGCAAGGGCCTGGGGCGACCTAGCTCTACCACTTTCTGCCGTTTCTCCTTGCACCAGGAAAAGCGGGCAGTACCCATGTCCAGGGTGACTGGGGGAACCACATGAACGGTTACACGGGAGCGCATGTTCCCAAACAATGTCTGCGGTGTTGCACAGCTGCTGATCAAGCCCGGAGCAGTGAAAATGGAAGTGCCTAGGGACCATAGGGATAGGCTCCACAAAGAACAATCTTTCGGACCTGAAGTTTTAATAGGCAAACGAGAATCAGTAAGAAATCATTCGCAGGCAAGGAGCGGGGTGGGTTGGGACAAGCACAGATGGAAGCGCTCGGGGGCAACTCCTCGCCTTTCTCCCGCGAGGATGCTGAAGGCGACCGAGGACCCCGGGCAGACCTTCCCTGCAAGTCGGCGAGTGTTGTCGGAAAAAAACATAAAGAAAGGGCCGGGAGAGAGGCCAGTGGAGAAAAAGGGAAAGAGGGCAGATCACTATTTTCAAGGGTTTTTTTTTTTTTATTGTTAATACACGCCCCTAGCTTCGAGTAGGAGATTAATAACACTGTTTCTCCAGAAAGTCCTCCGTTGGACTCCTAAGCCCATCTGGGCATCCTACACTGGGAAGTCCGACCCCCGCGGCCTGAGGGGCTCCCCTTTCTACAGCCCCCGCCCGGACCTACGGGACTCACCTCTCCGCGGCCTCGCAGTTCCACGTTCCGGCCCCGCGTGCAGGTTCAGTTCCCCACAAGCGGTCCGGAGGGCTCGGAACCGGCCCGTGCTTCTCTCTCTGTCTCGAAACCCCTACAGGGCACGGGGAAGCGGCGAACTCATCGGCCCGGACGCCCCTCGGTCGGGGGGACCACGGCACAGCCACCCAGAAGCCGCGCCCCACGCGCCCTCGCCTCCCGGGAGCAGGACAATTACTAATGCGCGCGGCGCGCGGCGCGCGGCCGGGAACCACCGCCTCTGCCGGCCTGACTGCGGGACATGCGCAGTGCGGCTCAGAACCCCGTCCCCGCCAGCGAGTCCGCGTGGCCGCCTGTTCGCCGGCGCCGCGGGGCACGTAGGGGCGGGAGGGCGCGAAGGCGCGGCCGAGCGGACCGTGAGCGCCGAGACCGACTGGGGACCCTGTCTTTCTTCGAAGCCCTCCGCGCCCCTGCGCCACTGAGGCCCGAGACTCGCTGGCCAAGGCTCCCTCCTGGGCCAATGCCGCTGCTGCTGCGAGTCCGGGCGTGAAGGGCAGCGAGACGCTCCTGACGCAGCCCCGGCTCAAGTGCCACGGTCTTTCTGGAAGGTCCTGAACCGCTCCGGCCGGGTTTCGTCCTGGGGTCCGAGGCCGCGTTTGTGCGCAGGGCCACGGTCAGCAGACCAGAGGTGGCAGCGGCGGGGCGCCAAGGACCAGAGGAGCCAGGGCGGGGGCGGAGCCTGTGGGGCGTGGTCGTCTCCGCCGTCTCCGCCCCGCCCCCGGCTGCCTCGGAAACGCGGTGCGGACCGCGCCAGCGGGAGGGGCGGCCTCGCGCGTGTTTCCGCTCAGAGGGCGGAAGTGCGCCCCCAGAACTCGGCCTCGGACCAGCCAGCAACATGGTGGCATCCGCGCTGGAGGCGTCTCACGTATTTTGCTGCCCCAACCGGGTGCGGGGAGCCCTGAGCTGGAACTCGGGGCCCGGAGGACTTCTGGCCTTCGGCACCTCCTGCTCCGTGGTGCTCTACGACCCGCGGGTAAGGGCGGTGGCCGTGCGCCTGAGCAAGGGGCGGGGTGTCTGGGGCGCGCCGCCATCAGCCTGGGGTCACCAGGTCCCACCGGTGCCCGGTTAGCCCCACGTAGAAACCCGAATGATGACCTTTTCTGAAGCCTTCTGGAAACTGTAGTACTGCTAAAAAAATTAGTTTGGGTTTTGAAAGGTTTGCAGTTTAGGTATGGACTAAATCCATTATCACAGATGCTATCTCATTCCTATATTTCCCGCAGTTATAAACTTGCCACTTGTATTTTAGCTTTGGACCTGGACATTTCATTTTTTAAACAATTCTTTCATTTATTGATTTGAGAGAGAGAGAGAGAGAGAGAGAGAGAGAGAGAGAGAGAGAGATTCATTGTTCCACTTATTTATGCATTCATTGATTGATCCTTGTATGTGCCCTGACCCAGCTACCCTGCCATGGCTGGAATTGGACATTTAAAAGAAAGTGCCGCCCTGGATGGTTTGGCTCAGTGGATGGAGTGTCGGCCTGGGGACTGAAGGGTCCCTGGTTCGATTCCTGTCGGGGGCACATGCCCTGGTTGTGCGCTCGGTGCAGCCAATCAATGATTCTCTCTCATCATTGATGTTTCTATCTCTCTTTCTCTCCTTTCCTCTCTGAAATCAATAAAAATATATTTTAAAAAATTAAAAAAAAATAAATGAAAGTGCTACTCTAACCGGTTTGGCTCAGTGGATAGAGCGTTGGCCTGTAAACTGAAAGGTCCCAGGTTGATTCCGGTCAAGGGCATGTACCTTGGTTGTCAGCACATCCCCAGTAGGAGGTGTGCAGGAGGCAGCTGATCGATGTTTCTCATCGATGTTTCTAACTCTCTATCCCTCTCCCTTCCTCTCTGTAAAAAATAAATAAAATATTTTTTTTTAATAAAATAAATAAAAGAAAGTGCCGTTGGGGTAAAGGTCACAGGGGAAGGGTATCCTAAGCACTTATCAAGTGCGGATCAATACCTGATTAGTCATGACATGCAAAGTGAGCCATGAATATGTACCCATTAGTCACAAATTCCTCTACTGAAGATTTTTTTCCCCCTCAACAAAACCCTCAAATTGATGCAGTCATGATCGAAGTAGGGCCCTGAGACCTGTGCGAGCACCAAGAAGAGGTTTCTTATCCAGCCTGGGGTGTCAAGACAGGCTCCCCAGATGAGGACAGGAGTGGGAAGGGGAGTGAGTGGTGCGCAGGACCAAGGCAGGTGAAGACCTGAGAGCTTAGTATGATGAGAGCACAGGACACTGGGAATGTGGAGTGGTGAAAAGAATTACAGTGAATGGATGGTGTAAGCCACAGTTAGAAGTTTATAAGTTAAAGGAAGGTGATTTTTGTATGAGGTAATCCATCAAAAATACTGAAACCTTATCTTTATTAATTTAATAATTCCTCTGTAGGATAGATTCTAATTTACTAACTGGTGCTTCTTTTGTTAAAGAAAAGGGTTGTCATTACCAACCTGAATGGTCACACTGCTCGAGTCAATTGCGTACAGTGGATCTGTAAACAGGATGGCTGTAAGTATTAATCTAATTGTTAAAGCTGATCTGAGTTGTTTTCTGATAAAGTATGAGTAGTCATTTTTCTTTCATCACTTCTCTTATTTTACCATCAGCTTATCTGATATTATGCAGTTGGAAAATAGAAGAAAAACAGTATGCCCAATGAAATATCTGACCTGTACTTTTACTTTATAGCAGTTGAAGCATGGATAGCACAGCAGTGCTTAGGATGAGGGTAGACTAGAGGCAGCCCTGAGTGTGGTAAGACCCCCCCCACCATTGCCCGTTGCTTCTGTTTGAAAGCCTGAAAGCAGGCCCATATTAGGACCCAGGCTGGGATTCCAAAAATTTGACTTGTTTCCATCACAGACAAGCTATTGTTTTTTTAGGCAGGACATTGCATTTTTTCTTGACCTTAGTTTGTACCTTAGTAACACCTGAAAAGTAAAGGCTTGGACTGAATCAGGGGAGCTTTTAAGGTTCGTGACACCTATGAGATCAAAATTATTTTCAGAATAATACCAAGAGGTTATTCACAGTTTTCATTCTCATTCTACCACAGTTGTACAGTGGCCCTTTGAGCAGCTGTGTGGTGAGTGATATCACAACAGATTAAGTTTAGAAACAGATATGAAAATCCAGCTGTATGCTAATAGTTAAATGCTAAAGAGATTTGCAGAAATGTAAAACAGTGCCTCTTGTTTTTTTGTTTTAGAAAATGTAGGGGTTTTCCTTGCCATAAAAATGTTGTTTTGTTAACATGCAATAGAGTTTATTGTTATTTTAGAAAATATTTTTTATTGATTTCAGAGAGCAAGGGAGAGGGAGAGAGAGGTAGAAACATCAATGATGAGAGAAAATCAGTGATCAGCTGCCTCCTGCACGCCCCCACTGGGGACCAAGCCTGCAACCCCGAGCATGTGTCTTGACCGGGAATCAGACCATGACCTCCTGGCTCATAGATGCTCAACCACGAGCCACACCGGCCGGGCTGGAGTTTGTTATTTTTAAGAAAAATGATAAGTAGTTTTCACATTTCTTAGTTTACAAACCTAATGTGTTTAATATTTGTACATAGAGTCAATCCATATAAACAAAGGCTTTATGGGGTCCCCAAACATTTTTAAGAGCATAAAGGAGTCCTGACACCAAACTGAAATTTGCTAGAATAGATTATCTCCAGGTCTCTTTTATCTCTAACATCCTGTGACTCCATAGTGTTTAATTAGCATACTGCTTTTAGATGGTGCTTCCGAAATACAATGCAATTTCCTCAAATGTCTTAAATATACCTACTGTAGTTTTCTTATGGACTCTGAATTAATTAAAAAAAAATATTTTTATTGATTTCAGAGAGGAAGGGAGAGGGAGAGAGATAGAAACATCAATGATGAGAGAGAATCATTGATTGACTGCTTCCTACATGCCTCCCACTGGGGGTTGAGCCTGAAACCCAGGCATGTGCCCTTGACTGGAATCCAACCTGGGACCCTCAAGTCTGCAGGCCGATGCTCTATCCACTGAGCCAAACTAGCTAGGATTCTGAATTAATTTTTATTCCACAAACATTTATTAAGAGCATTCTGAGCCAGGCACCAATGCAGAATTTCCTGAATTAGTGAGACTCTACTATGATTTTATCGGTGACCAAAAAAAAATGAAGTTGAATAGCTACTTATTTCAGTTGGTATTGCAGGATTCGTTACATTAGGTTAGTATAGAGTGTCCCAAAATTCACGCAAGATTTGAATTTTGCGTGAGCATTAACAACAACAACAAAAATAAAAGCCTAATTTTACTTGGTTTATTGAATCAGATCTTAATATCTGTTGCCCTTTGATTTCAGTCCCTTCAATTTGATAAGCATTACCAAGTACTAATTATGGCCCAGGAACAGAGACAATGAAGACCACGGCTTTGCATATGTGCCAGCAAAGCTGTGGAGGCCATCTACCTGATGTGCTATTCCATACATAACCCTATACTGTATGCTTTATAAATCAATAAAAAATTTACAATTTTTAATTATAAACCTGTGCTTTCTATCAAAATTACTTCTTGCGTGAATTTTGGACACCCTATAAAAACCATTAAATGGTAGAAAAAGTGGCTGTAGTGCAGGTATTAAAACACAATTGTAATTTTATTAATTGCCACCAAATGATATCAAAGACTACTTGAATCTCAGTATAGGGATTTGTTATAAAAAATTTGGGCTTGTATATTTTATCTTTTCTTTAAAAATGAGGTTACATAAAATAAATTGCTTGTGCATCACTAATCTGTAACTATTAGAATTGATTTCCTCTAAGAATAGGGTTCTTCCACCAGATAATGAGTCCTTATCTAATGTTCTTTAGATACCCCCCCAGCTGCTTCCCCTAAATGTCTAGCACATAGGCCAGAAGAAACAAAGAAATGGAAAATCCAAACTAAAATTATATATTATTTCTCCCTTTTATTTTTTTAATATATATGTTATTGATTTTTTACAAAGAGGAAGGGAGAGGGGATAGTTAGAAACATTGATGAGAGAGAAACATCAATCAGCTGCCTCCTGCACACCCCCTACTGGGGATGTGCCAGCAACCAAGGTACATGCCCTTGACCAGAATCGAACCTGGGACCCTTTAGTCCGCAGGCTGACGCTCTATCCACTGAGCCAAACTGGTTAGGGCTATTTCTCCCTTTTAAAAAACCTAGATTGGGCCCTGGCCGGTTTGGCTCAGTGGATAGAGCATCGGTCTGCGGACTCAGGGGTCCCGGGTTCGATTCCGGTCAAGGGCATGTACCTTGGTTGCGGGCACATCCCCAGTGGGGAGTGTGCAGGAGGCAGCTGATCGATGTTTCTCTCTCATCGATATTTCTGACTCTCTATCCCTCTCCCTTCCTCTCTGTAAAAAATCAATAAAATATATTTAAAAACAAAAAAAAACCTAGATTGGGTACATTCTTCAAAACTACTGGTTGGTATGCACATTATCACAAAAAAAGGAGGGACTGGGAAACTATTCTATCTTCAAGGAGACTGAAAAAGGATGACAACTGAATACACAATATTTGGTTCTTAGATTCTGAATTTAAAAAAAGTTATAAAAGATATTACTGGGACAATTTGGAGAAATTTTAATATGGGCTATATAGTACATAATGATATCGTATCAGTGTTAAAATTCTTTTTTCTTTTTTTTTTTTAATATATTTTATTGATTTCTTACAGAGAGGAAGGGAGAGAGATAGAGAGCCAGAAACATCGATGAGAGAGAAACATCCATCAGCTGCCTCCTGCACATCTCCCACTGGGGATATGCCCGCAACCCAGGTACATGCCCTTGACCGGAATCGAACCTGGGACCCTCCAGTCCGCAGGCCGACGCTCTATCCACTGAGCCAAACCGGTTTCGGCCAGTCTTAAAATTCTTGAGTGTGATAGTATTGTGGTCATGTAGGAGAATGTTCCAGTTCTTAGGAGATCCATAGTAAAGTGTTTGAGGATCAGAGGTCCTGATGCCTGCAACTTATTTTTAAGTAGTTTGTCAAAAACAATAAGGAATCTATACAAAAGGTTGGGCAAAAGTAGGTTTATAGTTTGTATGGAAAATAATACAGTAATTAGTAATAATAATACAAAAATAAATAAACTTTCGCATACTCACAACTGTAGATCTACTTTTGTCTCACCCTGTACACATGGAACAAGCTATTAAGGAACTATGGCAAAATGTTAACAGTTGGTGAATCTACGTAAAGGGTATATTGAGTTTTCTTATAACTTTTCTATAGCTTTGAAATTTTTCTGAGTAGCTGTTAAAAAAATGAAAATATTTACTGACATATCTTTTCAGCTCCTTCTACTGAATTAGTTTCTGGAGGATCTGATAATCAAGTGATTCACTGGGAAATAGAGAATAATCAGGTGGGTAGGCATGTTTATAATTATAGGAAATGACTGTTACATCTTTTATTTTCAACTTTTTCCTCATTCTGTTATGTTCTTTCTTTATGAAATTGCCTCATTCTTGCTTATCTGTAATCCAGGTCCTTTTCTGTACTTCACAGGCCCTGTACCCTTCCCTCTAATATTTGCTCCCATATTCATATGCTGTCAGTCATTTCTGTGGGTTTCCTATTTATTTTGGAATAATTTTTAAGCAGCTTTTACATGGGCTGTTTCATCTGTTTTCAGTGATATAAAAAATTAATACTGCTGTGTTCATAGAGTAGCTGGTGTCCTGTAGATATAGATGTACATACCGTAATTCTCAGTGATATAATATGCTATGCTCGGTATAGATAGACCGTTATTGATGGACATTTAGGTTGTTTCTAGTTGTAAGAAAAGATTAAAAGTGAAAAATTAGTGTGGTAGGTATTGGAATATCTGCCATACAGAAGATGCAGATGAGGCAAAAGCCTATTCATGAATCATGTACGTAGTTTGAAGGCAAAATGTACTTGAATAAAGTACAAGGGTGGCTCCAGCGTAGATGCTCTAACTTGCTGCCCCACAACCATGGTGGAGTGAGTTCAGAAAAGGTTTAAGAGGTGTCCTTTGGGTTGGTTCTTAAAGTATGAGGTGATTTCCTTTGGAGGAGTTAAAGGAGTGAGAATTTTTGGTAGGAAAACTAGCATGAGTCAAAGCTCAGGTGAGAAAGGAGAACCCTCTGCTCAGGAGTGTCCAGTTGTTTTGTTTTTGTTTTTGTTTTTTAATATATTTTTATTGACTTCAGAGAAGAAGGGAAAAGGAGAGAGAGAGAAACATCAATGATGAGAAAGAATCATTGATCGGTTGCCTTCTGCATGCACCCTATTGGGGATGGAGCCCACAACCTGGGTATGTGCCCTTGACCAGAATTGAACCCGGGACCCTTCAGTCCGCAGGTTGAGGCTTTATCCACTGAGCCTAACCAGCTAGGGTAGGAGTGTCCAGTTTTAATCAAAGCCTAAGATGTCTTTAGGGCAGGTCTTCCTTATTTTATTTTATTTTTTGTTAATCCCCACCCAAGGATATTTTCCATTGATTTTTAGAAAGAGTGGAAGGGAGAGGGAGAGATGCAGAGAGAAACATCAATGTGAGAGAGACACATTGATTGGTTGCCTCTGCACGCACTCCTCAACCAGGGTCGAGCCTGCAACCAAGGTATGTACCCTTGACCAGAATAAAACCCAGGACCCTTCAGTCCGTGGGCTGAAGCCCTATCCATGGAGCCAAACCAGCTATGGCTAGGGCAATGCTTTTTCTAAAGTGTGTTCAGAGAATTATTCATTTCTTAAGATGTTCCATGAAAAAAGGAATCCATGGCCAATCCAGTTTGGGAAACACTGCATTTACCTCTAAGAGAATTCCCTATGCATGAGGGTAGTGAGGGCTCTGAAAGGTTCTGACATGGATGAACCTGCTTACTTTTGTTTGCCTTGCATTTCCCAAACTTGTTTCAAGTCTGAACTTTCTTGTTTTCCCCTTTCAAATCTCTTAGTAGTCCTTGTAACTTTAAGAAATTCAGTTTTAGGAATGTTTCTAGATAATACATTGTGGGCAGTAATACTAGAGAAGCAGAATAGGAGATGATCCTATTCGGATTTGAACACTTGCTTTAAAAGTTTGTTTTTTATTAGCAGGCATTTGGAAGTCATTGATAATTTCTAAGAAGAGGAGTATAAATATCAAAAGATTAATCTGACATCCATGTGACAAATTAAATTGGGAAAAATGTGAAGGAAGGGATATGGGATGTATTTTTGTTTTGTTTTAAATATATTTTATTGATTTTTTACAGAGAGGAAGGGAGAAAGATAGAGAGTTAGAAATATTGACGAGAGAAACATCGATCAGCTGCCTCCTGCACATCTACTGGGGATATGCCCGCAACCCAAGTACATGTCCTTGACCGGAATCGAACCTGGGACCTTTCAGTCCGCAGGCTGACGCTCTATCCACTGAGCCAAACCGGTTTTGGCTATTTTTGAAGGAAAATGATTTTGGTATTGAGTACCTAGTTATCAAAGGAGTGGGGAGCTGGTGGTTAGGGGAGTGAGTAGTCAAAAACCATGAGATTGTGTCTTAGGGCCCTGGAGAAAGATGCTTCTACAAAGGAAAATAGGCAAGGAGGGAAGATGTGGATTTCATTTGTAGACATGTTATTTGCACACAGAATTGTCCTTCCCTGGTCTGGAAGTAGTGATTTTGGAGCCACCTGGACTTGAATGAATGCAAAGGGATGTGCAGCAAACTTAACTCCTGTTTGGAATGATTTTAGCAGAGGAATCCAGAGAGAGAGGACCTTAGCATTCATTTTTGAGATTTGAGAGAAGACTTGGCAAGACTCTTTTCCTCAGTGCTGCCCCAAACTTCTGTCAATAGAAAGTACTGCAGGCTCAGCAAGTATCTGATGGCGGACAGCAAGCTTAGCTTGGGAGGGGACTGCCGGGGTCCAACCCCAGCGGGTCCAGGGGTCCCCAAAGGTGTGGATGGAGTCGGCGAAGAAGAGATGATATGGAGACAGCGTTCAGTTGATCAGCAGCCTAGCCAGGATCTCTAGCCAGGATCTCCAGGCAAGTTCTGGTCTGGATCTCCAGCGAAGTTCTGGTTAGGATCTCCAGCCAGGTTCTGTGTCCATGTTCTCTTGCTAGGTTCTCCAGGTTCTCCAGCCAGGTTCTGTAGCCATGTTCCCTCGCTAGGTTCTCCAGCCAGGTTCTGTCCAGGTTCTCCAGCCAGGTTCAGTCACCAGGTTCTAGTCAGGTTCTCTTGCCAATTTCTGTAGTCAGGTTCAGTCCAGGATCTTTTGCCATGTTCTCTCCAGCGAAGTTCTTCTGTCTCTAGTGAACGTTCTGTGTAGGTTCTGTGCCTCCTAAGTTCTGTGTTCTTCTGGTTCCGTATTCTAAGTTCTGTGTCCTAAGTTTTGTGTTCTAAGTTCTGTGTTCTAAGTTCTGTGTTCTAAGTTCTGTCTCTTGCTGTCTTATTACATCTGTATTTATACCAGTTGATTCAATCCTATCAATCTCTATTACAAAGGTTAGGGCGTTTCCTATCTCCATTCCAGGGAGTAAAGATTATGTAGCTTAAGCATGATTGTTTGTAGTTAAAGTGATTAATTACCCACCTGGCACTAGTTAAGAGGTTTTATTCCCTCCCTAACTTCAGGGGAAAATCCCTACCTGGGGAAACAACCTTTCTCAGAGACCTTGGTTAAAACACATAGTGCCAAGAAGGTGAGCAAACATATTAAGAACAGTATGCTATATATGCCAGGTCCCTTGAAACAGCAAGCATGGACCGGCTCCCGGCAGGGGACAGAAGGGAGAATGTGAAGCCAAATGGGGATCAATTGTGTAAAGACAGGAGGAGGAGTAAGAGGATTTAGGGGAAGGGGCCACACATTGTAACCTGAGGGGCTTACATGTTCTTTCCCATATGCATTTCCATGCACACAGGTGCTCAACACACCTTGACTTCTGATAACAGGAAGTAATTCTAAGCTGGTATGAGAGGTTTCAGTCTTTGAACAGTGAGCATTGTTTTTTAAAAAGCTGGTGAACTTGAGAGATTTCTTTTGCTTGAGTTTTAAAAATTCTGTGATGTTTGAAATATAACCCTGTTTAAAGATCTGAAGTGTTTTCAATAGATTTAATTTTTTAAGGCATAATGATACAGACTCAAAACGAAGTTTCAATATAGAGAAGTATAAAGAAGGAAAAAAAACTATATACAAAATCTCAACAGAGTTAACATTCTGATGAACATTGTCTCAGCTATGTAGTATGTATGTACAATTATACATACTATATCTGAGTAATTTTAAATGTTTTTCAAGGAAGCCAAAGGTTAATGATGAAAGAAAGTTAGTGTACAGACCCTTATACATAACAATTACCTCTGGAGTAGCAGAGTTTTGCCTAAGTAATTAGGAAATAGCTGAGGAGACACTTAAGGACACCACTATTTGAGAAGATAATTTATGGAAGATACCTCTCAAAGGAAGTGGTGGAGTCTCACACATTTGGAAATCTAAGAAATACACCTAAAACAACAGAAATTATGCCACAGTGAAGAATCTTGCATGGCAAGCAGGTGGACTTGATAAACAGATGGGATCCTGGTTCTGTTTGCAATGTTTCCATTTTGCAGCTATGCTTGTTTAGGCAAGTGTCTTGTGGGGATGCTAAAATCACTAGGTAGTAGTTTGATGAAGAATAGAATACATACTCACTCCCAAAGTATAATCTTGTATCAACCCCCAAAATTTTAAGTTCACAGTGAAAAAATCTGGCAGACACTACCTTTACTAAGATACCAAGGTTAACTTCACTAAAATTGGAACAGATTGACATCATGGATGTGATGCTCTTAGATAGTATTGATGACAAAACATCAGACTTAATTCAAAAAGGACCATTCCACAAAGCTGGCCTATGTTCTTCAATTTCTCAATGTCATGGACATCTTTCCATAGTAATAGCATATATTTATCTACATTATCTTTTTATTGGCTACAGTGTATGTGTGGAGTAATTAATCAGTTCCCTATGAATAATTTTTGGTTTATTTTTTACTATTATAAAGTGTGTGATCGATGCCCACATCCTCTACCAAAACACACACACACACACACACACACACACACACACCAAAACAAAAAGTGAGTGTGAATTTATCTTTTATTATTTGTTAAACTATTGCTGTTAGCACCTCAGATAGATTTTAGATGTGAGATTGCTGTGTCAAGGTTATGCACATTTTTTGTATCATTAATATGGTCAGACAGAGTTCTCGAAAGTTAACATTCTCTTCAACTGAAAGGACCTATTTCTAGGTCTCACATTTTATCAGTACCATTAATCCTGTGATTTCAGTTAAAGGTGAAACTGGTAATTCCTTTTTATCACAATGTTTTTGCCATTTTTTCTGACTCAGCTTTTAAAAGCGGTTCCTCTCTACGGCCATGAAGGACCTGTTTATGCAGTGCATGCTGTCTACCAGAGAAGGGCATCGGATGCTACATTGCAGACACTGATGGTTTCTGCAGCTTCAGATTCCACTGTTAGAGTCTGGTCTAAAGAGGGTTCAGCTGGTATGTCTAAAGACTTTATAATCTAACTAGGGGCCTAGTGCATGAATTGGTGCACCTTGAAAGGAACTGTGGGCTGCGGCCGATGCCCACCATGTTCCATGCACACCCCCTGGTGGTCAGCGCACCTCACAGCGACTGTTCAGTTGTTCCACTATTCCATCTATTTGCATATTAGGGTTTTATATAGAGAAGATAGATGTAAATTTCCTGCCAGTCTTTTCATATAAGTAATTTTGTTCTCTGTAACCTTGTTAAACATTGACCATTTCAATTCACATGGTGTGTAGGGCTCAGAATTGACTTCGCTCAACTCCTGCTAGTGTGATGCTGCTGCCCAATCTCTAGGTAGATTAGCTCAGAGTTAGTCGTTCATGGTGTTTTTCATTAATTTTTAGTAACCTGCCTTCAGACCTTGAGCTTTGGAAACGGATTCACTCTGGCTCTCTGCTTATCTTTTTTGCCTAATACTGATGGTGAGTATCCTCTTAAGAGCAATATATTTTCATATCTCCATATGACCAGAACTTAAAAGAAACATTTGGTCTCAATTTTGTATCTAAATTTTTTCACGAAACAGGTTGAGACCTAGCTAATATACTTTGTTGTCAATATTCAAAAGATCTGAATATAGAACATAAGATTAAAAGAGGCTATTAGGATTTTGGTAGTTGTTGAAAATTTAAATGGCTTCATAATGTAATCAAGATTGATACTGCTATTTATGAAATATATTGCTGATGTATGTAGATCTAATTTGGGAAAATTGTCTAGCTCTTTAGATGGTGAAGGTCTGGGATAAGTTGGAAAAGTACTGAAGATGGACCATGTGAGCATTAAAAGAGGACAGCCCCTTTCTATCCTGCATGATGACATTTTTGCCTAAGATCACTTACTTAAAATCTCCAAACAGAAAATTTTCCCTTTTGCTAGGAAACTCATCTGTACTTCCCTTTGATCATCCCTCACAAAGATGATGGCCAGTGTGAGTCTGTCTGTCTGTGTCCTCAGTAACCTGGAGGACAGGCTAGGGGAGAGAGGCGGGTCTGGAAGCCACCAGCCTCTTGCCTTTTGGGGTAGGAGCTGTGAACTCATAGTTTCATGTGATGCTTCCATTTTGTATGAGGGCCCCCTCGGAGGAGGAACTCACACATTCTGGTTTCATAACATCGAATTTAAATGTCTTCCCACATATACCGAGGCCAAGTGACTGGAGTTTTTTGGTTTTGTTTTTAGTGGATTTAAAATGAGAAAATCTTTGAAAAATTCACCTGGTAGCAAGGTGTTTCCCTAGAGCAGTGGTCGGCAAACTCATTAGTCAACAGAGCCAAATATCAACAGTACAACGATTGAAATTTCTTTTGAGAGCCAAATTTTTTAAACTTAAACTATATAGGTAGGTACATTCAACTTTAAATTCACGGTTTTTGTCTTCCGTTTTTCTTTGCTTCTTCTTTGTAGCCATCTCAAACAGGGCACCTAAAAAAAGTTTCATTTTATAATAATAAAGCCACCAACACAAAAGAATTACAATTCTTAAATTGATGACAAAAATACCTGTAGGATTTGCAGCTGGTTGGAAAAACACAGGTAACTTTATGCTTCGAGTAGGTACTTTTGTCACCCGCGCACGTGCATGAATTGGTGCACTTTTTTTTTACGGAGGCGACTAGCACTAACCACTGCACAATGAGACTGCTGACTGACTGGCTCACTCAACTCGTGCATGAATTGCATGCGCCTCCTGCACTGCATATCTCGCGGCCCACCTGTGCCGCCCCGTCCCCGGACCCATCGACACCCCCCACTTCTTCTAAGCACTGACACTTCTTCAAAATAGACTCACCCAGGCCAAAACCGACTTCTGCGCATGGGCCACGAAGTTTCAATCGCACTGTACATGCGTGCCCGCTGTGGTATTTTGTGGAAGAGCCACACTCAAGGGGCCAAAGAGCCGCATGTGGCTCACGAGCCACGGTTTGCCAACCACTGCCCTAGAGAAAGCGTTCCTACTTTATTTTGCTCCACAGTCATGAAGGCTATCCCTTGGTAATGTGAATTAGTTTTTTGTGCTATTAAAGAAAACCAATTTTACACTTGCACCTCTCATAGCTTTTTAACCACATATTTAATTATATGTGTTTTTATTTGGTTCTTTAATTGCTTCAGGAATTTTGTTTTACTATTGAATTCTCAAAATGTGAGACCCTCAAAGTAACAACCATACCATGACTGCATCTTTGTGCAGTAACCATGATGCCAGGCTGATAGTAGCTCTTCATTTTATTATTCAACTAGAGTCCTAGTGTATGGATTTGTGCACTGGTCGAGTCCCTCGCCTGGCCTGCAGGGATTGGGCCGAAACTTGATCTCTGATATCCTCTGAGGGGTCCTGGATTGCAAGAGCATGCAGGCCAGGCCAAGGGATCCCATCGGGGCTGGAGAGGGACTGTGGGAGGGCTCCAGGGTGTGTCTGGTCTGTCTCACCCAGTTCTGATAGACCGGACTCCAGCAGCAAGCTAACCTACCGGTTGGAGTGTCTGCCCCCTGGTGGTCAGTGCTTATAGTGACTGGTTGAACAGTCGAACGAACGGTCGGACACAGCATATTAGCCTTTTATATATATATAGATTGGGCTAACTTCATATTAGTCTTCGGGCTGACAGTGAAAATGTTCCCAATTGCTCTCGTGCTTCTCCTTTCATTGCTCCTTCTATCATAAAATACTTATAATGGAGAAAAGGGCTCTCAATCAGTAGTCATTCATTGCCAAGTAATCATTTAATAGGACATTTAGAGAGTTCACTTTATTCCTATAGACATTTATTGAGCACTTTCAATTTATTTGTTCAGTGATGTGAGAAATAGAAACCAGGGTTCTTTATTTAGAGTTTGGAATCCAGCAGAGGTGATAATCATAATGTCTGATTGAATACTTAACAGCAAAGCCTCTTTTTTTCCCCCCAGTACCAATACTAGCATGTGGCGATGATGACTGCAAAATCCACTTATTTGTTCAACAGAATGATCAGGTAATTGATGATGTTTATGAAGAGACTGACATTAGCTTCTGCTTAATTACATTTCTTAAAGCCGACTATTTCCAGATTATAGAATTTCAGGAATGTTCTCATCTAAACCAAAATAATCCAATAGGAGTATTTCTTTTACAATTCTTTGTTAGATGGTTTTCCACCAAGCAGCTGCTGCCTTGACTACCAGGTCCAGGGTTGTTAGAAGGAAACAGGTCGCTAGGTGGGGGAAGAAGAGGAGGAAGATACTGTGGTAGTGTTTTTTCTTTAAAATTTTAAGTGACGTACATCATTCCTACAGTGAAAACACTCCCTGGTAGTGTTCATTTGTCTTTCTGAACCTTATGGACACTTTGAGTAGTTAAACTAGGGGAGGGAATTTCTAGAAAGGGGGTTCTTAACTAGAGGCTCTTTTATTTAATAAAGGAGATAGTTTCTTTGCATTCTGTAAGACAGTTTAAAATGGTTGTGAATGTTCCACTACCTCCCTTTTATCTATGTTACATCATAGCGTATATCATTCTATTTTGTAAACATTTAGAGTATTTGAGGTCTACAGATCTTATCTACTCAGCATTACTCAATTAGATGATATCGGTGATTATGAGATTTTTCATGAGACGTCTACCTTGTGTCTAATCAGATAGTGTTCCCCAGTTGTTTTTTTTTAAAGAAGAGATGCAGCAGGACTGGCTGGGACCAAATGAAATCGATATACATGAAAATATTAAATTCTTACCCCAGGCCTGATGATTTTTTATCTTATAGTTTCAGAAAGTGCTTTTTCTCTCTGGACATGAGGATTGGATAAGAGGCGTGGAGTGGGCAGTCTTTGGTCAGTATGAAATTTTGTTAAATCACTGTGATAGGGACTAGTGTGTGTAACTTCCAAGAAAGCAGCCCCCTATGTTTTAATTTAAAATTTTCTTTGTATGTACTATTAGAAAAGAGGATACTTATCCCTTCTGTTAACTATTAACTAGAAAAGAGGATACTTATCCATTCTGTTAACTATTAATTGGCGTGGTAGAAGATGAAACAAGTTGATGTTTAAAATAGGACACAAGCCGACTATTCCACATGCAGGCATTCTTGAAAAGTTCTTTGTAGATCTTAGTAGACTGTATATAAGAATATCACATGCTACAACCATATGTCAGCATTGTACTATATTTGTCAATGTCAGTAAAACTGAATATAGGTCAAATGAATGAAGGATAAGGAAGCAAAGTCTAATTTTTTCAGGAAATCTAGAAGTGTGCCTGTTGTAGAGGAGAAAGTCTTATACCTAAATTTAAGAATATATTAATAATAATAAACTTATTTTTTTAATTAGGTAAAGATCTTTTCCTAGCAAGCTGTTCACAAGATTGTCTGATACGAATATGGAAGATGTATATAAAATCAACATCATTAGAAAATCAGGATGATGATAATATAAGACTGAAGGAAAATACTTTCACTGTAGAAAATGAAAGTGAGTAATAATGAAAATATTTGATGTAATAATACTTAGGTCTCCTAGCTGAATCATTTTGTTTTATTATAAACCTATGTGAAGGTTAGTTTTTCAGAAATATCAGAGCCCTACATGAAATTTGATACTATGCATTTTTCCTTTTTTTATTTTTATGGAATGATGAGTCATTTTTCATATATGAAACTTATTTTTGTTGTAAATCATACTAGTAAGATTTTTTAAAATTGCTGAAAATATTTCAAAATGTTTTCTTAATAAATTAACTTGTATAATGTTACTAAATTTGTAATTTTAGCATATGAAGATCAAAAGAAATGTGAATTAGCCATACCTTAGTTGGAAGATACTCTACAAGACAAGCTAAATGCCTACATTTGAGGAGTATATATAATTCTGATTTTCTTACTGTCTGGCATGAGAACAGTCCCCCTGCATAGGGTATTGATCCTGTTGAAATAATTGTATTTGAAGAAGTTATTTTTGTTTGTTTTTTGAAGAAGGTATTTTTGGATGTGTATCTAAATTGTAAACTTAGTTCCCAGTGAGCATTGTTCCCCCAGGAATTCTCTTCTTTGTTATTGCTCTTCTTTTTTAAAAAAATATATTTTACTGATTTTTTTACAGAGAGGAAGGGAGAAGGATAGAGAGTTAGAAACATTGATGAGAGAGAAACATTGATCAGCTGCCTCCTGCACATTCCCTACTGGGTATGTGCCCGCAACCAAGGTACATGCCCTTGACCAGAATCGAACCTGGGACCCTTAAGTCTGCAAGCTGACGCTCTATCCACTGAGCTAAACCGGTTAGGGCTGTTATTGCTCTTCTTCTTGATTATAAAGCCCATAAGAGTTGAGATTTTGGTAACTGTTTTATGGAGGGAGCAAAGAAATGCTATAACCAGCATATTATGAGTAGCTATTCCCAAAGTTGAAATTTTTTGTCATATTTTTATGAATTATTTTGTTTGAAAGGTCACAAACTTTCAAACTGACTTGTCTTCCTTTACTTCTGCATTTATCTTTTTTTGTTTGTTTTGTTAATCCTCACCTGAGAATATTTTAATTAAACCCGAGACTCTGATCCACAGGCCAACACTGTAACCACTAAACAAAACTGGCCAGCGCTATCTTAATTTCTTTTAAGTGGCATTTTAGGTTATTGTACTCTGATAATGATAAGCATAGCTAGGAGACTAGCATGTCTGTTTTTTGCTTTTAAGTTGTAGTATAACAATATATCCCAGAAAATATTAAAAATAGACCATATTCTTTAATGTTTATTTCTGACCGGGTAGAGACAAGGGTAGAGAAAAATTTATCTAGAAGAGTTTTGAGGAAACAGCGCTTCTTCATTGCATTTGTTAAAGGTATTAAAATGGCATTTGCGGTTACTCTGGAGACCGTGCTGGCTGGTCATGAAAGCTGGGTGAATGCAGTTCATTGGCAGCCTTCATTTTACAAAGGTAGGACAAAAAACACACATATATCCCTCATCAGTTAAATCTCCCATGCAGAATGTTACGCTGACCAAATAAAATGGAGGGTAGTTTGAGTGTGATTAGAAATCTCAAATGTAAGACATTTTCAAGTTGACAAAGTCTAATACTACAGCCCTGTTCTGCTGGACACTCAATTCCACTGAAAATTGTACTCCTGAGCAGGAAAAGGGTGATTCCTGCCATAGTTACTGTAAGTGCCTCACCTCAGTAACTTTTTTTCTGAAAAGTTTCAGACTAGTCTTTATGGGATTGGAGAGAAATTGAGTTTTGGGCGAACTTCACTGGATCCTTTACCCTTGGCAATACAAAGATGGTAACACTGACATGCATAATTTATGAGAAAGTAAGATCCCCTCCTCCTTTTGCCCTTAACCTCCACTTCCGGAGTGATAGTTGTGTGTGTGCTCATGCTGGTGCTGGGGTGGAGCTGAGTAAGGCTCAGCCTCATTCTTCCCCAGAGCTCCTTCCCCAAACCAGAAATGGAGACTATCCATCATTACTGTTCAGGTAACCACTATTCAGCTTTTATCATATTATATATTATTTGCTACCGTTTTTAAAAAAGACATAGATATTGAGGACCCCTGTGTATTCTTTCCGAGCCCCGGCCTCTCCATCCTTCCCTAGAGGCAACTGCAGCACTGAATTCTGGGTATTAGCACTCCCAGGCATGTTTTTATACTTTACACATTGATGTCACCACAGACAGTAGTTTCATAGCTATTGACACGATCTCAGTGTGTCCTAGCCTCTTACAACTTGCCTTTTCAGCTTACCATGCTAAATATTTGGAGTTGTATCCATGTTGATTCATGTAACTCTAGTTTGTTTATTTTTATTGCAGTTTAATATTACACTGTTTAAATATACCACAACCTGTTTACTTGTTCTTGTGGTAGACATTTGTGGTGTTTCCAGATTTTGCTATTGCATTGCTAAAGTGAATGTTTTTGCAATATCCATGTTGTTTTTTCTAGTAATCTTCAAACATGATGCCTGGTGAAAACCTAAAGAAATTAGTTTATATTTTTTAGATGGTGTTCTACAGCAGCCAATGAGATTATTGTCTGCCTCAATGGATAAAACCATGATTCTCTGGGCTCCAGATGAAGAGTCGGGAGTTTGGCTAGAACAGGTAAAAATGTGGATATTTAAGGAATAGAAAATTGAGTTTATAAACTGAATATTTAATTCCCAAGTCTGTATTCCTAGAGCTGCAGATGTTCACTCTTGGTATATGTTAAATGAGTGAGAACATAATCTCTGGAATCAGTGGTTTATATTGATTATGAATTGTTTTCTGTCATTGCTATAGGTTCGAGTAGGGGAAGTCGGTGGAAATACTCTGGGATTCTATGATTGCCAGTTCAATGAAGATGGCTCTCTGATCATCGCTCATGCTTTCCATGGAGCATTGCACCTGTGGAAACAGAATGCAGCTAACCCAGTAAGAAAAGCACTTGAAACTCAGGTTAACTTATAGCACTACATCAGTGCTTCTCAACCTTTTGGCCCTTTAAATACAGTGACCCATGTTGTGACTCATGTTGTGACCCAATCATAAAATTATTTTCGTTGCTACTTCATAACTGTAATGTTGCTACTGTTATGAATCATAATGTAAATATCTGATATGCAGATGGTCTTAGGCGACTCCTGAAAAGGTCGTTCGACCGTCAAAGGGGTTGCAACCCACAGGTTGAGAACCCCTGCACTACATAGTACCAGTAGAGACATTTAAGTTTGAATGACATCACTTCTTTTTGGTAAGAAACTCATCCTTTTCTAAGAATAAAAGTATTCATTTCTCCAGCATTGGTGAGGCATTGAAATTTGCACATATATAAAATTTCTACATAAATGAACTTTAAGCTATATAAATTTTAAGTTCTTCCTTTAAGCTATGTAAATTTTTTTATGGGAGCTTTTCCTAAAATCTGTAACTTTCCTATCTTAAAGAAGGTAACATAGTTTGACGTTTTCTTGTTGAATGGTTAGGTACTCCATAGATAATGACTGAACAAGTGACTGACAAAAGGGCATTCTGAACACTTATTTTGTGATGGATTATATTGATGCTCTCAGGGGCTGTTGTTATGTGTAATTCTACATGGCCTTCCAAGTATTGGGTCCTTTGAGCTTTTTCTTATAATTTTGGTCTCTTCTCAAAGAGAGGTAGTCTTCTTCCTCTGATCATGCTGAACATTATTCCATCTTTTACTTTCTAATTTGCTTCTTATCTGCTGCTTGGGTTTGGGGAATGCAATAGCAGGAGCATAGTGGCTGAGAACACAGATTTAGGAGGTAGACATCTGAATTCAGATTCTGTGCCAGCACTTACTAAGCAGATGTATGTCCTTGAGGACATTACCTAAGTCTGTCTCAGATTTCTCATTTGTAAAATGTGCATAGTAGTAGCATCTACACTTAAGGTTTTTATGATGCTTAAATGAGTTAATATTTGTACAGCATAAAAAACAGGGCCTGGCATATATTGGATACTATGTAAATGTATTTTAATAAATGAAAGAAGTCAGAACATTGACTGAAATATGAATCACCAGATAATGGCTTCCTTTTAAAGTACAAATTCATGGATTTGCATAACATTTAATTTGTGGGCTTTGTAATAGGTGTGTTACTGATAAGGATTTGACTTCTCAATACATAGGGTGACTTGCTCTTTTCCTTGTGTCTTCAATTTGTAGTTGATTTTCATGATCGTTTCCATTTTTTTTTCCTAATATATATATTTTTTTTATTGATTTCAGAGAGGAATGGAGAGGGAGAGAGAGATAAAAACATCAATGATGAGAAAGTGTCATTGATTGGCTGCCTCCTGCATGCCTCACATTAGGGACTTGAGCCCGCAACCTGGGCATGTGCCCTGACCTGGAATTGAACCCTGACCTTCTGGTTGATAGGTTGACGCTCAACCACTGAGCCACGCTGGCTGGGGTCGTTTCTACTATTAAGTGAAACAGGAAATCATCAGCGATGACTTTTAGAAATAAATATTTTTGGAGATAAATTTAATTTCCTTCTTAACTCAGAGCTCCTTCGAGCCGTATTTCAGGTGGTCTTTGAGACCCTTCATAGGAAAAAGCATCAGATGACTAAGGAGAAACTCAAACCAGAAGACAGAATCTCACTGTACTTGTGCTTGTAACTTGGCTTCAAATTTATGATAGCTACTTAGAAGTATTGAGGGTGATTTTTTAAAAAAAAAATTGACTATTTTTTAGAGCAGTTTTAGGTTCAAAGAAAAATTGAGCAGAAAGCATGGAAGATTCCCATATATGCCCCCTCCTTCCCGCCTGCCAACCCCACACACCCCCACAACCTTCTGCACTTCAACATCCCAAAGCAGAGATGTACATTTGTTATGATCAAGAGTGATTTTTTGTTGTTGTTGTTAATTCTCACCCGAAGATATTTTTGTCCATTAATTTTTAGAGGGAATGGAAGGGAGGGGGACAGACACAGAGAGAGAAACATCGATGTGAGAGAGACACATCAATTGGTTGCCTCCTACATATGCCCAGACCAGGGCTGGGAACTGAGCCTGCAACTGCGGTGCGTGCCCTTGACCGGAATTGTGCCCAGGACCCTTCAGCACATGGGCTGACTTCTGTCTGCTGAAGCAAACTGGGGAGGGCAAGAGTGTGATTTTTAAAAACAAACTGCCCTTTAGGACTTGCAGTGGAAGACCACTGATAGTCCAAAAAGCTGCCCTTTGTTTAGAACTTTCCGGAAACTCCCATGAGTGCTAACTTTAGAATCAGTTGTATGCCACAGAGGAAATTAATAGCACATCTTTGTCATAGCCTTTTTATTTATTTTTTGACCAGAAAATAGTACAGTTTAACTTAATCACTGACCCCATTCATCAGTCTTGTCTGTGAATGACCTTTGTAGGTATTTAGACAAATTTAATTTTCCTCTTAAGGCAAGTTTTACCACCACTTGGTTTTTGCCCTAATAGACATTCAAAAGTTGTCAAGCCTGGCTGGTGTGGTTCAGTGGTTGAGTATCAACCTATTAACCAGGAGGTCACGGTTCGATTCCTAGTCACATGCCCTGCTTGTGGGCTCGATCCCCAGTGGGGCCACGTAGGAGGCAGCAGATCAAGGATTCTCTCATCATTGATGTTTCTATTTCCTCTTCCTCTCCCTTTCTCTCTGAAATCAATAAAAAATGTATGTTAAAAAAAAAAAAAAAAAAAAAAAGATGCTCTGTGGCCTGGCCAGGTGGCTCAGTTGGTTGGAGTGTCGTCCCATACTCCAAAAAGTTGTGGGCTCAATCCCTGGTCAGGGCGCATATGGAAGGCAACCAATTGATGTTTTTTTTCTCACATCAATGTTTATCTCTCTCCCTAAAATCAATAAAAATATATCCTTGGGTGACCAGCCATATGACATTTTCTGTATTTTGTTATCATTATTTATATGGTGGCTTATGTAGGCTCCCTCAGAAAGTGAACCAACTAGGCTTGATTCACCCGTCTGTCTTCTACTCTGCAATTCCCTTGACTTAGTAAAGGAAGCCATTGACGCACACAATTGGAATCTAATAACTCATTTTACTCTTTGCTTATTTAGTTTAACAAGTAAATGCTCACATAGTACCTCCTTTGTGCTGACATTGTTGTGTATTCTTTACAAATACAAACTCATTTAATCCTCATGATGATTCTATGAGGTAGGTAATTTTACAGAAGAGTTAATTTAGGCATAGAAAGGTTAAGTGGTATTTGGCTTCTAGGAGGTATTCAATAAATTATGAATGGAGGGGAATTTCCCAAAGTTACATTTTTAAAGGACATAGAACATATTTGAATGTTTAAGTTCTAATATGCTTGACTGAAAAACAGTCTCCCCCCCCCCCCCCCCCCTTGGGGAGAGGGAGATGGAGAGGGAGAGGACAGAGAAAGGCATGGGCATCTCCCAAGAGGGAGAGCACACAGATTCTATTATTTTAAGATCCCATCATGTTTACTTAGCTTTTCACCTTGCTTGGGGATTTCAGTCTTTCCCAGTAGAAGACCTGAGGGCTGAAGGCATTATCAGATTTTATTTTGAGTGGTGGTGGTCTTTGGTTATTTTGATGTGTCATGAGCACTTTCATTACAGAGAGAGTGGACTCCAGAGATTGTCATTTCAGGACACTTTGATGGTGTCCAAGATCTAATGTGGGATCCAGAAGGAGAATTTATCATCACTGTTGGTACTGACCAGACAACTCGACTTTTTGCTCCATGGAATAGAAAAGATCAATCACAGGTAAAATGTCATGTTTGACTGATCCCCGTTAATAAAAAACATCCATGAGCATGTGAAAAGTAGAGCAACATCATTAGCTATTAGGGAAATGCAAATTTAAAACCAAGATGAGATGTCACTACACACCCTCTGGAAAGGCTGAAGTAAGAAATACTGACAGTAACAAGTGGTGATAAGGATACAGAGCAACTGGAATGTTCATACATTGCTAGAGGAAATGTAAAAAGATACAAGCGTTCTGGAAACAGTTTGATATTTTCTTAAAAACTTATGCATACATGCACTCTTTACAATTCAAATAATTCAAGTGTTAAATGTATTTACTTCACTTCCACACAAAAGTTTTGTGATGCCTTGTAATTAATTCATTAGGAAACACTATCAAGTCTGCAGCAAAAGCTAATTTCTAAAGTCATAGTGTTACATAATAGTGGTTGAGGGTGGTTTTTGTCCAGGAAACTTTTCAATCTTGGACTGAGCTTAGAAAACTTGACCGCTGGTAAGCCATCGAACTGTGGTACGCGATAGAGAAAGCCAGTATATGCAGCTTCAATTTCTGACAAACACTCATGGAACCCAATTGTGGGTCAGTTCATGAGAGCTAATGAAACTGGCCACTGACATCATTGCTTTAGTAGCATATGGTAGATTCACATTAATAGAGTTGAGGAGATGGGGAGTAATATTATAGTCAAATGAAAAATAAGGCAAATGATTTGGAGTGACTTTCTGTTGCTCTTGGTGATGTGTTACTGATATGGCTCAGTTGTTTATCCATGATCTATTAAAAACAAATCATTAACAAAATTAAAAACAATAAAAACAAATCATTAAATTGGACTGAACAAAAATGTAAAATTTTTCCACTTTGAAAGATACTATCAGGAAAATGAGAAGAGAAGTCACAAACTTGGAGAAAGTATTTACATATCTGGAAAGGCTTATATCCAGAATATATAAAAAACTTTTCTGAAGACAGTAATAGGGAAACAAACTATCTAGTAAAAAAAAAAGGACAAAAGATTCGAACAGATATTTCTCTAAGAAAAATAAAGGCAGGAAAAGATTCTCAGTACCAGTCGTCATTAGGGAAGTGCAAATGAAAGCTACAGTGAGATGCCATTGTACACATATTGGAATGATTCAAGTTAAAAACTGACCAAGTGTTGATGAGGAAATGGGCAATTAGAACTCTCATATACTGCTGTTAAGTGTATAAACCACTTTGGAAAATACTTTGGCAGTTTCTGAAATCCTATATAATAAAAGCTTAATATGCTAAGTGTCCCGTCATCCGTTCAACCAATCAAAGCGTGATATGCTAATGATATGCTAAGACCGCTCAATCGTTTGCTATGGTGTGCACTGACCACCAGGGGGCAGATGCTCAGACCTGTAGGTTAGCTTGCTGCTGGGGTCCGGCTGATCAGGACTGAGTGAGACAGGTCGGATATGCCCTGGAGTCCTCCCACGGTCCCTGCCCAGCTGGCCAGCCTCCTGCGTCCCTCCCCGGCCCCAATCGTGCACCAGTGGGGTCCTTCAGCCTGGCCTGTGCCCTCTTGCAATCCGGGACCCCTTGGGGATGTCAGAGAGCTGGTTTTGGCCCGATCCCACAGGCCAGGCCAAGGGACCCCACTGGTGCATGAGTTTGTGCACCGGGCCTCTAGTATTTAAATATACATCTCCCATGTCATTCGGCCATTCTACTTATAGGTAGTATTTACTAGTACCCAAGAGAAATAGAAGCTATAGCCATGCAAAGACTTGTACACAAATGTTCATGCCTGCTTTTTTAGTTAAAGACAAAAACTGGAAACAGCCCAAATGTCTTCACAGGAGGTGGATGGATCAACGAGTAGTGGTATATCTGTACAAGGAACTACTTAGCAGTGAAAAGGATTGAACACAACAACATGGATGAATCTGCCCCAGGGTCACAGCTCCATGGCATAATCAATGATTTTTGTGTCTGAGATTTTGCTTGTTGAAAAAAATTCTGTTTTTGAACTGATGGTCATTTTTATTTATCCAATGTTAATACCCAGGTGACTTGGCATGAAATTGCACGGCCTCAGATACATGGATATGACCTGAAATGTTTGGCAATGATTAATCGGTTTCAGTTTGTATCTGGAGCAGATGAAAAAGTTCTTCGAGTATTTTCTGCACCTCGGAATTTTGTGAAAAACTTTTGTGCCATTACAGGCCAATCACTGAATCGTGTACTTTGTAATGTGAGTATCCCTTTAAATGTTTTAACTAAATCTAGTCTCTTCATTGAAATTTTTAAAAATTTTGCTTAAAGCTATAAATGAGTAGAAAGGAAGTCAAACCATTTTATTGGCTTGACAAACTTGTGGTGCACTAATTTAAATATTAAGTATTTAAATATTAAAACCAGAAGTTTTGTAACAAATTAGCTCAAGACAGTAAAATATTAAATTAAGGTATGAATACTGTATATCATCACTGTGCTGGTTTTGATGGTTAGCACATAGTTTCATAGGAGATAATTTGATTGATATAACTTACAGATCATTGGCATTTCAGATGGTACTCTGTAAAAATTTTTTTTGACTATTTGAGTATTTAAATATGTTTAATGAAAATATGGTGACTACCTTTCTGGGAAACGTCTGTGTTTGCATGAGCATCATTAGGAATGTGCCCATGAGACTTTTGGAAGTAGAGCTCCGGGCCTTCCATTTTCAGCTCACTCTTTGCTGGAAGCAGCCCAGTGCATTCCCTATGAGACCCTGAAACTCAGTGAGCTGTTAGGATTCGATGAGAGGATGCCCAACTTTCTCGATTGGGTAGAGAATTGCGGGTTAGCTGGAACCTGTCTGTTGGGGAGTGATTGCCTAGCGTTGCATCTGTTGGTTCAGGAAATGAAAGTTGGGTAGGTATCCATATAAAGGTGATCTTTAAACTGCTTCTCAGCATTTGTGAGCATGACATCTTTATAGTGCCTGATGTAATAGTAACTTTCAGTGTTTAAAACGTGTATCGTACTTTTACTCCAGCAAGATGGTGATCTTCCAGAAGGAGCTACTGTCCCCGCTTTGGGATTATCAAATAAAGCTGTCTTTCAAGGTAAGGTTAAAAAAAATTATTGGTATGTAAATCTACTTACACACTTGTATAACATATACTTAATATTCATTATAGCCGGTATTTTTTTAAAATCACAATACACACATCTGTCTCCTTTCTTACATATTTTGTGATAAGTACTCTGTACACATGCAGACCCTGAAATGGTGTCATGGAGCACTACAACCACAGATGCTAACATGGGCAGCTGAAAGAATGTTCCATGTTTTACAAACTTGGGAAATGTTAGGTCAAAGGAAAAGGAAGGACTCCTTATGGAACTGACTAGTGCTCCTACGAGCACATTAGAAAGCGCTGGAGTGGCAGAAACAGAAGCACCCTTGGCTTTGCAAGCACGCGGATATGGCTTTGAATTACACTACTTGGAAGTACCACTACTTTCTGATTGGTGGCCTTAATATTGGAACATGTTTAGGAGACGTAAAGTTGGTGACTATCTTCATGATGTTATATGTTTCTTTTAAACCAGGAGATATAGCTCCCCAGCCCTCTGATGAAGAAGAGCTGTTAACTAGGGCAGGTTTTGAGACTCATCAGATGGCCTTTCAACCCTCCGTACTTTCTGGTAAGAACTCACAAAAAGATGATTTAATAGAATCATTAGTACTCATATTTGCCACTGCTGACCTAAATAAGTGCTCTAGCATTTGCTTTTTTATTTGCATGGAAATAGAAAAAATGATTGCAGTGCTATAAATTTATTGTAGAACCTCCCACTGAGGATCAACTTTTGCAGAATACATTGTGGCCTGAAGTTCAAAAACTGTGAGTTAAACTGTTAGCAATTTGGTCTGATTCTGTCATAACTTGTGATTCCCACCCACCCCCAACTTGATTTTTCTCCTTTGTTTTCCTCTTACCTACATTTCCCTCCCCCCTGCTCAAAAGATTTTTTAGTGGCTTTCATAATAGGTGAGACTCAAACTTCACATAGATTTTTATATTACTATGTCTTTATTTACTAGGTTTGTTTATTGGTCTTAATTTATAATAACATATTTATGTATCTTCCATTAAAAAAAAACAATTTTTAGATTTGTTATTCTGTTCATCTTTTTTTCCTTTGTTGGTTCCCCATCAAAACCTTTCCATGGGCCAAAACTGGTTTGGCTCAGTGGATAGAGCGTCGGCCTGTGGACTGAAGGGTCCCAGGTTCGATTCCGGTCAAGGGCATGTATTTGGGTTGCGGGCATTTCCCCAGTGGGGGATGTGCAGGAGGCAGCTGATTGATGTTTCTCTCTCATTGATGTTTCTGGCTATCTCTCTCCCTTCCTCTCTGTAAAAAATCAATAAAATATATTTTAAAAAAAAAAAAAACCTTTCCATGGTTTATTATTTATTGTACTGGCTGGCTGGTGGTGAAAACTTGTGTTTTTTTATTTTTCTTAATCCTCACTTGAGGATATTTTTCCATTGATTTTTAGAGAGAGTGGAAGGAAGGGAGAGAGACACCAAGAGAGAAACATTGATGTGAGAGAGACACATCTATTGGTTGCCTCCCACCCGTGCCCCAACCAGGGCTGGAGATCAAGCCTGCAACCTAGATACTTTCCCTTTATCGGAATCAAACCCGGGACCCTTCAGTCCGAGGGCTGACACTCTATCCACTGAGCCAAACAAGCTAGGGCTTTCTTTTTTCTTTTTTTTTTAAGTCCTCAGCCGCGGACATGCTTAGAGAGAGAGAAACATCAGTGTGAGAGAGATCATTGATTGGTCGCTTTCTATACAATCTATTGGGATCGAACCTACAACCTAAGTATGTGACCTGACTGGGAATCAAACCTACAGCCTTTCAGTGTATGGGATGATGCTCAACCAATTGAGCCAACTCTGGCCATCCAAACCTTGTAGTTTAATCTTATTGTTTGAATAAGTTATATTACTTCTAGGACATTGGCATTTTTCTATAGTCTCTGTTTTTCCACCAAATGTTTGCCTGGGCAGAAATATAATGTTCCTTAAAAGAACTGTATGTTAGCTAGCGAGGTTGATGTTATTCTTTTCACATTTTAAAACTTTTTTTTTTTTTAAATTAAATCTTTATTGTTCAGATTATTACATTTGTTCCTCTTTTTCCACCCCCATAACTCCCCTCCTCCCAGTTCCCGCCCCACCCTCCGCCCTCACTCCCCACCCACTGTCCTCATCCATAGGTGCACGATTTTTGTCCAGTCTCTTCCTGCATCTCCCACACCCCTTTCCCCCCCAAGAATAGTCAGTCCATTCTTCACATTTTAAAACTTTTAACATGAGGATATTTACTAATACAGGGGTCATGTATTTTCTCGTTTTAAATTTTAGATATGGACATGGTTACGAGTTGTTTTGTGTTGCTTGTAATAATTCAAAGACTCTGCTTGCCTCAGCTTGTAAGGTAGGGGATTTTACTTTTTTACTTTACTTGGTCACAGGTATTTGAGTCGTTAGATTGGTAGTATTTTAGTCAGAACACTGTGAATGGCCCCTGGTGCCTGCTCTCTCTAAATCTTGCTCTCTCAGCCTCTTTTTCTTTCTGTTTCATCAAAAGCTTGCAAGTCTGTTTCAGCTGCCCATTTTTATTCCTAAATACTTGATTTGAACTGATTTATGTCCCTACTCAAAAATTAGTATCTTAATATGAGACCTAAAAATATGATACATTAAAAATAATCTGGGGAGAACCAAGATGGCGGCATAGGTTAACGCCGGAGTTTGCTGCTTTGAACAACTACTTCAAAAGTGAAACCAAAAAACGGAAGGGACATCACCCAGAACCACAGGAACGCTGGCTGAGTGGAAGTCCTACAACTGGGAGGAAAGAGAAACGCATACGGACACTCAGAGGAGGCGCAGTGCTGAAGTCAAATTCTGAGGTGCGGAGTGCGCGGAGCGGGCTGGCGGCGGAGGGCGCGGTTGGCGTTTTCAATCGGGAGGGAGTCGCAGACTCTGAGCTCCAGATCCGGGCGAGTCTTTAGGGACCCAGACTCAAACGGGAGAAGCGGGACTGTCTGGCTTCGGTCAGAGCGAGTGCAGCTTTCTCTCTGAGCTTTGCAGCGGGTGCTGGGACTCGGAGAGGCAGAGCCCCTGGGGATAGGACTGAGAGCCGCCATAACTGCTCTCTCCGGCCCACCCTGTTGATCCTGTGCGACCCGCCCCGCCCAAGCCCTGCACACAGGCATTTGCCGGATAGCCTCAGGCAAAGGCCAGATTAGCACCTCCCTAGAGGACAGAAGTTCTCTCACTGCTGACACAGCTGATTCTCATAGCCACTTGGCCTGGAGGTCAAACCCTCCCTGGAATTAGCTACAACAATCAAGATTTAACTATAAGACTGGGAACAAAGACCACTAGGGGGTGCACCAAGGAAGCATAAGAAAATGCGGAGACAAAGAAACAGGACAAAATTGTCAATGGAAGATATAGAGTTCAGAACCACACTTTTAAGGTCTCTCAAGAACTGTTTAGAAGCCGCCGATAAACTTAATGAGATCTACAAGAAAACTAATGAGACCCTCGATCTTATATTGGGGAACCAACTAGAAATTAAGCATACACGGACTGAAATAACGAATATTATACAGACTCCCGACAGCAGACCAGAGGAGCGCAAGAATCAAGTCAATGATTTTTTTTTTTTTTTTGGTTATTTTTTTTTTTTTATTATATTTTTTTGGTTTTTTACAGAGAGGAAGGGAGAGAGATAGAGAGTTAGAAACATCGATGAGAGAGAAACATCGATCAGCTGCCTCCTGCACATCTCCTACTGGGGATATGCCCGCAACCCAGGTACATGCCCTTGACCGGAATTGAACCTGGGACCTTTCAGTCCGCAGGCCGACGCTCTATCCACTGAGCCAAACCGGTTTCGGCCAAGTCAATGATTTGAAATGCGAGGAAGCAAAAAACACCCAACCGGAAAAGCAAAATGAAAAAAGAATCCAAAAATGCGAGGATAGTGTAAGGAGCCTCTGGGACAGCTTTAAGCGTACCAACATCAGAATTATAGGGGTGCCAGAAGATGAGAGAGAGCAAGATATTGAAAACCTATTTGAAGAAATAATGACAGAAAACTTCCCCCACCTGGTGAAAGAAATGGACTTACAGGTCCAAGAAGCGCGGAGAACCCCAAACAAAAGGAATCCAAAGAGGACCACACCAAGACACATCATAATTAAAATGCCAAGAGCAAAAGATAAAGAGAGAATCTTAAAAACAGCAAGAGAAAGAAACTCAGTTACCTACAAGGGAATACACATACGACTGTCAGCTGATTTCTCAACAGAAACCATGCAGGCCAGAAGAGAGTGGCAAGAAATATTCAAAGTGATGAATGCCAAGAACCTACAACCAAGATTACTTTATCCAGCAAAGCTATCATTCAGAATTGAAGGTCAGATAAAGAGCTTCACAGATAAGGAAAAGCTAAAGGAGTTCATCACCACCAAACCAGGATTATATGAAATGCTGAAAGGTATCCTTTAAGAAGAGGAAGAGGAAGAAAAAGGTAAAGATACAAATTATGAACAACAAATATGCATCTATCAACAAGTGAATCTAAGAATCAAGTGAATAAATAATCTGATGAACAGAATGAACTGGTGATTATAATAGAATCAGGGACGTAGAAAGGGAATGGACTGACTATTCTTGGGGGGAAAGGGGTGTGGGAGATGCGGGAAGAGACTGGACAAAAATCGTGCACCTTTGGATGAGGACAGTGGGTGGGGATTGAGGGCGGAGGGTGGGGCGGGAACTGGGAGGAGGGGAGTTATGGGGGGAAAAAAAAGAGGAACAAATGTAATAATCTGAACAATAAAGATTTAATTAAAAATAATCTGAATCCCAGAGATATGGGAATGAGAAGGTGAAACTAGAGGGAGGGCACTCCCTCTGATGGTTTCTCGAGGACACTCTTAGAAGGGACCTAAGGGAGTGGAGCTCCTCCGCCCGAGTCCCGGTGAGGCTGGGTGGTGGCCTGCTCAGCTAGCCCCCGCTTGTAGCTGCAGAATAGTGCACTCCAGACATTTGCCTGGGAGACCGTCCGATCTTGAACTCACTGTTCGTAATCTATCCACGTGCTGTGGAGTGAAATAATGTTTATGGAGGATTGTCTGAAGGGTCTCACACCCACACATTCCTCTTAACTTTTCTAAAATGTATTTACTTGTTTTAAGCATGATGATGAGAGCTGCCCATCTGGATGGCCCACTGTCCCTGCCTTTGCTGTGGCTTCTTGCCACTGGTTGGTATTGAGAGGCATCCTAAGAGATTGCTGTGCCCTCCTGCTCCACCCCCTTGCTTGCCCCCTCTGTGAAGGTGGTCCTAGCAGTACTTCTGTTACAGGGGCCTGTGGGAAGAATGCGGCTTAGTAGCAGGGATAGTTGTGCTGCTACTGAGCAGCTAATTTGTCTTTACCTTTGGGCACTGTCAGTCGTAGATAATTATTCCCAGTGTCTTTTCATTTTCCTAAGAGTGTTTTTCACAGAGCAGAAGTTGTATGATTTGGTGAAGTCTAACTTACCAATTTTTTCCATATTGGGTTGTGTTTTTTAACACACGTTTAGTGCTATAAATTTTCCTCTAAGCATTGTTTTTGAGTCATTCCGCAAATTTTAATGTGTTGTGTTTTCATTTTCATTCAATTAAAAATACTTTCTAATATTCCTTTGATTTCATCTTTGACCTATAGTTTATTTTGAAATGTAGTATTTAGTTTCCATATGCTGAGCTTTTCCCAGTTATCTCTCCGTTGATGATTTCTAATTTCATTTCATTGTGGTCAGAGAACAAATATGATTTAAATCTTAAACTTTAATCTTGGTAAGTTTCCGTTTTCATTTTGGAAAGAATGGATTCTATTTCTGTTAGGTAGAGTGTTCTGAAAATATGAACTAGGTCAGATTGGTTGATAGTATTGTTCAAGTATTTATCCTTTCAGTTTTATTGAGAATGGCATTTTGAGATCTCTGACTATAATTGTGCACTTGTCTTTTAATCATTTCAATTCAGTCAGTTTTTACTTTATGTATTTTGAAACTGTTGTAAAAACATTTTGATTGCTAGATTTTTTTGATTAATTGGCTCTCTTTAATTTCTGGTTATATATTATGCTCTGAAATCTACTTTGCTATTCATATTGTCAATCTAGCTTTCTTTTGAATTGTGCTTGAATTATATATCTTTTCTATCATTTTACTTTTAAGCTACCTATTTTATTTCAAGTGGGTTTTTTGGGGGCAGCATATAGTTGAGTCTTGCTTTTTTTCCTCATCTTGATAATCTCATTTTAATAGGGATTTTATTAGATCATTTACATTTAATGTCATAATTTATATGGTTGGACTTAAATCTGTCATCTTACTATTTGTTTTCTACTTGATCCATCTGTTTCTTGTTCCATTTTAGTTACATTGGATTAATTGATACTTTTTTTTTTTAATTAAATCTTTATTGTTCAGATTATTACATTTGTTCCTCTTTTTTCCCCCCCATAATTCCCCTCCTCCCAGTTCCCGCCCCACCCTCCGCCCTCACTCCCCACCCACTGTCCTCTTCCATAGGTGCACGATTTTTGTCCAGTCTCTTTCTGCATCTCCCACACCCCTTTCCCCCCCAAGAATAGTCAGTCCATTCCCTTTCTATGTCCCTGATTCTATTATGATCACCAGATTATTTATTCACTTGATTCTTAGATTCACTTGTTGATAGATGCATATTTGTTGTTCATAATTTGTATCTTTACCTTTTTCTTGCTCTTCCTCTTCTTAAAGGATACCTTTCAGCATTTCATATAATCCTGGTTTGGTGGTGATGAACTCCTTTAGCTTTTCCTTATCTGTGAAGCTCTTTATCTGACCTTCAATTCTGAATGATAGCTTTGCTGGATAAAGTAATCTTGGTTGTAGGTTCTTGGTATTCATCACTTTGAATATTTCTTGCCATTCCCTTCTGGCCTGCAAAGTTTCTGTTGAGAAATCAGCTGACAGTCGTATGGGTATTCCCTTGTAGGTAACTGGGTTTCTTTCTCTTGCTGCTTTTAGGATTCTCTCTTTGTCTTTTGCTCTTGGCATTTTAATTATGATGTGTCTTGGTGTGGTCCTCTTTGGATTCCTTTTGTTTGGGGTTCTCTGCGCTTCCTGGACCTGTAAGTCTATTTCTTTCACCAGGTGGGGGAAGTTTTCTGTCATTATTTCTTCAAATAGGTTTTCAATATCTTGGTCCCTGTCATCTTCTGTCACCCCTATAATTCTGATGTTGGTAAGCTTGAAGCTGTCCCAGAGGCTCCTTACACTATCTTCGTATTTTCGGATTCTTTTTTCATTTTGTTTTTCCAGTTGGGTGTTTTTTGCTTCTTCGCGTTTCGAATCTTTGCCTTGATTCTTGCGCTCCTCTGGTCTACTGTTGGGTGTCTGTATAATATTCTTTATTTCAATCAGTGTATGCTTAATTTCTAGTTGGTTCTTTATCACAACATCGAGGGTCTCATTAGATTTCTTGAGGATCTCACTACATTTATCGGCGGTCTCACCAGTCTTTTCATGGGCCTTACTAAGTTTATCAGCAGCTTCTAGACAGTTCTTGAGAGACCTTAAAAGTGTGGTTTTGAGCTCTATATCTTCCATTTCTGACATTTGCGTCCTGTTTCTTTGTCTCCGCATTTTTTTATCTTTTCTTGGTGCACTCCCTAGTGGTCTTTGTGCGCAGTCTTGTAGTTAAGCCTTGATTGTTGTTGGTAATACCAGGGGTGATATGACTTCCAGGCTAACTGGCTATGAGAGTCAGCTGTGTCTGCAATGGGAGAGCTTCTGTGCTGGATCTCTAGGGCGGTGCTAATCTAGCCTTTGCCTGAGGCTATCTGGCAAATGGCTCTGTGCAGGGCTTGGGCGGGGCAGGTCCCCGGGGATCTACAGGGTGGGCGGAGCGAGCAGTTATGGCTGCTCTCAGTTCCGTCCCTAGGGGCTCTGCCTCTCAGAGTCCCAGCAACCGCTGCAAACCTCGGAGAGAAAGCTGCCTTCGAGTTCCGACCGAAGCCAGACAGTCCCGCTTCTCCCGTTTGAGTCTGGGTCCCCAGAGACTCGCCCAGATCTGGAGCTCAGAGTCTGAAACTCCCTCCCGATTGAAAACAACAACCGTGCCCTCCGCCGCCAGCCCGCTCCGCGCGCGCACTCCACACCTGAGTATTTCACTACAGCACTGCGCCTCCTCTGAGTCTGGGTATGATATTCTCTTTCCTCCTAGTTGTAGAATTTCCACTCAGCCAGCCTTCCTGTGGTTCTGGATGATGTCCGTTCTGTCCTTTAGTTCTATCTCTGAAGTGGTTGTTCGAGGCAGCAATCTCCGGCATTAACCTATGCCGCCATCTTGGTTTCTCTCCTAATTGATACTTTTTATGATTTTACTTTATTTCTTCTGTTTGGTTAGTAGATATAACTTTTTGCTTTGTTATTTTATTGGTTATACATTTTACAGTATACGTCTTTAACTTACCACATTACCTTGAAGTAATATTGCATTGTTTTATGTACTACTTAAGAACTTTACAGAAGTATACTTTTGTTTTCCCCTACTTTGTGGTATTGTCATTGTACATTGTACTTATTCACAGAAATTCCATAACATATTGTTATTTTTGTTTTGACCAGTTATCTTTTATAGAGATTTATTTATTTATTTTTTTTGATCTATTTTCTTTTCTTTTTTTTTTTTAATTAAATCTTTATTGTTCAGATTATTACATTTGTTCCTTTTTTTTTCCCCCATAACTCCCCTCCCCCCAGTTCCCGCCCCACCCTCCACCCTCACTCCCCACCCACTGTCCTCATCCATAGGTGCACGATTTTTGTCCAGTCTCTTCCCGCATCTCCCACACCCCTTTCCCCCCAAGAATAGTCAGTCCATTCCCTTTCTATGTCCCTGATTCTATTATAATCACCAGTTCATTCTGTTCATCAGATTATTTATTCACTTGATTCTTAGATTCACTTGTTGATAGATGCATATTTGTTGTTCATAATTTGTATCTTTACCTTTTTCTTCCTCTTCCTCTTCTTAAAGGATACCTTTTAGCATTTCATATAATCCTGGTTTGGTGGTGATGAACTCCTTTAGCTTTTCCTTATCTGTGAAGCTCTTTATCTGACCTTCAATTCTGAATGATAGCTTTGCTGGATAAAGTAATCTTGGTTGTAGGTTCTTGGTATTCATCACTTTGAATATTTCTTGCCATTCCCTTCTGGCCTGCAAAGTTTCTGTTGAGAAATCAGCTGACAGTCGTATGGGTATTCCCTTGTAGGTAACTGAGTTTCTTTCTCTTGCTGCTTTTAAGATTCTCTCTTTGTCTTTTGCTCTTGGCATTTTAATGATGATGTGTCTTGGTGTGGTCCTCTTTGGATTCCTTTTGTTTGGGGTTCTCCGTGCTTCTTGGACCTGTAAGTCCATTTCTTTCACCAGGTGGGGGAAGTTTTCTGTCATTATTTCTTCAAATAGGTTTTCAATATCTTGGTCTCTCTCATCTTCTGGCACCCCTATAATTCTGATGTTGGTACGCTTGAAGCTGTCCCAGAGGCTCCTTACACTATCCTCGCATTTTTGGATTCTTTTTTCATTTTGCTTTTCCGGTTGGGTGTTTTTTGCTTCCTCGCATTTCAAATCATTGACTTGATTCTTGCGCTCCTCTGGTCTGCTGTCGGGAGTCTGTATAATATTCGTTATTTCAGTCCGTGTATGCTTAATTTCTAGTTGGTTCCCCAATATAAGATCGAGGGTCTCATTAGTTTTCTTGTAGATCTCATTAAGTTTATCGGCGGCTTCTAAACAGTTCTTGAGAGACCTTAAAAGTGTGGTTCTGAACTCTATATCTTCCATTGACAATTTTGTCCTGTTTCTTTGTCTCCGCATTTTCTTATGCTTCCTTGGTGCACCCCCTAGTGGTCTTTGTTCCCAGTCTTATAGTTAAATCTTGATTGTTGTAGCTAATTCCAGGGAGGGTTTGACCTCCAGGCCAAGTGGCTATGAGAATCAGCTGTGTCAGCAGTGAGAGAACTTCTGTCCTCTAGGGAGGTGCTAATCTGGCCTTTGCCTGAGGCTATCCGGCAAATGCCTGTGTGCAGGGCTTGGGCGGGGCGGGTCGCACAGGATCAACAGGGTGGGCCGGAGAGAGCAGTTATGGCGGCTCTCAGTCCTGTCCCCAGGGGCTCTGCCTCTCCGAGTCCCAGCACCCGCTGCAAAGCTCGGAGAGAAAGCTGCACTCGCTCTGACCGAAGCCGGACAGTCCCGCTTCTCCCGTTTGAGTCTGGGTCCCTAAAGACTCGCCCGGATCTGGAGCTCAGATTCTGCGACTCCCTCCCGATTGAAAACGCCAACCGCGCCCTCCGCCGCCAGCCCGCTCCGCGCACTCCGAACCTCAGAATTTGACTTCAGCACTGCGCCTCCTCTGAGTGTCCGTATGCGTTTCTCTTTCCTCCTAGTTGTAGGACTTCCACTCAGCCAGCGTTCCTGTGGTTCTGGGTGATGTCCCTTCCGTTTTTTGGTTTCACTTTTGAAGTAGTTGTTCAAAGCAGCAAACTCCGGCGTTAACCTATGCCGCCATCTTGGTTCTCTTTTTTATAGAGATTTAAATAATAAAAAAATTCCCATCGGATATCATTTGCCTTATGCCTAAATGATATTCTTTAACATTCTTTGTAATGCAATTCTGCTAGTCATGAATTTTATTTTTTTAGGTTTTGTTTGAAAAAAGTAGATTTCTTCATTTTTGAATGTTATTTATGATGGCTAAAGAATTGTTGGTTTTTCTTTTGTATATTAAAATGATGCTCCATTTTCTTCTGACTTGCGTTGTTTTTCACAAGTCCACTATAATTTGTCTTTGTTCCTCAGTAGTGGCTCTCCCCCTTCTTCCCCCAGCTGCAATTTCATATTTATTGCTGGCTTTAAACAGTTCAATTATTGTTGCTATAGTTTTCTTGTGCTTGGGTTTTCTTGAACTTCTTGGATCTGTAGGTTTACTGTTTTAAGTATCTTTTCTTCTTACGCTTTTTGGGGATTCTAGTTAAACCTGTGTTTAACTGCTTGAAGTTGTCGTGGAGTTTGATGATGTGTCTCCCCCCCCCCCCCCCCCCCCCGCCCCCCATTCATTTTTGTCTCTCAGGGATGAGTGTTTCATGTTTCCAGATAGCTGGGTTTTGGAGTGCCATCGTTTTCATTTACTTTGTCTGAATTTTTAATTTTTCACACAAGAGAGTAAATGTGATCCCTGTTACTTCATGTTCACTAGAAGTGAATGTCTTTAAAGTATGTTTCATCTCTGTCCTACAGGCAGCTAAGAAAGAGCATGCAGCCATCATTCTTTGGAACACCTCATCTTGGAAACAGGTGCAGAATCTGATTTTCCACAGCCTGACTGTCACACAGATGGCCTTCTCACCTAATGACAAGTTCTTACTAGCTGTTTCCAGAGATCGGACCTGGTCACTATGGCGAAGGCAGGACACATTCTCACCTGACTTAGGTAAAAACAGTTTCTGATTGGGAAGATGAGTAGGAAGACAGTTCTATCCATTTTGTCCACCTTGAGCATCTGTTGGTTGAAGAAAAGAAAAAATAATAACCGGTGAAAGGCAGAGTCTCACTGTTGTGCAGTCTTTCAAAATTCTGTAATAACTGAAGCAGACTCGACCTTCCTTGAAAAAATTAAATGCAGGTGGCCTTTGGGTTGACTTCCTTGTGATTATGTAGTCAGGATGGCATGTGTTCAGACATCTCAGTGAAGGAAACAAAAATCTGTATGGAGAAAATTTAGTTTATTAAATTTTGCAGATGGTTATAGAATGCCAACATAAAACCAAATGGATGGCATAGTCCAAGCTAGGGATTTATGGGATAGGAATAATGAAGATACAGTTAAATATGAAACTTACAGGAACTTAGAAGGACCATTATCTTTACTCTTTCTTACCCACTCCTGTCACTGATCACTGGGAAGGGTGTTTTAGGCTTCAATCTGTGGATAACATGGCCCCCTGAGCAAGATGTTAACACATCTACCTGCATTCTCTACTGAGCCTGACATAAATTGAAAAAAAAAAGAAAAGAAATAAAAGCTTGTGTGCTTTCAGCAGTGGCCATTCCTCTTTCCTCAGTTTCTTTGGGTAAAATCTTGAGAGTGTTTAAATGTCTGTTGTTTACTCCTACTTTAAATTTTTCCATTGACGCAGTCTGCATGCAGTTTGATCTTGTGATAGTTCTAGCCCCTTAGTTTCTTGTCTTTTAGAGACTATCAGGGACTGTGACACAGACTCAGCAGTACGTGTGAGAAAAGACTGGTTGCTCCTGCAAATAACTAGTGACTTCTAACATGCAACCTTTACTTTTTAAAAAGTTAAAGTGATACCAGTAACATATCCATTAATTTTCTGTATCTTTATGGATTATGTTTTAATAGATACCTTCTTTCCTCCTCATAAGCAGTTACATGTTTTAGGTTTAGTCCATATAAGGACTAGACGTTAGCTTACATTTAAATCCTACAAGGGAAAATATTTATTTTAAGTTTGGGTTTTTAAATAATCACTTAAGGGTGCATTAATCTTTTTTCCATAGCTTAATATGCAAATCTGGCTACTTCCTGAATAAGGTTGAATTGCTTCAGGCTTCTTCCATAGGCATAAACTGGACGTTTAGCTAAGTGCCTGGAAAACATTTGTCATCAGTCACTAGAGAGCAACTAGTCAATATAACTCATTCCCTACTAGAAAAGTAACAGTATTCCCATAGCCTTCTGGTGAGGGGTCAGCTGCCTAGCTGTCATCTGTTGCAAAAGTCAGCATTTGGAAATTGAATACTAAATTGCATGATGTACATGGCACTTAAACATAGCTTTTTAACAGGCAAAATACCAGCATTCTCTGCTTTGTGAGTAGTGCATGTGTGTTTCTTTCAGACCCAATTTTCAGTCTCTTTGCCTTCACCAACAAAGTCACTGCTGTGCACAGTAGAATTATTTGGTCTTGTGATTGGAGTCCTGACAGCAAGTTTTTCTTCACTGGAAGCCGAGACAAAAAGGTAATTTTTTTTAACTTAATAGTTTTCAAATGTAAATTAATATTGTTACAGGTATGCTTGGATAGAAACCACATAATCCTGACTTTCTGATACAACTTTTAAAAACCGATTTATATACTCCCTGTGTGTTTTTCATATACATATATAAAAAAGTATTTTCTTGTTAAATACTATATAGTACTTTTCTCTGAAATCTCAAATATGAGAAGACCTTTCTGACACGGCCTGTATCAGGTGGCCCCTGTGGGAGAAAAGTAATAAATGAAGTGGATCAAAACTAAGAAAGTAGGAGAGCAGGAGCAGGGCAAGGGGCATATGGGGAAAAAGTTTCTACTTTTCTTTTTCATGTTTTTATGAATGAAATGTTTTCTATAACAAATGACTATTACCTTTTCATTCAGTGGTGAGAGTGGTGTGTGTGTGTGTGTGTGTGTGTGTGTGTGTGTGTGTGTGTGTGTCCCAACATTTCTAGAAACCAAAGTAAGCTAGCTAGCAATGGGTTCTTGACCAGGACCCTCGCCCTTGTTCTCTGGGGCATGTTCACCTGGCTCCTGGTCTTTCCTCTGTTTCGTACTCTTGAATTCCTTTTCCTGCGGTGCTTGCAGACCAGGGAGTGTTTCCTCTCCCTGCCCTCGCCAGTCCTAGTCATGGTACAAATTACTGAAGTTCAGGGCCAGAGTGGGCAGTGAGATGCTGACATGTCAACCCCTGAAACGCTTTCTCTCAGACCTTCACTTCTGTTCACTCCTATTTAATTCTTCCCTGGCATTTATTTCCTGTGCTCTGCTAGCTGCCCAGGAAGCAGGGCTGTCCTGCCCTCCACAGTCACGCCCAGTCGCAGATGGCCAAGCTGTGGCTCTCAGGGATACGCCAGGGCTGAAACAGACAAGGAATCATCCACTGCACATGCTCAGAAATGCTCTTCCACTTGCTGGGGCAGAGCCTTCTACCTGTAATCTTGCTTTGGTCCTGCATTTTACACTTATTATCCGCTTTACTTCTCTCTCCCACTTCTTTTTGACCAATCACACCCCCTTCAGGTGTAAGCTTCCAGGGAAACCTTATGTCTTATGTAGGTTATCCTCAAGGTTACCCCACAGCTGATGCCCTGAGCGGTGGGTGATGTAGAGGAAGAGCCAGGGACTTGATTGGTCTCTATACATTTTGTGGTAACTTCTTGGGCAAGTGCCTGAGCCCCTCAGTGAGGACATGATCAGTTGAATCTCGCTGGATCAGAACTCCTGAGTGTGAAGAGCATGCCAGACGACCCCCTGGCAGGGACAGTCCATCTTTGGGTGGCACATGTAGGTAATTGAGGTCTCAGCAACTTGTGTCTGCTACGCTGTGGCTTCTCTGTGGTGCTTAAAGTGCTCCTCAGTTCTGGAACACACATATAAATGCTGAATTTTTTTGACTGCCAGAGCAGCTATTTTGCATATCAATGTCATTGAAACTTTCTGATGCATTGCTGGAAACCTTGCAAAGAGAATGCTTTACAGAGTCTGATGTGTTTGTGTTAGGTGGTTGTCTGGGGTGAGTGCGACTCCAGCGATGATGCCATCGAGCACAGCATCGGCCCCTGCTCCTCCGTCCTGGACGTGGGTGGGTCTGTGACAGCCGTCAGCGTCTGCCCGGTGCTTAACCTGTCCCAACGGTTAGTCTCTGCCAGGGCTTCCTTGTATGTTTTCTTTAAGAAGATCACTTGGGCCCTAATCGGTTTGGCTCAGTGGATAGAGCATTGGTCTGCGGACTGAAAGGTCCCAGGTTCGATTCCAGTCAAGGGCATGTACCTTGGTTGCCAGCAACATCCCCAGTAGGGGGTGTGCAGGAGGCAGCTGATCGATGTTTCTCTCTCATCGATGTTTCTAACTCTCTATCCCTCTCCCTTCCTCTCTGCAAAAAATCTATAAAATATTTTAAAAAAAAGAAGAAGATCACTTGGTTTCAGTATGTAGCCCTCCTACACTCATGGGCTCTTAGCTTCTGAGCTGATATTTTTTTCGTAATGTTTGTTTCTCATAAGAATTTTTAAATTGGTAGAACTTGCTGATATTCAAAGTGGTGAAAGGGAAGTTGGGAGTGTGGCTCAAAGGTTCTTATTTCACCAAATTCAGGACTGTGGTACTTTCTGTGTAATCAGTGTCTTCAGCAGAATGGGGGCCCCTGCAGCTGGCCAGGGAAACGTTGGTTCTTGGGTTTTGCCAGTGGAGGACAGAGGTAAAACTGTGGGCACCCTCGGTGGAGAGGAGACCCCTTGAGGGCACAGTACAGCAGGGCCCCATCTTCTGGGCTGGTGGTTTTAAACAGACCTTCGTAGATGTGGGGTGGTTGGGAACATAGAGGAGCTACACTGAGGAGGGATGGTGGAGATAACAGAAATTCTTGCTAAATTAGTAACTGCCTTCCTTCCCTCCCTCAAAAACAGATACGTGGTTGCAGTAGGGTTAGAGTGTGGAAGGATTTGTTTATACACCTGGAAAAAGACTAACCAAGTTCCAGAAGTAAATGACTGGGCCCCCTGTGTGGAAACAAGCCAGAGGTATTTTCTTTCTATTTTTTGCTTCCATCAGACTAGATAGAAATCATGAAATCTTTAGTGGCACATTTTACGCCATGTTTGCATGGAGAGGGACACAGATCTGTATTTGTAGTGCTTGCCACTAAGTGGTAACCCTGTGTTGTGTGGTTTATCTCTTGAAATTGATGTTTGTTAACTCTATTTTTAAGAATTCACTTAACCAAATTACTTGTTTGCATATTATCTTTACAGATTACACATTTAAAGCTAATCTCCAAATGACTTAACTGTTTTCAGTAATTAAATCCATCCTCACGCAAAGATGAGCTGTCACTGATTGTACTCAAGTCATAGCCTGTATGATATGAAACTGGAAGCAGTTCTTTTAGAAGGATTTCAGGAAGCATTGAGGCACAGCAGCACTGTGGAGATGTGTGTGACCTCCCAGAGGGGCCACTCGCAAAGGCTCAGTCATATGGTGGCATAGCTTCTGGTGTGCTGATTTTAAATGTCTCAGACTTCAAGATTAACCTGTAGTCCTACCTTGGAACTTGAGAGTGAACAGGTGACAAGGACTCTTGGTATTTGAAAGTCTAATTGGTGTGCTCTGTCATTTTCATGTTTACTGCCTTAAAATATAAGCCTTCTACTTTATTTCTTCTTGATTTGGATGCCTAATTTGCAGGTTAAACTTACAGAGAATATTATATTTTCATAGAGATTTATTAATAATCTACGTTTGAGAGCATTGTAGGTCTGTCTGCCTTGGGAGTGGGGATGGGCATTAATATGAGCGTCTTGCTCAAGGTCATGCACTTGAAGATCACATTAAAGACCAAGGTTCTTTCACTGGGCAGTTTATTAAATCATTTACTGCCCTTCCTTACCCAGCAGTAGATATGTTAGTGAGAGTCCATCCATGTCATAGGGGTGTCAGAAGAATAAAATAATCTAGAATATGTTGCAAAGCTGGAATTCTTAAAGAAACACATTCAGTAAAGTTATCTGAAAGGCTGATCTTAATAGCCATGTCATGAATTTCACTGATCATTAAAACAAAATTTGACGGAAAGTCATTATCTATTTCTTGCTCTTTTGGTGGTATCCTTGATTAGTCATTAAGTAAAAGATGTTTTCAAGGTTAGAATAAAATGACTAAAAAATTAGTGATGGTATTTTAAAACCTGTACATTGTGATTTTCAGGTTTTGACTTCATTTATGTTAATATTAATAGTAGGAGTATACTAGTTAAATTACATGTAGGTAAGCACCCAGTAAAATATTTTTTAGTCATAGAATACATTGATTTAATGCTTTCTCTGTCTTTGTTTTAGCCAAAGCCATACACTTGCTATCAAAAAATTATGCTGGAAGAATTGTAATGGAAAAACTGAGGAGAATGAAGCAGAAGGCCCTGAGTGGTTACATTTTGCAAGTTGTGGTGAAGATCATACTGTGAAGATATACAAAGTAAACAGAGGTGCACTGTAATGGACTTAATAACTACAAGCATATAATCATTAGTGTCTTAACATTTTTAAATCATGTAAATGGATAATCTGTCTTCATAATTTCATTGAGTTTCATTTGTAAGTCCTATAGGAGTATATTAATTTGTATCACAGACCTTTTGAAATCTGATGAAAGCTTCAGACTCTATTCAAAATTGTTTTATATACAGACACCCTCAGGACCTTGCCCATTCCTTCCGGGATTCAGACCTGCATCCATGTTTCAGATAAGAACTCTGTTCTTTCTTCATGACTGAACTTGCCTTTCTCTTTTTATATGCCCCTATTTGGGACATATCATTAATTATCTTCTTCAGAGGGAGGACATAGAAAATAAAAAAGAGATTAAAGCTAGATTACTCAGTTTTTTTAAAAACAGTTTTTGTAAATAGACCACACAAAGTGTGGTCTTGACCCCTTTTTCCCAGTACACACCAACCATTCTAGGAATTTGGCAGGCCATTGGGAGTTTGAAGTGTAGCCAGCCATTTCTTTCTTTGTTTAAAAGTAGATGGGTTCTTCTTTTAGGGTTTGACTTAAAGCAGAATATCTGAACATTTAATCTGATAGATGAAGGGGCTAAAAAGTCAAGTTCTGAATCATTTGATTTTATGTGAAATCACAAATGAGTCATGAGAGTAAAGGACGTCCCCAGGAAGAGTGAGTAGTGGGAGCAAAGGGAAGAAGGTGAGAGAAACAGAATGTTGGGTGAGCCAGCTGAGGTTTGGGAGGTGGGCATAGGAATTGGAAGTTGGGGTGAGAGATGTTAAGAGGGGTTATGATCCCTGGCCAGTGTTACTCAGTGGTTAAAGCCTTGGCCTGTGCACAAAGGGTCTTGGGTTTGATTCCCGGTCAAAGGCACGTACCTTGGTTGCAGGTTCCTCAGCTCTGGTAGGGGCGCATGGGGCAGGAGGTGACCAGTCAATGTGTCTATTTCATGTAGATGTTTCTCCCCCCCCCCCCCCTTCTTCCTCCCCTCCCTTCCACTCTGTCTAAAAATCAATGGAAAAAATATCCTTGGATGAGGGTTTAAAAAAAAGAGGGAGTAGGAAGACTCAGGCGAGAGTGGAGGTTTGCCCTGATCCTCTTGGAACATGGAATCAAGGATATTTTATTCCATTGGATATTTTGAAGGGAATATTAAAAAAATTTTTTTTTAAGAGAACAGAAATTTATTGCATCACAGTCCTATATCAAGGTATCAGAAGGGCCACCACCCTCTGAGACTCTGGGTAGAATTCTTTCTTCCTTGCATCTTCTCCTCTCTTGTGAATCTATTGTAGGTTTTTTGCTGTGTGGTTACTGGAGCTTATATAAAACTTCATCTAGATATAAAAGTCCATTTTACACTGACTACAACTTTGATTTTATACAATAACTTCCCTTTTATTCTCTCCCCTTTATGTTGTTTTTTTTCTTCTGGAAATACACAGACATTTTTAATGGAAGCAAAATGGGGCAATGGTGTCACAGCCAACAGGGATTGAGCTCAGGCGAGGCAGGGCCGGTGCTGTGCCCGGGTCATGGAAGCCACAGAGCCTGGCAGGACGGAGGGGGCGGGGGGGCCTGGCCGTGGGGGGCCTGCGAGGAGCCCAGGCTGCCAGCTTCAACCCTGGGGAGGAGTGGAGGATCTGGCCCAGCTGGTTCTGCGAAAACCTCAAGGGTGGGCACCTGGCGGCTCCAAGTGGCTCCTCAGCTTAATTACTTAATCACACCCCGGGAGTAATCAATCAACCCACGAGTATTTAATCATAGCCTGCGAGCCGGGTGCGAGCTGGAGGTGGTGGGCCGGGTGCGAGTGAATGACCTGTCAACCAGTTTTTATGACACGCACTGACCACCAGGGGGCAGATGATCAATGCAGGAACTACCCCCTGGTGGTCAGTGCACTCCCACAGCGGGAGTGCTGCTCAGTGAGCTTACTGAGCAGCGGCGGCAGGCGCAATGGGGCCGGGATGTGTGGAGCAGCACAGGCTCCTCCCCAGCCGCCTACCACTTCGTACACTACTACATCCCTCGGGGGATGTCGGACTGCGGATTTTGGTCCCATCTTCGCAGGCTGTCCCATCTTTGCAGGCTGTCTGACATCCCCTTAGGGTTCCCAGATTGCGAGAAGGTGCAGGCCAGGCTGAGGGACCCCATCAGTGCATGAATTCCTGCACCGGGCCTCTAGCATTAAAATATTTTTCCATTGATTTTGAGAGAGAGTGGAAGGGAAGGAGAGAGACACAGATAAAAACATCAGAGAAACATCGATGTGAGAGAGAGATATCTATTGGTTGCCTCCTGTACACACACCGACCTGGGCCAGGGATCTAGCCTGCAACTAAGGTACATGCCCTTGACTGGAATTGAACCTGCAACCATTCAAGACCTCTGGCTGACACTCTGTCCACTGAGCCAAACCATCTAGGGCAGGTAAAATTTATTTTAATGACACATTTAACCCAATGTATCCAAAATAGTATCATTTCAACATATCAATATAAAAGATTATTGATTATATTTTGTACAGTATAAAGTGAATCTTACACTTAGGGCTCATCTCAGTTCTGACTAGCCACTTTTCAAGTGCTCAGTGGGTACCCATATTTGCAGTTCTAGACAATTGGGTCTATATTTACTTATTTCTCGTGTGTGTGTGTGTGTGTGTGTGTGTGCATGTGTAGTGAGCATCTGAGCTTCCCACCCTCAGAAGGCAGGACTCCCTGAACTGCTGTTTCCCTGCTTATCAGCTGAAGGAGCTGAGCCTCTCACCCCACTGGCACTCGGGGAGTTGTTCAGATCCCATGCATGCTGGAGTTCACAGCAGATTCAGTCCTTCGGAGCCCTTTCCAGCATAGAATTCAACCCCCGAAGTTGTCCTGAGAGCAGGCCTAGTCTTGGAGAACTGAATCCATGGCTGGTTATTGTTTTGTTAGTTGAGTTTGTAGACAGTTTTCCTAAGTTGTCCTGAAGCATCTTCCTCAGTAATCCTCTGTGTCAGCAGTTGCCAACCTTTCGGACCTCACGAACCACCAGTTGGCGACCACTGCTCTGGGCAATCAGTTCAGTAAGCATTCAGAGGACTTGCTGCACATGGGGGCAGCCTGTGTTGTAATTTTACACACACAGGCTGTAATCTGCCGAAGGAGCACCCTTTGAACTTGTGGTAGTCATTTGAAATGTGAAAACAAAAAGGTAGTCTTGGAAGTTTGCTCTGGAGAAGCCGAGGACTATTTCAGAATCTCCAGCCTGCCCTTCCCTGTTGTCCCGCTATCTCATTTCATGGCTTGGTGCACAGCACAAAGTTCAGGTTGACGCCAAGTGCCAGCCTAAGCAGTTGTGGTCTCCTAACCTATATAGCTTTCCTAGACACGGGAGAGGTGACTAAGCTCTTCCAAGTACATGCTTACCCTGGACAGCAAGGGGCCAAATCACTGTCTTCCCAGTAGCCTCAGGGAAGCTAGTTATTGATTCCAAAGGGAAGATGTGGGAATTAGAGGGAGATGGCAAACTTAGGAGTGAAATAAAAGGGCAGAATCCTTCTCTTTAAAATTGGAAATCCTACACATCATAGAAAATCCTGGGTTGTCTAAGAGGAATGCACTGCCTTCTACCCACTTTTTTACAACCTGAGCATCCTGAACTAATCATAGTGGGCAGGAGAAAACCACAGATCTGATGTAGCAAGAATCATGAGATGACTGTTGTGGAGCTGGAGGCAGGGTGGGTTCCATTAGGGCCACATGGCAGCTCTACATTGGATGTTTTTCCAAAGCAAAATCGGGCAGGCACCCCACGAAAGCCCACTATCCAAGCCCACTAAAGCCTAAACCCTTGGGCATCGGATTTGCTTTCTTGTTCTCCACAGCATCTAGCACGGTGCCTTGTCAAATATTTGGCGAATTCAAGGGTAGGTTTGACAACATTGATGGCTGGCTGGCGGAGGAAGCATTGTCCAGTGTAGTCCACCAGTCAGTAAACAGGGTATTGTCAGATCCTTTTCCTATCTTGGTGGCATAAAGAGCTAGAGGGCAAAGAGCAGGAGGGAGTCAACCCAAAAGGGACCAGGAAGTGGGGTGGCCTTCCCTGAAGAACACAGGGAGGCACCAATCCCCAGAAAAGCAGCCTCAGGAAGATCTCTGTTCCGGGTCCACCCCTCTCCTGCGGTCTGCCTCCTAGGGGTGGGGTTTTGTTGTTTTGAACATGATGGTCTTAGATATAATGGAGCCTTGTTCCCAACCATGTCATGGTTCCGTGCCCCCTTTTAGCTTCTATCCACAGGAAGGCCTCCAGTCATTTGGGAGGAGTTTCCTGGGCTTCCGATCTTTCTCTCCACTGCTCGCCAGTCAGTGCACCAGAGCTTGGACTCTGCAGGCTCTGGGGAGAAACCTGCTCTGTTGCTTCCTCTCACTGATTCTGGCTGTGCAGGCCGCTTCTGGTTCCTCAGGTACCCAGTACCCAGTAAACAGGTTCTCACTGAGAGGGAGGTATATGCATGTCACTCTAGCAGGAAGTACTAGATTAATTTCATTATCCAAGCCAAATCAGCCTCCTCTGACCCGCCCCCCCCCCCCACCACCCCACCCCATCCCAATTACTTGGTAGGAAACTTGATCCATCATAATTGCGGCCCCCAGCTACCTCCATGGTCACGAGGCCTGGGGGTGTAAGCCAGTGGGAAAACCTCTACCATTCCTCACCATGCGAGACTTGGCAATTATAATAGACTTCCTTCCCCCATCGAAATAACACCTCATACCACCTAACTTCAGTCTTAGTTGCTGCCAAGGCACTTTCCTGTGGCTCCTCCCACCTCGTACCTTCTCACCAACCAGTGGCTAGAGGCCAGGACGCCTTAAAAGTCGCTATCCCCAGGGCTCTGCCCTCTCCCTGAACACTCCCCAGCTCCTGCGATGACCCCTCCCATAAGTTGTGTCTCCAGCCCCAGACAGTGCTCTGGGCCCAAATCTGCACTTAGACATCCTAGACTGAGTTTCACATTGTCTGTCTATGCCTGAGCCCTTGCTCCCTGCATCCACCCAGTCACCCTGAGCCAGTCTTCCCTCCATCCCCCTTTGTCTCTGAATTCCATCACTTCTGCACCCTCTGGGCCTCTGTTCAGGCCCTCATTGCTCCTAACCAGGACTTGTGCCCAGTCTCTGCAGGACAGTGCCTCCTGTATCCTCCCACACCCATGCCCCTGCTCAGTGCTGCCAGGGGGTCAGACACAGTGCTGATCTGCAGGACTCCTGGTGTCTTCCTGCACTGCAGTCTGACTCACTGCTCATCCTCACGCCTCATCCCCACACAACCACAGTCTGTGCTTCAGCTTCATTGGACTTCCTGCTTCTGGGATTTTCTGAGCCTTTTCTACCTCCAGGCCTTTGCACATGAGTGCTGCCCTCCCTCCCTCACCTCCTTTTCCAGGACCCTCTGGGGTCCCCAGTGGGGAGGCTTTCACGGCTTCAGCTCCACCTTTGCTGAAGGCCCTTCTCCAGCACTCTGCAGCTTGGAAGGGTGATCTGACTGCCCGCCCATCTCCTTCATGTCCTCCTCAGGCCCAGAGGCTACCTTGTGGACTGCTGTCTTCCCAGCACGTGCTGTGTTCCTAGCGGAAGCAGCTACCCAAGGAATGCTGAGTGAAGGCCCCTGACAAAGCCTGTTTCATCTTCAGTGATTCAAGGCTGGACAGTTGCCAGAAGTTGTAGCTGGTTTCCCTGCACCCACTTCTCCCCACCCCGTCCACCCTGGTCATTGCCATTAGACCAGTGGTTCTCAACCTTCATAATGCCGCGACCCTTTAATACAGTTCCTCATGTTTTGGTGACCCCCAATTTCAATGTTACAAATTGAACATAATTAAAGCATAGTGATTAATCACAAAAACTATGTAATTAAATATATATATTTTATTGATTTTTTACAGAGAGGAAGGGAGAGGGATAGAGAGTTAGAAACATTGATGAGAGAGAAACATCAATGAGCTGCCTCCTGCACACCCCCTACTGGGGCTGTCCCCGCAACCAAGGTACATGCCCTTGACCGGAATCGAACCTGGGACCCTTCAGTCCATAGGCCGATGCTCTATCCACTGAGCCAAAGTGGTTAGGGCAACAATATGTAATTATATATGTGTTTTCCGATGGTCTTAGGCAACCCCTGTGAAAGGGTCGTTCGACCCCCAAAGGGGTCGCGACCCACAGGTTGAGAACCGCTGCATTAGACAGTTCTGCCAAATCATCTTGCTTAAAAATCTTTAGAATAAAATTCCAGGCCCTTAGCCTGGCTTAAAGCCTTTTGAACCCTGCCCCCAAACCTGCCCCACCTTCTTCCTCCACCGCACAGTGATGCTGCTGGGAGGAGCTCCCCCCGCCACTCTGCATTTTCTTCTGTGTGCCATCGAGCAAGTTATTCTTTCTCATTTACCTGCTTATTTAATTGCTGAATCAGTAGTACAGGTAAGAGTGCCGTTCCTGGTGCACAGGGACAGCTCCATAACAGCTTTTCTTATCGTTGCCGGAAGTCATTTACTACAGGAGGAAGTGCAGTGGATAGGGGCCAAGCTGGCATCAGAACCCAAAGCTCTTGCTGGAAGTATCACCAGGAGGTATCAGAAAAGGGTGGCATGGGCATCACACGGACCCCAACCGGGAATGGAACCCGCAACCCGGGTACATGCCTTGACTGGGAAGGGTGCCGGCGACCCTTCTGACCCACCTGAGCGGCACCGGCCAGGGCATCTCTGCGCTTTTATCCAGGCAGCGCACACCGTTTGTTCTGGACATGGGCACCCTCCCCATCTTGTCCCACCGCGGTGTTTCCAGAGTCAGTGGTCCACTCCTGGGCCCCCACATCCGGTTCCCCGGCCCTACCCACATCTGAACCCCTTACTTAGGACCCCAGCACGTTGCCCCGCTCCCCCCACGTGGTTCCACACCGTGCACCTCACCAGGGCCCCCAGGACTTGGTCCCCTTTCACTCCACTCCCCGATAGGCCCCCTACTTCACACCTGGGCCCTATTTCGGGCAGCTGAACGCCCGCCCCGAGCCCGGCCCCACAATTGCCGCAATCGTGTCCCGGGACCAGCCGCTCCGCTCCGGACATAGGCGCGAGGGCGGAAAGGGACAGGCGCTCTCATCCAGGTCTCCTCCTGGCTACCGGGTTCGGACTTGATTTACCAACCTCGTGCATCTCCAATCTTACCCCCGCCTGCCTTTGCTCAGCCGCATTCTCAGAACGGCGAGCACACGCTCCTCCGGGGAGCGCCACCCGGGAAGTCCCTGCAAACGCCCTGGCCCGCACACCGGATCGCGCCGCGGGGAGCGACGGTCCCCGGAGCCGTGAGGAGCTCGGACCCGGGGCAGTCCGCGGGGAGGGTTGCGAGGATGCCGAGCAGAAAATGCAATCTGCTGCTGCTTTCGCCGGCCTCCCCGTGGTGCAGACAAGGAGAACTTAGTACTCCGGGTCCGGGCAGCTCCGTGCTCTGTGGGGACGCTCTTCTAAGCGACAACAGAAACGGGCACTCTCTCCCCGGCCCCAGGTGGGGAAAGGCAGGAAAGAAGTGAAACTTCGTGAGTCAGCGCGGCGCAGGCCAGCCCGGCCCGCCCCAGACGCGCCGCCCATCGCCGGGACCCGGGGCCAGTGCGGGGCGGAGGCGTGGAGGCGCGGCCCGGGCGCGACGGGCGGAGTCCTCGTGGGTGGGCTCTCCCCGGCCCGGCCGCCGGCACAGCGCGGCGGGCAGGCCTGAGCCATGGCCGACGGGGCGGCGCAGCCGGGGGCCGAGCTGCTGGCCTTCGAGCTATTCCGGGAGGCGAGCGCGCAGCCCCTCGCCTACGGCTACGGCCACGGCCCGCGCGGCCTGCGGGAGCTGCGGGCGCGAGAGTTCGGGCGCCTGGCAGGTGAGGCCGCGGGGCACCTGCGCTGGGCGGGCGGGCGGGGGGGGGGAGGGGCGGGGGGGGGGGACGCGGCTTCTAAGGAGTTTTCTGCTCCAGGTGGCAGCGCGTTGCCTAGTTTGGGGCGCATTTTGAATGGAAAGGTTTGGAGGGACGTGCCCACGCGTCTGCTGCGTGGACACGGCTCCCTGAGGTCCCATCTGCAGCCCCGGGACTTCTTGCTGCTCTTGCTCCTTAGACTTTACAGGGGTATCGGGCCAACCTAGACCCTTTCCACCGGTCCCCACCCTCCGCGAACAGGGCTCAGGGTTCTGCCGTCGAGGCTGCCGACTCTAAAGGTCCAGCTGGAAGCGGGGCTGCAAAACGCAGGAATGGCCAGTGGCCGCGGCTGTCGGATGCTCCCCGGGCAGGGGAGCGCCGCGTGGGCGGTCAGGGCGCCTGGGAGACCGAGGCTGAGGCCGCTGGACAGGGTCCCCCGCCCCAAAGCTGCGTTCCTGTCCGCTGAGATAGCTCACAGGCAGCTTTTATTTTCGAAACCTTCTTTTTCTCATTTTTGAACAACGCCTCTGCCCCCCAGCTCGCTACGGGGCTGGAAGAATGAGCAAACTGTAAACTTTGAGCACTGGGTACAAGGCGAGCCTGGAAATCGGACACGAGGTCGGGGTGCCTTTGAGTTCAGAAAGGTGGAACAGGCTGGGTAAGTGTGAAATCCACCCCGAGCCGGCCCTGCGGCGGTTCCCAGCGCATTACTGCAAGGCGGGCGCCCCCGCCTCGCCCCGCCCTGCCCCGCCCCGCAGGGTAGGACTGACCCTCTTGCTAGAGACCTTTGAGGGGCTTCCTGGAGCCCCGAGCAAGGCTGGTCCTCAGGTTCAGGTTCAGTGGCAGGTCGTGGTGCTGGCAACCGGATTTGGGGTGTACTTGTTGCTTTGGTGAACATTTGGTGACTGCGCCTCCCTGTGGCAGGACACCAACCACGATTTACATTTCATTAATCGGGTAGCTGATTCCAGCTCTTTGGGTTATTTGCTGAGGTTTCAGTTAGTGACTCTTTTTTCCCCCCCGTTGGGGGCTTTGAGGGGTGTGGCCTGCTTTTTGCGTGTCCCAGCCTGTAGTTAAGGGGGGAGGCTCGGGCGGAAGGGGGGCCTTCTGCTCCACTCCCCATTGAGAGCAGCACATTCACCTGCGGGAGGCAGACAGCCCTTGTCCCTCTGCTTCCACCTTCTATCCCTGAGCGTTTGAATTATAGAAATCTACCCACTGAAATAGACTGGTACACTGAACACCCACAGGTGCGGCGGGAGGGAGGGAGGAAGGGAGGTTTCCCTTCCATTTGAAGCAAGTCCCAAAGGCTGTAGCAATTCAGTCAGTAATTATTTTAGCACCTTATTCTCCTCCAGCTCTGACCCAACCCCCCCCCCCCGCCCCTCCCCAAAAGTAAAGCTGTGTTCTCTGGGCACCTCCTTGTTTCACTCTTGTCCTTTAAGGAACAGCACCTCCCCCTTCAAATTCATAATTTGGATGTGACAGCCAGGATTTCAGGCTGGGCTTCAGAGCCCCTTTAACATCTACTGCACACATGCTCCTACCCTTACTGTGGGGTTACCTCCGGATAAACCCATCACAAATTGAAAATATCATAAGTGGAAAGTGCATTGAATACACCTACCGAGCGCCATAGCTTAGCCTAGCCTACCTTGAAGGTGCTCTGAACACTTGCATTAACCCACAGTTGGGCATCAGTTGTTCACCCTTGCGATGGCATGGCTGACTGGGAGCCACGGCTCGCTACCACTGTTGAATATCACTAGAGAAGATCGTACTGCATATCAATAGACCAGGAGAAGGTCAAAATTCAAAGTATGGTTTCTGCTGAACGTGTATCGCTTTCATGCCATTATAAAGTGAAAAAAAATTGTTAGGTCAAGTCATCCTAAGTTGGGGACTGTCTGCACGTGTGGTAGCGTTATGTGCATCCTTATGTATTTATCTGTTTATCTACTCAGTGCAAGGTCCCAGCATTTTCTCTACATTATGATTGAAGTAGGCTTTTGTGGACTAAACTCACCCCTCCCATCACTAGGAGCTTTGGAACATTTCCACTCCCCCTTACCCCCTTATAGGGCTGAGGAAAATCAAACAAACAAAACAAGCCAAAATAATATAACATTTACGTCCTCTTCCTTCCCCATCATCCCAGAGATGTTCTGCAGGCTTGAGAATTGGTCTGGTTAAGTGGTAGTTCTGGATAATTAAATGCTTAACCTTCAAGTCTGAAATAGTTTGCCTAATCAACAGGATGGGAATTTCTTTGTCTTGGTGAAGGGAGCATATTCAATATGCAGACATAGTTCAAGTGATTCTTGAAGCTTCAGGGTGCTGATGGCCACAATTGATGGAACTGAGAGCTGAAGGAGCATGACCCAGAAGAGACACTGGAATTTCCTTTCTCAAAGACCTAATGCCAGTTGGTTTGGGGTAATTTGCCTTCTTCTAAGAACAGCTGAACTCTGTGGCATGTGTGCCAGGCACTGGACTGGGCCCTGTCACACACCAACTTATTTAACTTTCATCCCATTTGCAGGTGAAGGAGTAGGGACCCAGAATGGCTAGCAGGATTCGATGAAGGTTGGTTGACTTGGATTCTGCACTGTTCGCCACTGTGCTGGCTGACCTCCTAAGAGCAGATCTCTAGCTGATTTAGATCTCTAGTTAGTTTTGCAACGTGAGGTTCTGGACCAAAGGCCAGTGCAGCCTTCTCCCAAATGGCTTCCTGGCCCTGCAGAAGTCTGTGGGCAAAGCGGTGCTGCCTCAGCAGCCCCTCAGGGTTTACATGTGTCCCGGGCTTCACACGAGCATCTTCCCCAGTGCCTGGGTGGATGGAAGCCTTTCTTTTGGTGTGTAATTTTGTATAACTGCATCTTCAGTTAAAGAGAATGTTACTTTAACAATAATTTTCTGGACTAGATAATACATTTACATGATAACAACATGCAATAAACTAGGACTAAAAGGAAATTTAATTAACCAGATAAAGGCCTTCTATAAACAAATAAGCAGAGCTAACATCATACTTAATGGTGAAAACTGAAAGCTTTACCCCTAAGGTCAGGAACAAGACAAGGGTGTCTGTTCTCACCACTTGTATTCAACATTGCACCAGAGGTTCTAGCCAGGATAGTTAGGCAAGAAAATGAATGGATCTATTTACATTGTATATTCTTGAAAATGTGTTCCTTTTTTTTTTTTATTGTTTTATTGCTTAAAGTATTACAAAGAGTATTACATATGTCTCCCCCCCTCCCCCCGCCCTTGACAATCCCCTGGCCTTCCCTACCCCCCAGTGTCTTATGTCCATTGGTTATGCTTATATGCATGCATACAAGTCCTTCGGTTGATCTCTTACCCCCTCCCTTCCTGCCCCCCAACCCTCCCTGGTCTTCCCACTGTAGTTTGACTGTTCGAGGCAGCTCTGCCTCTGTATCTATTTTTGTTCATAAGTTTATAATGGTCTTTATTATCCATAAATGAGTGAGATTTGAAAATGTGTTTCAGAGTTTGTTCCGCATCAGTACTTTTAAAGTACCAGATGGGTGTACAATAATCCTTTATTTTAAATACATGGTGATGAACATTTGAGTCATTTCTGATCTTTCTCTATAGCAGACAATGCTGCATTGACAAAGATCAGAACGGAATATCCTCACAGACAGCCCATTTCATAAAAGCATGGTTATTTATAAGATAGAATAATTGATAGGTCAGAGAATTTGCATTTTAAAGTATTACCAATATTGCCAAATTGCTGTCCATAAAGAAGTTGTACCACCCTAGCTGGTTTGCTCAGTGGATAAAGCTGTTGGCCTGTGGACTGAAGGGTCCCGGGTTCGATTCTGGTACAGGGCACATGCCTGGGTTGTGGGCTCAATCCCCAGTAGGGGGCGTGCAGGAGGCAGCCTATAGATGATTCTCTCTCATCACTGATGTTTCTCTCTCTCTCTCTCTCTCTCTCCCTCTCCTTTCCTCCCTGAAATCAATAAAAATATATTTTAAAGAAAAGTTGTACCAATTTGCCTTCCTACCAGCCATGTACCAGCTGGCCTGTTTTCCTACACCTTCACCCATGCAGTGAGTTATCCAACCTTTTGATCTTGACCATCTGATGGTAAACCTCTTAATTTGCCTTTCTCTGTTTGTGAGAGGCCGGAAAGATCATGTAAATTACTATTGTTCTCTGACGAGCTGGAAGCTTTAGAGCAGTGGTTCTCAACCTGTGGGCCGCGATCCCTTTGGCGGTCGAACGACCCTTTCACAGGGGACGACTAAGACCATCCTGCATATCAGAAATTTACATGACGATTCATAACAGTAGCAACATTACAGTTATGAAGTGGCAACGAAAATAATTTTATGATTGGGTCACAACATGAGGAACTGTATTTAAAGGGCCAGGAGGTAGAGAACCACTGCTTTAGAGAGATGTAGAATTCACCACAGAAAGCAGAATCAGGTCTCCAGGCCAAGGAAGCTGCACAGAAACGCAGAAGAGGGTGTGAGTCAGAAGGTGAACTAGCTTTAGGGTCATTAACCAGAGCCATCTGTTGGGCTCCTCCTTTGTGTGAGAAACTCCCAGGTTCCTAAGAACAGGTTAGTCAGGAAGACATCAGGACTCATTAACTATTGAAAGTGCAGTTCTTCCATTGCTCACGTCTGCACTTGGATTTAGAAACACATCGAGAGGCTGGGAGAGAGGAGCGGCCTGATGTTATGCCCAAACGCATGCCATGGGCACTGCTCACGCTCACACAACCCAGACCTAGGTGCAGGGAGTGGAAAACCTCTGAAAAATAACCACAGCTTTATTCTGTGCTTTCTCTCAGGAACTGTCTACCTTGACCATGCAGGAGCCACGCTGTTCCCCGAGAGCCAGCTCCGGAGCTTCACTCGTGATCTCCTGGAGAATGTTTATGGTAAAGAAGAACACACCATCACTGATTCTTGCATTGGGCGTTAGCCAACTACATTCAGTGGATAGGTCTCTGCTTAATAAATGTTAGGTTAATAGACTGGGACTGAGCAGGGACCCAGAGCTGAATAAGCAGGCGAACACATGTTATTCCTTACAACACGCGTGCTGCCAGGATGGGGTAACTGGCTCAGGGGCATGTGTGTTACTTCCAGAGGAAAGGCACAGGGGCACAAGGTGCTGTATTTGGTGGTGGGATGGCCTCTGGTGCCAGAGTCCAACCCCAGCAGGTCCAGGGGTCCCCAAAGGTGTGGATGGAGTCGGCGAAGAAGGAATGACACAAAGACAGCGTTCAGTTGATCAGCAGCCTAGCCAGGATCTCTAGCCAGGATCTCCAGCCAAGTTCTGGTCTGGATCTCCAGCGAAGTTCTGCTGTTTATTGTCTTGTTACATCCGTATTTATCCCAGATGATTTTAATCCTGTCAATTTCTATTACAAAGGTTAGGGCGTTTCTTATCTCCATTCCAGGGAGTAAAGATTATGTAGCTTAAGCATGATTGTTTGTAGTGATTAACTACCCGCCTGGCACTTAGTTAAGGAGTTTCATCCCCTCCCTGACTTCAGGGAAAAATTCCTACCTGGGGAAACAACCTTTCTAGGAGAGGCATCCCCTCCCTGACTTCAGGGAAAAATTCCTACCTGCGGAAACAACCTTTCTCGGAGAGGTGACCTTGGTTAAAACACACAGCGCTAAGGGGAGCAAACATATTAAGAACAGTATGCTATATACGCCAGGTCCCTTGAAACATATGCTGTGCAGATGTTTCTTTCCTGCAGCGACTGTGTCAAGCAGCAAGGATGGACCGGCTTCCGGCACTCTGGGACTGGCACTGTACACAGAGAGGGACAACAGGGGGAACATGCATGCATTCACTCACTCCATAAATATTTGTCAGCCACTCTGGTGTCGGGGGCATGGTGCAAACAGGCACAAAGTAACCAGTCCCTGCCTTCATGGACTCTGGTCTAGTTAGGGCTAGACCTCAAGTCAGTGATCCCCAAGTAAATGTAAATTACCAACGCTGTGAAGGGCTGTGAACCGAAGGCCTCTGGGCTATGGGGTCTGGATCTGCAGAGTGACAGCAGGTGGGCAGTGTGAGCGGCAGGGAAATTTCCTCAGGAGTGGGCTCGATGCTGGAGGAGGAGCAGGAATTCCCTCGGAAGAGTCAGGAGAAGGGCAAAGGGAACAAATGAGCCAGGACCCTGCTGTGGTTTCAGGAACCAGCCCAGGAACTCAGAGGGAGGCATGAATGGAAAGGTAGGTAGGTAGGTACCTTATAGGTCCCTGTAGAGCTTGAACTTTATTCTAGAAACGATGGCCAGTCACTGAAAGCATTGATCAGCAGCACAATGTGATCAGGAGATAACTTTGGAAAGCGATGTTGAAATAACAGTAGTAGCAGGTGTAACCATGGTAATAATAATAGTAATAAATGATAATAAATAACCTGTACTGAGCACTCATTGTGCTTCAGGTACTGTTCCAAATGCTTCATCTGTATTATCTCTCCATCCTCAGGGCAAGCTCAGGTACAGGTTCTATTATCTCTCCTGCTGTCCAAGGGAGGAAACTGCCCGGGGAGGCAGGTCATTACTCTGAGGCCACATTGTCAGGAAGTGCTGGGGTTGGGGCAGTCAGGGCAGCTGCGTTTCTAGGCAGCTTGGCCCCATGGAGTTAATGAACAGAACTGGGCTGGCCACCTGTTGGGAAACTTGTAGAAGAGGTTCTCGTATTGGCTGACTTCCAGTTCCAAAGGCTCTTCCTAGATCCTGTCTTGTTTGTTTTACTTGCTTTGTTTAGCAGGTTTTTTAAAAAAAAATTTTATTTTTTTATTGATTTCAGAGAGGAAGGGAGAGGAAGAGAGAGAGAAACATCAATGATGAGAGAGAATCATTGATTGCCTGCCTCCTGCACGCCTCACGATGGAGATCTAGCCCACAACTTGGGCATGTGCCCTGACCGAGAATTGAACTATGACCTCCTAGTTCATAGGTCTACGCTCATCCACTGAGCCATGCCGACTGGGCCAGATTTCTTGAGTTATATTTTATATCCATAAAATTCACATATTTCAAGTGTACAATTCAATGATTTTTAGTCTCACTATAAATCATTTAGAATATTTTCATTCCCCCAATAAAATCTTCAATGCCCATTCACAGTTGATCTCTGTTGCTCCCCCAACCCCTCAACCTGCCCCTCTCATCCCCTCACTCTCACCCCAAGCCACCAGTGATCTACTGCTTTCTGTATCTCTATATAGTCACCTTTGCTGGACATCTATATATATAAAAGGTTAACATGCAAAGTGTCCCCTCCGGAGTTTGATCAGGAGTTCGATCACTTGCTATGACGTGTGCTGACCACCAGGGGGTGGCACAGAATGAAGGAAGGCCTCAGCCAGCAGCAGGGGAAGGAAGGCCCTAGCTGGCAGCTGGAAGGCCCCAATTGGCCCTGATTGCCGGCCAGGCATAGGGACCCTACCCGTGCATGAATTTTGTTCACCAGGCCTTTAGCTTTATATAAGTGGGTCATGCAATATGTGATCTCTGTGTCTGATGTCTTTTTTTTTTTTTAAATCTTTATTGTTGAAAGTCTTACATATGTCCCCTTCTTTTCCTCCATTTGACCCCTTGTAGCCCACCCCCACTTAGCATGCTTTTGAAGTTCATGCATGACATAGTCAGTAGTTTTTTCCTCTTTATTGCCAAATAATTTTTCATTGAATGGATATGTTACATTTTATCTATCTGTTCACCAATTGATTGACATTTATGTTCCCAGAATTTAGCTTTACAAATAGAGCTGCTATGAACATTCTTGTGCATGAATTTTTGTGTGGACATGTTTCCATTTCTATTGAGTATATAGGAGTGGAATCATATAATAGTTTTATGCTTAACTTTTTGAGAAACCACGGGAGAGGGTTTTGGATGAACAGAAAAGGAGAGACCATAAGTAGTGAGTGACTGATGGCTTTGCCTTTGTAACCCCCCAGGTAACCCTCACAGCCAGAGCATCAGCAGCAAGCTCACCCAGGACACCGTGGAGCAGGTGCGCTACAGGTGAGCGGCAGGGACGACCTCGGAGCAGGCTCTCCTAGTGCATGGACATGCTTCCTACACCTGCCCACATCCCAGGCTCTGAATTGGTTTCAGGAAGGTCACATTCTGTTAAATGGCCACACACACAATGATAAAGATCAGGGTCCGAAGTTGGGAAGGTGAGAGTGAGCAGGTGCCAATGGGGGCCGACCAGAAGCACAGGGAGGCAGCTGAGGTGTGCACCGCTGTGTGTGTGGCTCTGGGCTGCTGCCCTAGTTCCTGGGGACCAGAGTGATAAGGAGTGACACAGGTCCTAAGTCTTGTTTTTAGAGGGAATAAAAACAGTTTCTCTGGTTTTCCTTTTTATGTTTCATTAGGCATCTTGTTTTATTCATTCCCCTTTTTACTAATATTTGCACATGAAACAGCTCTATATTTTTCCACATGTAGTAATTAGCGTTCGGTAAATAATTTCCAAGTGGTACCTAAAGTTACTTGAATTGATACAATTTCAATTTATTTCCAATTTGAAAGGGATACTGGGTTGCCAATATTAAAAAGCAACGTGAAACAAGCTGGGGACTTAAAACTTAAGGTGGAGCCAGAGTAGACGAAGGGGGGAAGTTGTTTTCAACTAAGGCGAAGGCAGCTGTGGGTTCTCAGCTCCTCCGTGGGGGCGGGGACCTGGGAGGCAAGGTGATTTTGCCAGTTTGAATCCGTTGGTCATCTCTTCCCACACCTGCTCTGACTTCACGGTCATGGCAGAGCCTCTCTGGGCTTGCTTCTAGCTATTCAGGCAGAGAGGTGCCATGTGTAGCGGGAATGCAGCTCATTGCAAACACTGAGCGCCGAGTGAGCCCAGCCGCCGCGATGCTGTGTTTTCCAGGGTCCTGGCGCACTTCCACGCCTCCCCAGAGGACTACAGCGTGATTTTCACCGCCGGGAGCACGGCTGCCCTTAAACTGGTGGCGGAAGCCTTCCCGTGGGTGTCCCGGGGCCCCGGGAGCAGCGGGAGCCTGTTCTGTTACCTCACCGACAGCCACACCTCCGTGGTGGGCATGCGGATGGTCGCCACAGCCAGGAGTGTCACTTCCATCCCGGTCAGGCCGGAGGACATGTGGTCGGCGGAGAAACGGGGTGCTGCCGCCAGCGACCCCGACTGCCAGCTTCCGCATCTCTTCTGTTATCCGGCTCAGAGTAACTTTTCTGGCACCAGATACCCTCTGTCCTGGATAGGAGAGGTCACGGCGGGGCGCATGTGCCCGGTGAGCGCGCCCGCACCGGGGCGGTGGTTCGTGCTGCTGGACGCAGCCTCCTACGCCAGCACCTCCCCTTTGGACCTGTCGGTGCACCAGGCGGATTTCGTCTCCCTCTCCTTCTACAAGATCTTCGGCTTCCCCACCGGCCTGGGGGCGCTGCTGGTGCACAGTCGGATGGCTCCCCTGCTGAGGAAAACCTACTTTGGAGGAGGCACGGCCGCTGCATACCTGGCGGGAGAAGACTTCTACATCCCCAGGCCGTCGGTGGCAGAAAGGTCACCTCGCGTGGGAGTGGCTGGGGCAGAGTCCAGGAGTCTGGGGTCTGGCTGTGCAGCCTGTTGGGTTGTGCAGGGGGGTGGGGGTGGGGGGTGGGGTGGAGCTGGGCCACTGGGGTCAGGGTTGGCCGTTCCTGGCAGGGACAGGGGCGGAGGCTGGCGGCAGGCTCAGATGTGGGAGGCAGAGGCCACGGCTCAGTGAACTCTGCTCCCGTTTGCGGGGCCCCTTTAGTGGTGGGAGCACAAGGGCTGCGGGTGAGGGCTGCACGCAGAAGAGGTGAGAGGACCTCACCGCAGAAGGAGGGGCGCCCCAGGCCTATGCACAGAGTGCTGGTGAGGGGTGTCCATGAAAGCAGCGATTTGGGCGGTTTTGGACAAGCGTGCACACAGGTTGACAGCATAGCTGGCTTTCAGCAGCTAGAATCAGCTCAGCTTGGCCCTGGTTAATAGGAGGAATCAATTAAACGAGAGGCCACCAGGCTCGTGGGCACCGTGAACAGCTGCCTCTGTGAGCCCCGCTGTGCGGTACAAAGGACAGCGGAGGGCAGGCAGCTACTCGGCATCCAGCGGCACAGGCCTCTGCTGGGGTTTTCCCAGGCGGCAGGGCAGGCGACTGGCTAATGCTCAGGAATTTCCCAGATGTGAGAGGCCGAAACTGGTAGCTGGGAACTCAGGGTTCCGCTGGTTCCAACAGGAGGGGGTGCCGTGGGGTTGGGTCACCTGCTGGTGTCTGAGAAGGCCTGGGGCCTGGATGGGAAGGGGGTCAGATCCCCCACAGACCCAGGTGCAGACTCCAGGGTCCTGCAGAGAAGGAGGTGGCTTTGGCAGTAGAGTTGTTGGTCATGTGTCTAGGCCCCAGAGATGGTTTCGCTGTGGGGGCAGGGGCATGTGGCTTGATCTCTGCACCTCCTGTTTTTCCCGTAAAGTGGGTCTCTAGCCTTGGCTGGTGTGGCTCAGTTGGTTCAGTGTCATCCCATACACCGAAAGGTTGCAGGTCCGATTCCTGGTCAGGGCACATACCTAGGTTGTGGGTTCGATCCCCGGTGGGGGCACATACGGGAAGGCACTAATTGATGTTTCTCCCTCACTCTCTTACCCTCTCAAATCAACAAGCATTCCTCGGGCGAGGATTAAAAATAAAAAAAAAAGTGGCTCTCTAAAAGGATACAGTTCTTTAGCGCTAATAGGTGAAGCACCAAGATGGAGTTGGCATCAATGCGTTGTGAGGCTATTTGATGCCTCTTTTATTTAGAACATCCCATAGTTGGGGGACTCTAAAACAGAAACACTAATGTAAAACCTTTTGAATACAGGTGTGATAAGTTAATGTGTAACATAATTAAGTGAGAAAAGAAAGACAGGCACAACATATAAATTAAAGGCAGAACAACATGACAACCCAAACTTTATTGAGCCAATAGGCAGAGAGAAGTGGGCAGCTCGTTCCAGGCAAGTGTGGGTGGGCAGGGCTGGCCCAGACCACTGTCCTTCCATTTGGGTGGGTTGTCTTACGGCAGCTGCCACACCGAGACTCCCAGCAAGCTGAATTTTTTTCTTGTGAACTTAGGACTAGAACTCAAGAAATTTAATACACAACTTACATGTTTCTTGAACATGTTACCTAGACCATGTTGTTCATCTTTTCTATTTGATAACTTAATCTTTGATGAAAACAAGCAACCCCCTTAACTCCCAAAGAGCCTATTAATTATTGATTAACAAATGGTTATTTATTATTGCTCAATTAATAACAAGTCATTATTGGCAAATAATGTTAAATTTATTAAAGATTAATTACGTACCAATTCATTAGTGGTTAATCAACTAGTAGTTTATTATTGATCCACTAATTCTGTATGTCCATTAACTACCATTCATTTTATAAGGAAACTAATATTGCAGCAACAATATTTTGAGCAAATCTTATCTGTACAGGGTTAAAATACAGAACACAATAGTCTCACTGAAAGCTTCAACTTGCACCAGGCTGCCATTTGCCACCACCCGTCATCCCGATGCTTGCGGACCTCCCAGTGTCTCCCAGCTGTCCCATCGCTTCTGCAGCAGCCAGAGGTGTCTTGTCAAAGTCTAGGCCCCATCCTGTCACTCCTCTCTGCTCAGGGTCCTCAAGCCCCTTCTAGCTCATCCAGAATGGAAGTCCTCTGACTATATCTCCTACTACCCCCACCTTGCCTGCTCCCACCCGGCCCCTGGGCCTCCTTGCTGCTGGGGGGGTGGTGGTGCCAGGCTCCCTGTGCTCAGGGTGTGTGCTGCTCCTTCTCCCTGGGATGCTGTTCTCTCTGAGACTGTGGCCTCCCCCACTCCTTTACTTCCACGCCTCTTTGCTCCAATGGTCTCCCTCAGAGAGGGCCTCCCTAACCGCCTCTAGAGTGGCCGCCAGCCCTCTGCTTTATGCATCTTCACTGCACTTGTCACCACCGGCTTGTTGCTGAGTTGGCTTCTCTCTGCCTGCGTGTTGCTTGTTGTGCCTTGTTTCCGGGCCCTCAGGCGAATGCAAGCGCGTGAGGACAGGGGTTTTACCTGCCACGTTCACTGCGGCATCCTGAGCACCTAGAACAGTGCCCAGCACCCAGCACGAGAAGGATCTGGTGACTAATTATGAAATGCCAGCACAGGAACCCTGATAATCAGGAAGAGGTGGGCCTACTGTGTGGAGAGCCTCATCGTTTTTGGAAAAGCCTGTGGCTCTGTAGACTTTGGAATCTCAGGCTCTTGCAAAGATGCCCCCGGGGCACCGTTGGCACCCTTACGCGGTGGGGCCCTCTTGGGGTCAAGTTCAGCTTTTCAAGAGCCCACAGCCCTGGAGGTTCTGTCAAATCCAAAGTCTTCCTGGGGCAGCCACGTATCTCTCTGCTTGTTCATGTCTCAGATGGCGACTGTTGAGGGCCTTTTGTCACTGCTGCCAGCCCGCCCTGAGGAAGCTGTGGGTGGGTCAGGGACAGAGGCAGCTGCCGGGTCGGGTGTGCAAAGCCCTCTGTCCCGAGGAGGAGCGTGATGCGTTCGAGGCAGCAGGGAGAAGGTGTTCACAGAAATGGCCGAGCCTGAGTCATTACATGCCACAACATGCATGTGGAGACGCGACCCCGCTTGACTCCCTCCCTCACCCTGGTTACAGGTTTGAGGATGGCACCATCCCGTTCCTTGACGTGATAGCGCTCAAACACGGATTTGATGCCCTAGAGCGCCTCACAGGTAGGGGGACATTGTTATCCCGTGGAATTTGCTCCCGTAGCCACGTCCTCCGGGGAGCCCAGCCCGGGGTGACTCAGATGAAGGAGTGGGTGTGTGACCTGCATGCAGCCGCTGTATAGAGACCGCCTTTAGAGCCAGCGCTAAAGAACTTCTAAGTGACTCCTGAGGCGAAAGCAAGGGACTGAGGCTTTTTTTTGTCAGTTACAGAGTATTGTTACAGGTAAGAGACAGCCCGAGGCAGGAAGGGAATCGCCTCACGGGAGCAGGGGAGACATCCGGCTCTTGTACTGGGACCAGTTACAGGTCCGGGTTACAGGTCCCGAGATCTTCCTCCGCTCTGATCTTGCTGGGTGCCCCCTGGGCCCCACCCGGGATACATGGCCGGCCTGCTTATCCACAGAGGCGCTTATGCTCAGAGGCCAAGTGCCTTCTCCAGGGCCAGGGATCCGGCAAGTGGGAGGCGTGGATTTAAACCCAGGACAACTAAGGCCTGACCCTGAGCCTCCAACACCGTGCCTGCCGCTGGCCTTTGCACGTTTCCCTTCTGATGAGCGCTTAGGGGTGTGGGCAGATTGGGGCGCTCACTGTAGGCTGACACAGACAGATGCCACTTCCCATCACCTGGGGCTTGACACAAAGGTACAGGCCTGGAGGAACCTCCGTCTGGGGAGCCAGGCATCCGCCGTCCTGCTGTGCTCCTTCTAGACCAGCGGTTCTCCACCTGTGGGTCGCGACCCCTTTGGGGGTCGAACGACCCTTTCACAGGGGTCGCCTAAGACCATCGGAAAACACATATATAATTACATATTGTTTTGGTGATTAATCACTATGCTTTAATTATGTTCAATTTGTAACAGTGAAATTGGGGGTCACCACATTAGGAAGGTTGAGAACCCCTGTTCTAGAGGCTGAGCTTCTAGAACTGGCAGCACCACTTGTACCACCATGTGGAGAGGGCTCTGGGGTGAACCAGGGGCGTGGCTTTATGGTTAGGCAGCCCTTTCTCCGTCTCTTATTTCACAATCATGGGACCTTGCAGGTCCTTAGCCTTAGCCCAACACGGGAGGCGGACGGGCCTCATGGGAGGAGAGAGGTGCCCTGCTGGGAGGTGGGTGGGCATCATCCAGGACAGAGAGGAGGTAATCAGGACCGACACTGAAAATGAGCACTTTCCCCAGGAAAGATATCAACATGGCACCCAAATGCAAGTGGCAGGGTCTGACAGGGCCAGGGCACCTTGAAAGTAGATCGACAATGTCAGTTTTCCAATAAAAGATTTATATATATATATATATATATCAGGTGTTCCCATGGGAAAATTCAGCAATGGTAAACTTGTTTAGTACCAAAGACCTAAACATTTATAGTATGGGCAGTACCAAATATTTACAAGTATTTAAAATCATTAATATCAGGTCCAAGTTTGCCAGTTATAATAATCTCTCTTTTAAGAAACAAGAATGAATGTTATATAAGCTACTAATTCTCTCCGGCGTTTTCTCCTGTGTTCGAGGTGGCATGGAGCATGTGCAGCAGCACACCTTCACCCTGGCTCGGTACACCTACGCCGCCCTGTGCTCCCTCCGGTACCCCAACGGGGCCCCGGTGGTGCGCATCTACAGCGACTCTGAGTTCCGCAGCCCCGAGGTGCAGGGCCCAGTCATCAATTTTAACGTGCTCGACGCCAGCGGGAACGTCGTTGGTTACTCCCAGGTGGGTTTTCTTTCCGTCGCACCCACCTGTTCACAGCAGGATCGCTCTTGTCTGGGACTCAGCAGCCCCCCCAATCCCGAAACGTGCAGTCAAGGCCTCGGACCTTGGCAGGAGCTGTGACGCAGCCCAGGCTCGGCTGCGGAGGCCAGGCCCCTGCCTAGGAAGCTCTTTGCAAGCATGTCTGCTTAGTCCTTCAGTCCTCTTTATCCAGACAGTAGTCAATTGCAAGTGGGAAGAGAGAGGCGCGTCTCTGACAGCAGTGCAAAGGGACAGAGCTGCTAGCAAAGAGGACGCCCTAAAGTCATGTGGACAGGAAAGCAATGGAGACCAAGCACCATGTCCGAGGTCATTGATGTACAGACAGCTTGGTAGCCCAGAGCGTATCACAGTGTCATGCAAAGTCATAGGCGCGCTCTCACCATTTGTTTGTATGTTGCTTGCAACTCAGAACTCTCTCTCTCTCTCTTTTTTAATTTTTTTTATGACAAGTGGAAACAACGTCCTTAGTACCACAGAAGCCCTTGCTTGTGCCACGGCTCACGCATAGCATGAGTTCAAAGGCTTTGGTAGGTTGGTTGTAAAGGCGCTTCTGCAGGTATATCCTTTGTATCTATTTTCTCATGAAAACAGTGCTAGTAGTGCTCTGTAAGTCAGGAACTGCTTGCATTCTTGCCATAGTTGAGTAAGCTGGTCACTGGCCAGTCTTTTAAAAAGTCCAAAGTCACACCAAGCACTCAGACATGGCGGTTGGCGGTCGCTGGATGGGGTGTTACAGACTGGGCGTGGGGAGCCCTGGTCCTTCCCAGAGCCCGGGTTCCTGCAGCTGCTCTGCGAGGAGCAGATGTGACCATCAGATACCTTTGGAAGACGGTTGCCTTCTTCCCTGGAAAGCTGCTATCCCCACACACCTTTGTCAAACCCAGAATTTCTCAAACAAAATCCATTTCTCAAGGAATAATTTTTTCCTTTTCTGAATAGCCACAAACTTTCTGAGGAATAAACTTGAGAAATATTCTTCTGGGTTTTCACTGGTGTTGGGGACACAACCATCTCTTGGGTAGGTTGACTGCAGACCCCCTAGAGCCCCTTAGCCATACACCTGAAGAAGCAGCCCCAAAACTACTCAGAAGCATGTAATTTGAATTGTGTGTGTGTGTGTGTGTGTGTGTGTGTGTGTGTGTGTGTGTGAAAAATGCATGGAGACAAAAGGTTTGCCTTCTTTGATATGCTATTCTAGGTCATTGGTAAAATAAGTTTTATTCTTTAAAAAAATGTATTTGTATTGATTTCAGAGAGGAAGGGGGAGGGAGAGAAAGATAGAAACATCAATGATGAGAGAGAATAATTGATCAGCTGCCTCCTGCATGCCCCACCCTGGGGATCAAGCCTGCAATGGGAATCAAACTATGACCTCCTGATTCATAGGTCGACACTCAACCACTGAGCCATGCCGGTCGGGAAAATAAGTTTTCTTCTTAAACCTAAACTCAGCTTATGTTTCCTGAGGGGTAGAGGAAGATGGTGTGAAGTGTGCTGTGACAGGTAGCACGGGGAAGAATTCCCATTTGCTCAGAGATGCTTCAAAGAAGAGGGACTGGCAGGGAGAGGGAGCTGCCTGTTCAGGCTCCTCACTGACTTCACCAGGAATGTCATTCCCACAGCCGAGTGTCTCCCTCTGTGCGTTTGTGAAGGAAGCTGGTCCCACGTGTAGATTCCGGGGTTGAGGCCTGGCCAGCTGTGCTGGTGCAGGAAGCCCCGCTGTGTTCCTCCTGGGCTGAGGGAACTTTGCAGTGTGGGGACCAGATGGTGTCCTGGTTGGGTTTGGCTGTCCCTTTCCAGGGTGTGTAAAAAAAATGTAGCCTTCTCTGAGAAGCCTTTGGGTTCGTGTTTTAGACATCCAGGCCTCCTATTTTCATTCTGGATTCAGATTCTCACTGCCTCTTGCTGGCTCTGGGCACTTGAGCAATTAATTCAAACTCTCCATGTCTATATGAAGTGGGGGTAACAATGCACTTGCTGATAGTGTTGTCTTGAGGATTAAATGAGAGACACAGACAGCCCCTTAGTACAAGGCCTGGGATGAAGCAAATGCTCAATAAACATTGAGCACAATACTTCTTGGCGGGGAGTCCCGGGTGCTACCTGGTGGTCAGGCCTGTTCCTCACCCTCCCTGGATGCAGGACTCATCCAGCCACAGCAACCTGCACCTCGCTGGGCACATAACAGGCCTGTGTGGGACTCAGCAGGGTTGAGAGGGAGAGAAAACTCAGCCATGATGGGAAATTTGGATGAAGGGAAGTATGGCCCAAACAGCATCTTTTACAACATCCTCTTCTAGGTGGGGTTCCTGTCTCTTCCCCTTGAATCTTGGTGGGTTTACGACTTGCCCTAACCAATAGAATGTCCCAGGTGATATTGCATGCCTTTGGAGGCTAGGTCAGAACAAATGATGCCCGTTGGCCTTGTTCCCTGGGCCACTCACTTTTGGAGCCCTGAGTGACCATGTAAGCAGTTCTTCCCTGAGGCTGTCCTGCTGTGAGGAAGCCAAGCCGGGGAGAGGCCACGGGTGGGCACAGTATGGTGGCAGTGCTGTTTTGAGCCCGCCTCGCTGGGGAGGCCAGATGCACACATGAGTCAGCCAGTCTCCAGGTGAGTCCACCCTCCAATGCCACCTCACTCCCTGCTTTTGAGTCCCCCCAACCGAGACTTGAGAAATTAAGAATCAGAGTCAGGTCACCCTCTCTGTGCCCTTTCTCAATTCCTGACCCACCGTAGTCGGGAGCACAATAAAATGGTTGTTTTATTCCACCAAGTTTGGGTGGCTTGCTTCGCAGCAATGATAAGTAGGAGTGGGTGGGGGGGAAGGGTGTCATGGGTGACATCTGATTGAGTGTGGCAGGAGTTGGGGTGGGGGAGTGAGGCGCTTCCCTAGGGGCACCATTGCCACTAATCCCTTACTAGAGTGCTGTTCTAAGAATGTCCACCAGAGGGCACTATTGCAACAAATCCCTTCCACCCTGGGAATGGGTTTGGGCAGACCCAGAGGTGCTGCCAGGTCTCCTCTCAGATTCCAGAGATGTCATGATCGGATTTCCACATCACTGAGCTGTTCCTCAGGGCTAAAGGAGTGGAGTTGGTTTTGGAGGCCTCTTGGTTCAGCCCAGAGAATAGCTTCTTCTCATTCTGATAGTCCAGGGGAGACAGCTATGGTCTTGACAAGACAGTTACCATTGCCAGCACTGCCCAGCCAGGGCCCAGGCTGGCCCAGGCGACCTGTGGTCTGCAGAGGGCGCCCTATCCTCGCGGCTGCTCTGGCGACCCAACATGTGACTTCCCAGGGAGGAAAGTTCAAGGGCTTACCCCACTGGTCAAGATGTATTTGTCTCCCTGAACGCAGTTAGGTGACTCCCCTGAGTTTAACCTGAGTCACCGGGGCTGAGGCCCCTCACTGGGCCTCCAGGCCCTTGGAGGAATGGAGCCCTTGGCCCACAGCAGAAGAGCTGGGACAAATGCCCCCCATGCTAACCCTGCCTGTGTGTCTTGAGTGAATGTGAATCACCTCCCTGCGCTGCCAGGGGGACAGAAAAGCACCTTGGAACTTCTGGATTGAACAGCAGTTCTGGGATTCAGCCCAAAGTTAGGACATTATGAAAAGCAAATTGATAACACACAAGCTCAACACAGTGATGTCTTCAGTCCAGGCTGTGAGCTGCTCTGAGTGGTAGCTCAGCTGGGCCTGCTCTGGAATCAACCCTGTGGCAGAGGGTGCCGAGGGGCTGCCCATGTCGTGCTCAGGTTCTGTACTTATTCATCTCCCTTGAAATGTGTGGGCCCTAACTTGGAATTTTGGCTTACACTCGATACTTTCTCTCTGTATTTTTTTTAAAGTATTTTTTTTTTTTGATAGGGGGGGAGAGAGAGAGAGAGCGAGCGCGTGAGAGAGAGAGAGGTTTGTTGTTCCACTTATTTATGCATTCATTGGTTGATTCTTGTATGTGTCCTGACCGGGGACTGAACCCCCAACCTTGGTGTATCAGGATGACGCTCTAACCAATCAAGCTACCTGGCCAGGGCGATACTTTCTCTTTTCTCAGGCAAACATCTCTATCCCACTGGATAAACCTTAATGATCAGTAACATCTTATACAATGTGTCTAGTAAACTTGTGAAGATCATGGCACTTTAGAGCAAACTTGCAGGCTCCTGTTTTCATTTTATTGTTAGGAAAGAGAGGTCCAGATAGGGACCCAAAACTCTCCCAGGCCACCGAGTAACGCCGGTCATTCCTCACTGGCTCCGTGTCACGTTCAACCCGCAGGTGGAGAAGATGGCCAGTCTTTTCAACATCCAGGTGCGCACGGGCTGCTTCTGCAACACGGGGGCCTGCCAGCGGCACCTGGGGATCAGCGACGAGATGGTCAAGAAGCACCTTCAGGTGGGTGTCAGGCCCTGTGGTCCTGAGGCCCAGACGCTTGCTGGCAACACCCCAGGGTGGTGCCCCCGAGAATCCCGGAGGCTGGCCTCGTGTCGGGTGGGCGCTGGCTCACTTTCTAAGCCCACCCTGTGGATGTGCAAAGGAAGCAGATCAACAAACATGGAAAATGCTTCGGGATGGTATCTCCATGAGTCATTTGTTACCTTGAAGGCAAAATGTAAAGGCTGAAGAGGGGTTTTGACAGGGGGCCCTTAATTAGCCCAGCCCGATCAGGGTGAACATCTCCAAGCTGGAGTCCCCTCGTCCTGGGCTGGGTGAGGGGGGGACCCTCCCAGGGGCGTTCCACGTCCATCAGAACCCCTCCCCCGTCCCTCCCCCTGCACTGAGGATTTCACTTCAAGGGAAAGCTGTTTGGAACCCTTTCATAACAGTTTGAGTGGCAGAGAGCCCTTATTTATTTAGGAATAGTTTCAACTTGAGTTTTGTTTGGTTGCCAGTAAATATCGCATATATTAGATCCCGACCAACCACGACCCGGTTTTATTTGAGAAGAGGGAGAGGGAAGCTCAGAACACAAACAGGGAAGTCCAGGTGGGATGCTTGATCCTGTGGAATGAGTGCGGGGCCCCACCTCCCTGGAGGACTGACCCGGATTAGGTGCTGGGAGGGGGCGTCCTGGGCAGTGACCAGCACCGGGGGGCCCGGAGCTCTGAGAGGCATGGGGACCTCTCGCCTTTCTTCCCCCGCCGCCCAGCAGGGACCCTCGAGCTTCCTTCGGCTTTGGCTCTCGTAGTGGCCTCAGGAGGGTGGTTCATAGGGCAGCAGCTCAAAGGGCAGCTGCCAGGGATGCAGGCCTCCCTGGTTCTGAGAGGCTGAGGGTGTGGCCAGCGGGTGTCCTCCCACCTCAGCCCTGGGTGGACCCTGAAGGTGAGCCCCGGGCGCTGCGGGAGCTTTGGTCATCTTTCCATACCCCTCTCTGCCAGTCGGCTTTGTGCGCAGCTCGCAGCTTGGGTAGATGCTTTCCGCGAAGTGTTTCCTTTAAGCCAGCGGTTCTCAACCTGTGGGTCGCGACCCCTTTGGCGGTCGAATGCCCTTTCACAGGGGTCGCCTAAGACCATCCTGCATATCAGATATTTACATTAGGATTCATAACAGTAGCAACATTACAGTTATGAAGTAGCAACGAAAATAATTTTATGGTGGGGTCACAACATGAGGAACTGTATTTAAAGGGCCGGAAGGTTGAGAACCACTGCTTTAAGCTTTTAATGGCCCCTGGAGATCAGTATTGACCCCAATTTGCACTTGAGCAAAGGGCGATCTAGACAGTGAGCCCTGCTTGCGGGACGACGTCGCAGGCACGCAGCCCAGGTTAGAGGTGCGATTCCATTTTCTGGGTCCATTTTATTTTACAAGATGAACGAAATCGATCTGTGAGGAGCAGCTGACTTCGTTCCCTTCTCTTCCAGGCTGGTCATGTCTGTGGAGATGACGTGGACCTCGTCGATGGGCAGCCGACAGGGTCTGTGAGGATTTCATTTGGATACATGTCTACTCTTGAGGATGCCCAAGCCTTTCTCAAGTTCATCATAGCCACCCGACTGCGCCCGCAACGTAGCCAACCTGTTCCTCAGGCCGCCTCTGGGGAGGCTGGCACTGCACCAGCAGAGAGCGAGGCTCAGAGCACCGTGCCCGCCACTGTGCCCACCACTGTGCACACCACTGTGCACACCACTGTGCACACCACCGTGCCCACCACCGTGCCCGCCACTGTGCCTGCCACTGTGCACACCACTGTGCACACCACTGTGCCCGCCACCGTGCCCGCCACCGTGCCCACCACTGTGCACACCACTGTGCCCACCACTCTGTCCACCACCGTGCCTGCCACCGTGCACACCACTGTGCCCGCCACTGTGCCCACCACTGTGCACACCACTGTGCCCACCACTCTGTCCACCACCGTGCCTGCCACCGTGCACACCACTGTGCCCGCCACTGTGCCCACCACTGTGCACACCACTGTGCCCGCCACTGTGCCACCACTGTGCACACCACTGTGCACACCACTCTGTCCACCACCGTGCCTGCCACCGTGCACACCACTGTGCCCGCCACTGTGCCCACCACTGTGCACACCACTGTGCCCACCACTGTGCCCACCACTGTGCTCACCACCATGCCCGCCACTGTGCCCACCACTCTGTCCACCACCGTGTCCGCCACCGTGCCTGCCACCGTGCCCACCACCATGCCCGCCACCGTGCCCACCACTGTGCCCGCCACTGGGCACAGACCTAGTCCCTCTCCTCGGGAAGACACCCCCACAGCCTCCAGGGCCGGGAATGACTGGCCCCCTGCCGTGGGTGCTGTGTGTTTGCGCCCGCCTCTACCGGAGGCCACCAGGACCCTGCAGGCCCCTCCAGAGAAAGCGGCAGCAGCCCCGGGTGGGGGCCTTGGGCCACATGTCATCACCAACCTTTTCCTCTACCCCATCAAATCCTGTGCTGCGTTTGAGGTAAGGGTTTAATGGCAGAATGGGGAGTGCTTGTTTTTTTGTTTATAATGTGGGTCTTTTTGGGCAACGTGAAGAAAAAAGTACAGAATGTGAAAAAAAAAATGCAGAAAATCCCACTCAAGGTCAGAGTGTTGTGCCGTCTGAAGAGCCGGTCTATCGGACTCTCTTGGTTTGGGCTGACCTTTGAACAGGGCTCTGCCTGCAAGGACCCTTGAGGGGACCCTGAGTGGTGAACGCCTGCTTACTGTTTTTATTTCTTTTTATTTTTATAATATATTTTTTTATTGGTTTCAAGGAGGAAAGGAGAGGGAGAGAGAGAGAAATCAATGATGAGAGAGAATCATCGGTCGGCTGCTTCCTGCATGCCCCCTACTGGGGATTGAGCCCACAACCCAGGCATGTGCCCTTGACCAGAATCGAACTGGGACCCTTCAGTCTGCAGGCAGGTGCTCTATCCACTGAGCCAAACCGGCCAGGGCCCACCTGCTTACTGTTGATAATTATAGATACAACTTTCAGCGAATGCATGGGCTGCCTCCCTAATGTAGCATTTCATGTGCCTTGTTTCATTTGATTCTTAAAACAATAATATGAGGCGCATGGTAATATCATCCTCATTTTGTAGAGATGGAGCCCGAAGGCCACTGAGGTGAAGCGCTTTACCCAGGTCTGACAGGGCAGAGCAGGGATTTGAACCCAGGTCTGTGACTCCTTATGCAACGTGTTCCCCTCAGCTCCCCCGTGGACGTGAACTATCCTCTGTCTTAAAAGCAGCTGGCCTGGGGTCACCCAAGCTGGGAGACTGGAGTGCCTGCCTCACCCCCCCCCGCCCCCCGCCCTTCCCCCGGCTGTGGCCAAAGTGCGGCTGCCTTTGTCCAAGTCCCAGGTCCAGGTCCCAGAATCCCAAGTCTCTGGGGTGACAGGCTCTCTGGCTCTTGGTCAGACATACGGGGGTCAAGGCTGTTTGTCACCTGCTTTTCGGGGTGTCCCACAAAAGCCTGCCCTCCAGGCTGAGCCATAAACAAGCAAGTTCACCTCCACTTCAAAACGGAGGCAGGTGGGGACTCCAGGTGCCCTTGCGCACAGGACTGTCTTCAGAGATGGGTCCTGTTCCGCGGGACAGCTACGTCGCACGCAGCACGGGCAGCAATTGCTATCCCATTTTACAGATGAGGACACTGAGTCTCAGTAGGGTTTCGTACATTGCTCAAGGTTTTCCATCCCTCTGCTCTTTCAAAAACGACACACTGAACACCTGCTACCTGCCAGGCTGTGGGCCAGAGCCTGGTGGACAGTGATGAGCAAAATGGAAATGGTTCCTTCCCTGGTGGGGGGGCGGGGAGGGGCACTGTCTCAGAAGGGAAATAGACAGAGACCAAACACCACCAAGTGAATGGAATGACACTGCTGATGAAGGCCAAGACGGCGAAGGTGGGGATGCCAGAGAGAATCCGGGTGGGTAGTCCATTCAGGCGGCTAGAGCAAACCTGTCAACTGGGTGGCTAATGAACAACAGACATTATTCCTCACAGTCTGGAGGCTGGACAACCAACGTGAAGGCACAGGCAGATTTGGTGCCCGGTGAGCACCCACTTCCTGGTTCACAGACAGCTGCCTTCCTGCGGTGTCCTAACACGGGGGTGAGGGAACTCTCTGGGCCTCTTTGAAAAGGGCACTAATCCCATTCATGAGAGCTCCACCCTTGTGACCGAGTGACCTCCCAAAGGCTCCTCCTCCCAACAACTTCACATCGGGAGTTAGACTCTTAATATGAATTCTGGGGGGGACACAGACATTTAGTTCACTGCAGTGGGGTACTTAGATTATATTTGGAGGTGGCAGGAAAGGCTTCTTGAAGAGGGGACATTTAACCTGAGACCTGGGAGTCAGGCATACAGAGAGAGGGGGAAGAGCATTCCAGGCAGAGGGAACAGCATGTGAGGAGACCCTGAGGTGAGAAAGAGCCTGGTCCATTGGAGGAACCGAGAGAAAGAGTGGGGGGTGGTGAGGAGGGATTTGGGTGCGGTACCGCGCACATGCCTCACCTACTGAAGAAACGGGCTGAGATGGAGAAGGGTGGGTGTGTAGGGTGAGTGGAAGGTGTCTGGGTCCTTTGCGTTGTCCTCTGGTTTGACTTTCTTCCTCCCCATTCTTCCTTCAGGAGTATGTGCTGACTCCCTGAAGTCCAGCTGTATGGGCGCAGCCACCGCGCAATAATGTGAAGGTCATTGCCGAGGAGCCCTGGCCTACAACGTGCTTCCCTTTTTGTTTAGGTGACGCAGTGGCCTGTGGGACACCAAGGGCTGCTGTACGACCGGAGCTGGATGGTTGTGAACCACAACGGCGTTTGCCTGAGTCAGAAGCAGGAGCCACGGCTGTGCCTGGTCCAGCCCCGCATTGACCTGCAGCAGAGGATCATGGTCGTTAGAGCCAAAGGTGGGAAAATGGGTTCCTTTTCACCATGCAGCTGTCAGAGTGCCCTTTAGACTCCCGTGAAAGGAAGATAAGGCTTTTCCGCCACCAAATATTGAAATGATGCCTAGAGGAGACAACAGAAAGCTTGTTCCTCTCTTGTTGTGGGAATTTTCTGGGGAAAGGTAAAGACCTGAGGGTCCAATCAGAAACTGAAGAGGCATAACTTCTGGAATCACGTGGTGTGCTTTTCACTTACATTCCTTTCATATCCTTCAGTCATCATAATACAGAGTGGGTAAAAGTAGGCTTATGATTGTTTGTATGGAAAAAGACAGGCAAGATATGATTATTACAACAGCTTTATTAACTCAAAAGAATGTCACAGTGGCACCATGCACTTAGGTACAATCTCATAAATGCTCAATTGCCGGCCTTCATTCTTGACACGTCCTTGCAGTCTTTGGAAATCAGTAAAGAAACCTGAATTTCAGTGACCTGCTTGGGTCAGCCCCACTGCCTCCTGAGGTGGTTGAAGTCAAACCTACTTTTGTCTCTACCCCCCTCCACCCCGCCCCTGTATGCACTGCATGCTTTCATTCTCTCTGCTGGCTTTTATTATAGACTAGTAGCATACATAAAATTACAGACCAGCTCTGTCCAGTGGAACTTTCTGTGATGGTGGTATATTCATTCTCTATATTGTCCATTTGGTAGCCACCAGTCACACGTGGCTACTGAACACTTGAAATGGGGCCAGTCGGACAAGAGAACTGAATTCTAAATTTTATTTAATTTTGATTAATTTAAATTGCTGCATGTGGCTAGTGGTTACAGTGTTGAACAGCACATGTATTTTGCAATTATATATTTGTAATTATATTTTGATTGTAATGCCATATATTCAGTTCAGGAGAATTTATGTAATATAATATTGTCTTTTATATATAAACTAGAGGCCCGGTGCATGAAATTCATGCACAGGATGGGGGGTGCGTGTCCTTCAGCCTGGCCTGCACCCTCTTGCAATCCCGGACCCCTCAGGGGATGTCCAACTGACAGTTTAGTCCTGATCCTGCAGAGAATGAATATTCTAACATTACAGAAAATTCCACTGGATAGAGCTGGTCTGTAACTTTATGTATGCTACTAGTCTATAATAAAAGCCAGCAGAGAGAATGAAAACATGCAGTGCATACGGGGGCGGGGTGGAGGAGGGTAGAGACAAAAGTAGGTTTGACTTCAACCACCTGCGGGATCGGGCCTAAACCGTCAGTTGGACATCCCTCTCGCAAGCCAGGACCAATGGCTCCTAATCGCTTGCCTGCCTGCCTGATTGCCCCTAACCACTCTGCCTGCCTGCCTGATTGCCCCTAACCACTTGCCTGCCTGCCTGATTGCCCCTAACCCCTCTGCCTGCCTGCCTGATCACCCCTAACTGCTCACCTGCCTGCCTGATTGCCCCTAATCACCTCTGCCTTGGCCCCCACCGCCGTAGCTTCACCTGGAAGGTCACCCAAAAGGACGTCTGGAAGGTTGTTCGGCTGTCCAGTCTAATTAGCATATTATGCGTTTATTATTACAGATAGTATTTCTCTTCATTTAAGACTTCTTTACTTACTCCAAGAATTTAATAATATTTTCCAGAAAACTTCTGCACATTTTTGGATATATAATAGTTTGAGTATTTTGAATATTATTTTTTCTATTAAATCGGTTATGAATGCCATATAGAAAAACTATTGATGTTTGTATATCAATGTTTTACCCAGATTATTTTCTGAATTCCTGTTAGTTTTCTTAGTTGATCTGAAGATTTTGTCACATGTTCTATGTAAATTGGCATATTGTCTTCTAAAATGATAGTTTCATGCCTTCCTTTCTAATGATTATTTCTCTTTTAAAAAAATATATTTTTATTGATTTCAGAGAGGGAGGGAGGGAGATAGAGAGAGAGAAATATCAATGATAAGAGAGAATCATTGATTGGCTGGGTCCTGCACTCCCCACACTGGGGATAGAGCCCACAACCTGGGCATGTGGCCTGACCGGGAATTGAACCGTGACCTCCTGGTTCATAGATCAACGCTCAACCACTGAGCCACTGCCGGTAGGCTCTTTTTTTTTTTTTTAAATCTTACTTCTTGGCCAGGCCTTCTTGTATAATGTTGTAACAGTGATGGAAGAGATCCTTCTTTATTACTGATTTGAGTAGAATAGTTCTAAGGTCTCAAAAATAAAAATGATGCGCACTGATTTGATTTGCCGGGTTAAGTAGTTCTTTTCTTATTTAGCCAAAAGTTTTGTCACGAATAATAGTCATTTCTTATTGAATGCTGTTTCTGCATCTCTCGGTTATATTTTTCTCCTATATTCTAGGAGTGTGATGTCTACATTAGCAGACTGTCCAGTACTACAGTATTCTTGCATTCTTGGGGGAGAGAACACGCTACTTGGCAATGATTTGTTGATACATTTGGATTGCTGATTTTTAAAAGTATTTTTATACCTATTTTTATTAGTGAGATTTGATATATTACCTTCTTTTATTGTATTTTTCTTGTTCAAGTTCAGGTACCCAGGATAATAATACACAGAAAGATTTGAGTGGAATATTTTACTTTCTACTCTTTGAGTAGTGTGTACATCAGTGTTAATTAATATTATTCTTTAACCTGTTACATACAGGTGTGATATACTCCTTTATATGTATGATGTATCTGTAACAATTAAAAAATAGCTTCTCAACCCCTTTGACATAACAGACTCTTTGAAATAATGAGGATTGGTGCAGGAATCTAATTTGATGCTGACTCCTAGGGGCTACCGAGAGTTGACACCCTATGCTGATATCTTTGTAGAATGAGCCTTCATGCCTGCCTGCCTATTTCTAAAGAATTTTAGGTAGCTTAGAGAACAATGACTGTGGGATGTGCAGTCATCCAGAGGTAGAGAAAACTTTCAAAGGAATTTAGAGTGTTCCTGGGACCCTGGATGTGGCCGCCCACTGCAGGATCCCCTGCTAAATTCGCTCAATGCACAGCTGTGGGGCACTCATCATGCCGAAGAGAATCTGTTAGAAGATTTCCAAGACCCAGACACTTATTTGATTCAACCAGTTTCCAGGGTCATTAAGATTCTTGTAAATTTCATAATATTAGACTTTAACTAACATAGTTGTTCTTTTTGCTTGGTAATAAATTTGTCTCTAACCTTTGCTCATCAGGAATGGAGCCTATAGAGGTGCCTCTTGAGGAAAACGGTGAATGGGTTCAGATTTGCCAAAGCAAGGTCTGTGCGGACAGGTGAGACTGCAGCAGGGAAATCTCAGGTCCACCTGAGGAGACGAGTCCTCTGCTGAGTCCTCCATCCCACCCACTGCCGCTGCTGCTCCCCAGGGCGCACTCCACTCACCCCCCTGGCTCCCTCTCAGGGCTTTGCACTCCTGTTTCCTCTGCTTGGAATGCTCTTCCCCTATTTATACCTCCAGGGCTCGCTCCCTCACCTCCATCAGTCTCACTGCCACCTGCTCTCTGCGGAAAAGCCCCTTTCTCAGAGGGGCACCGGCCTCCCACAGAATCAGCCTCTCTCGCTGCTGCCGGGCTGCAAGCTTCTCCTTAGCATTGACTGTTACCCAACCTTTATCTCTAGTCCCTCCTGCTAAAGTGCCCACTGGGGAGAGCGGGGCTCAGCCTGTGCTGCTTCCTGCAGAGCCTGGAACAGGCTGGGGGGGAGGCATGTGAGTGAGGAACCGGGGAACCGTTCAGGGGAGGCATGGGGGGCCTTGGTGGGGTGGCTGCTGTAGAGTGGTGAGGGTAGCAAAAGGCCCATCTCTGGGTGCGAGGGCTTCTTAGCGCAAGATAATGCTCTGGAAAGTCCCAGATTCCAAGGTTGTCTTCTCAGTGGCTATAATGTAAAGAAGGTGTTTCAAGAGGAACGTCTAAACCCTTTTATCTGATCTTAAAGCTTTGCACAAACCCGGGTCTCAGGTCTTGCTGTGCCTTGGGAATCTCCCCGCAGCTTCCTAAGCCTAATTCTAGGCTTCCTTTTGGCCGGGGCTCAATGATTATTACAAAATGTTATATTACTCTTTGCCATTTAGACTGTTATGAAATAATATGATACAACATTCACCATTCTTTTTTTTTTTTTTTGGTCAGGGTAAATACTCATTATTGCGGAGAAAAAATTTCAAGCTGGTTGTCAAGGTTTCTGGGCCGTCCATGTCATTTGATCAAACAAAGCTCGGACTTTCAGAGAAACGCAAAGAAGAGCCATGGCAAAGGTATATGGCATTTGGGATTGTCCTCAGGGCACAGGAACTCGGGCTTGCCTTTGCATGCATCCATGGTCAGCCCGTGACGCGGAGTCACAGGGCAGCTTGCTCACGTACAGAAAGTGGGGCGGCCCCCCTTCGGCAGAAAGGTCCCCGAGCCCCAGGTCAGCAGGACCCAGGTGTGGCCTCCTGAGAACCCTGAGAGGCCGGGGTGGGCTCCCAGGCCACCGCGTCGCCTCTGCTCAGCCCTCTGCCTCAGCCACGCGCGTATTGCGTATCAAGAAGCACACTTCCGTTTTGTTAGATGAAAATATTGGTAGCTTGCAAGGTCCTAAGGAGACCTGGGTTTCTAGTCTTGGCTCCGTCTCCAAATGGCGGGAGGCCTTGGCTAATCCTTGGTGCCTCAACTTCTGTTGACCTCAGCTACTTAGTCTTGAACACGTTTGACAGTTTTCCTGCCGAAAGCTGCTATTAGGGGGAAGTGAGACAGCAGAGAGCAAAGTACTTTTCGCGTTAACAGTACCATAGAGGAGGAATGGACCATTTTCAGGCGTCTGTTTAATTCTGTCTTCTCGGGGAGCCTTGCCTGGCTGCTCTCCAAAGCCCTCGCCTGAACTTCCCCAGCTCCCTTCGCTGTTTTATTTTTCTCTGTGGCACTGTTCACCTCCTCTAGGCCAGGCATTTGACTGCTATGCTGTGCATGTCCGGCCTTCCCTCTACTAGACCATAAGTGCTGTGAGGGCGGGGACTTTTGTCTGCTTTGTTCAGTGTTGCATCCCCCATGCTTAGAACAGCACCTGGCAAATAGTAATTGCTCAGTAAATACTAGATGAAGGAAGACATGGGTCATTGCTGCATTTCTGGTTTGTGCAGGGATGACCTGCCCCAGTGATTAGCTCTCAGAGAGACTGGTTTGTAAGCCCAAATAGCATTTTGATCATATGGGGACCAGGACTGGGGTCTTGGGACCTGCACAGGTGAACCTATAAATCCCTGAAAATGAATCAAGGAGAGAAGAACCAAAGGATGTAATCTACTTAGACCTTTACAAGTTCTGACAATTTTTCATGTCATGAGCTATTCAAGAATTTGAGTTGCTATGTGATGGAGAAGGGGAATAGACTTACGCTCATTTTTCGAGGAGGTGAGCTGGTGGTGCCTGGGCCTGGATTAGCTCAGAGTCATGATTAAATGGGAGAGAAGTGGGCATTTTCATGAGTAGAGACACACAGGAGTGGGATTCGTCAGGACCTATGCTCCCCTTATACATGATCTTATTTAATACGTTCCAGTTATTCATAACTCTTCCTGTTTACCTGGGGCCTAGCCAGGTCCTCAGGAGGCTGGCTGAGATTATTAAGCAATGGTTGTGGGCCTTCAGTTTAGAGGCACCGACTCACCAGCAGACGGCGACACTACAGTAAAGGTCTGTGACTCACCTGCAGTGAGTCATGGAGGGCTTCAGGGAAGAGGTGAGTTTGGAGCTGCATCTTAGCAGGAGAGTAGGCGTTTTCCAGGCAGAGAGAGGCAGGAAGGTTACCTGGGAGCAGCATGGCAGGGTGTGGCATTTCATGGGCTCAGAGAAGGGTTCAGGAAGGTTGGATGTGGCTCAGGGATAAATGGGGCAGAGCTGGGCTGAAGGGATGAATGTGCAGCTGAGGAGTCAGGAAGCACTAGCTTGTGGTTGGGGGAACTCACTGAAGAATTCTATGTTCTGGGATTTCGTGATGTTGTGTGTATTAGAAGGACAATCCTGGCAAGGTATGGGGAGCTGCATCCGAGAGGGAGAGGAGGGAAGGGGATAGGCAGGAGATGGCTATGACTGTCCCAGTGGAACATGGGGCCTGGCTGAGGCAAAGGTGGGCACAGGGAGAGCTGTCTCCTGCACTGGACAGGACCAGGGAGTGCCAGCTTGTGACTATTTCCACTTCAAGGATGCCACTTATGGAGGCGAGATCTCTGATGGTCCAGGCCTCAGGTCTTCAAACATATTTGCATTGGTACACCTTAGAAGAATTGTTTTAAAGCTACATTACCTCCTACATTTTTACATTGTCATCTAAATGTTAAAAACAAGTTAAAAGAAGAACCCAAGCTGGCTGCAGAATAGGTGGAAGGTACACTCACCTCCTCCCAGGACCAAACTGGAATTACAACTAAATTATAAAACAATCACCCTGGATAACCAACTGAAGACTAGCTGAACAGAAGTCTTATAACCAAGGATTTACAGAAGCAGCCACAAGGAGACTGGTAGGAAGGGCGGAGACATAAGGGCTGGCCCCGTGAGCACCAGGGCTGGTGGCTGAGATTCCGGAGGGATGTCTCAGCTGCAGAGGTTCCCCTGAGAAGCCTGGGGTCTCAACCACATGTCGGGCTCCTTAGCCCAGAGCCCCAGCACCAGGAAGAGGCACCATGTGACATCTGGCTGTGAACAGCAGCTGGGATTCTGTCCTCTAAGGAAAGACAGAAGTCTGCTAGAGACACAGGTGCCCTCTTAAAGAGCCAGCACTCAAAATCTTGGTCGCAGCCACTCACCCTGGGCTCTGGCAGAGGGAGTGCAGAGCAGACTAGAGTCCTGTGAGGGGAGACTGGTATTTGTGGCTCTGGGGAGAGAGCTGAAGGGATAGCCGCCAGGATTCCTGTGCCGAGTCCCGCTCCCACACCACAGATGTCATCTTTCTTGGGTCGAGCACTCCCCTCCTTGGAGTCAGCCTGGGGGAAAGCAGCAGCCCCACCTTCTGGACTTCCTGTTTCCCCACCCTGCTGGGCTCTCACGGGGCTGAGGAGTCAGCTGCCTGGGCCAGGGTGTAGAGGTCTAGGCGATTTCTAGCAAATTATAAATGTGGCCATTTAAATGAAAACTCATAGATTATCCTTTTAAACATTAGCGAGTGGAATCTCAATACCATAGAGATTTGATTCCATGAATATTCACTACACACACACACACACACACACACACACACACAAACTGTCTTTTAATGGTCAGAAATTTTATATCTTTCCTTTTTCTTCTTCAACTCATATTTCCATTCTACTTCTTTAATGGGGTTTTATCTCAGTGTTACATATTTTATGCTTGAAAATCTTTCCTTGATCACCCTATCATATTTATCTAAAACCAAGATCCTATATAAATTGGAATGTATAAACATTTGTAGAGTTTACTGTGATCAGAAGAGTCCAAGTGTTAGGAAATTTCTTACAGGTTGACTTATCACAATTTTTAATAGTATACAGTTGATCAAAGCAACAACTACATATTATAAATTTCAAAAGACAGTGAAAACACTGTTGAAAACAAATCTCTTAATGAGATGGCTGGGCTCCCCGCCATTAATTCCCATATTAATGAGTATCTGCCACCTATGACCAGCATAGCTGGTGCTCCGCCTTGGTTCTCTTCTGCAAAGCCTTATCTGAGTGAATAAAGAGCTGGGGATGAAAGGCGGTTGGTTGACCTGCTGTCACTGAAACCTTTTCCTGAGTCACAGGGATCTCACATTAAGATGACTTTAGTCATGTCACTTGACAACTTAATCAGGTGTGACAGTTTTGTGGAGAGCAAAGAATGGGAGCCCATCTGACCTACAGGCGGATCATTCACCCAGGCTTTAGAGAAGTTCCTTATCTCAGCACAGGCCCCAGGGATTTGAATGGGCCTTTGTTTTCCGACTTGGAGACTGTCAGCCCCCAGGGGAGGGTGCCCAGGAGAGGTGAGCCTTCCCTCTGTGAAGGGGAGAAAGGCCTTTTGTGGAGGGGCTGGCGTGCGCCCCCTTCTCTGAAAGCCTTTGTAGCAAAGAGGGCATTGGGGAGTGGAGGTTCTGGAAGGTGATTCTGTAGAAGGATCCTTTCTCGTGTATTCCGGGGTCCTCAGACACTGTTTGCAGGGACCTCACTAGGCTTTGGCCCAGCCAACCCTTTCCATCCACATCTTGGATAACGACAGCGATGGTGTGCCCCACTTGGGAGGTGGGAGCTGGGCCATAGGCTCCAGCAGTGCTGGGCACATTTCATAGTTTCTTTCACTCTTTTATTTTCCCTTTCAGTAGTTTTAAACTTGTATTATTTATTTCTGAAGTCAATTATTTCACACTTTCCCAAGGGCGAAAACCAGCTTTCCCCTAATTCAGGAGAGCTTCTTGGGCCCGTGGACTCATTGAGGCCCTGCTCCACCTGCTGCCCATCCCTCCTCCTCTGAATGTCGCCCCCAAGCCTGTGCTGGCAGTTTCGCTGCAGCATTTTATTATTATTACTTTTCAGATAAGTAGTGGAGTATTCTACGAGCTCATTTTTTTTTTTTTTTTGAGAGGTTTGAGACAATTTAAGACAGGTTGTCCTATTTCAAGGGCACCACTTTTTCACTTGTAGAGATAGTCTCTATTTTTAAAACATGACGGTCAATGGAGCATGATTCATTTGCAGTCCAAAAAAGCAGCTCTTCTTTTATTTTACTTTAAAACATTTAAAATTTAATTTCATTAAAATTATTTTACTGAGGTATAATTGACATATAACGTATTAGTTTCAGGTGTACAACATAATGGATTCAATATCTCCATCTATTGTGAAGTTATCACCACAATAAGCCTAGTTAACATCCATCACCACAACCAGTTACAAAATGTTTTTTCTTGTAATGAGAATTTTAAAGGTTTACTCTTCTGGCAACTTCAAATATGCAATACAGTATTATTAACTCTAGTCACCATGCTATACATTACATCCCAGGATTTATTTTATAACTGAATGTTTGTCTCTTTTGACCCCCCTCACCCCCTCACAAATTTTGCTTACCTCCACCCTTTGCCTCAGGCAACCACCCATTTGTTTTCTGTATCTGGGAGATGGTTTTAGCTTTTGTTCTTTAGATTCCACATATAAGTGAGATCATATGGTATTTGTTTTTCTCAGCCTGACTTATTTCACTTAACATGATGCCCTCTAGGGCTACCCATGCATCACAAATGGCAAGATTTCCTTCTTTTTATGGCTGAATCATATTCCACTGTATATACATGTACCACATCTTCTTTACCCAGCCATCTACCTGTGAGCTCTTGGGCTGTTCCCAGGTCTCTTCTTTTAAATACCCACTCCATCCCCTCCAGGGCAGACTGCTGGAACACCAGCCACCCTTTCTCTGGTGAATGAGGCCCAGTATCTGCTGGTAAACAGATCCAGTGTTCTGGAACTTCAGCAGCAATTAAGCGCCAGGTAAGAAAGACCCTTTTACTATTTGCTATTTACCTCGGGAATAACATAGAGGTGTAATCACTTACCCTGCATGTAGCCTGGCACCTACCTGGGGAGAGAGTGCCTGGAGTCCTGGAGTCCAGACTCTTCATGAGACCAGAGAAATCACAAGGCCCTTTAGGGAAGTCCCCATTAATCTTTCTGAGTGTTCGCCTTTGTCTTCCGATGTCCTTCTTGATGCCCTCAGGATGCTTAGCAGAGAACCCCAATTCTCATTTTTCAGTCATTCCATTTCTTAACATTTGCTATAATGGAATTTCTACCAACTTGTTCTAATTTCATTGCCCACCCTCCCACTGTCTTCTGTCCCCGAAGAGCCTTGCTCTACTTCCGCAGTCCTCGTGAGGGAAAAGAAGAGTGGTTAGAGAGCGTTCACAGTTGTGATTGTAGATGTGACTTTTGGTACCACCAGACAGATCCGGCACCCCTGCCTGTCCACTCCTGCCAGTGCTCTCTCTCCCAGGAGTCCTGGCAGTAGTGAGAGGTCAGCAGCTCTACAAGGGGTCTTGGTAGGTCCAACCCCCCTTGTTGTTTAGAGGAAATTGCTGTCCAAGGTCATCAGGCCATTAGGGGGGAAATCACTGTTATGAGACAGCTGGACTGCTCATTCCTAGTCCCCAGGACTGAGAGAGGTGTGCACACGCCTGTCAGCACCTGAGCCGGGGCTCCTGTGCCTCTCACGTGCCACATGCCCCTGTGCATCTGTGTGCACACTGTGTGCAGAAATACACAAGTACAGCATAATAAATGTGACAAAGCTAGGCTGTTTGAAGCATAGTCATTGGCAAAATCATACAACGTTGTTCCCTTGCCATGGCCTACCTCACCCTCATGGGAGCAGAAGTGTGACACGGCTGGTACTTGGTGCTCACTGAGTTTTAGCTGCACTGAGTGACGCTCCACTCTAGGTACCCAGAGCACTGGAGGAAGCAGGTCTGCGGTTTCCCGGGGCTCTTGGTATAGAAAGATAGGAGGTGAAACAGGCTTGCTGCAACCCTGGTTCCTACCAGGAGGGAACCACGTTTCCAACAAGTTGGTTTTGTGTACGGGGATGGGTGGGACAGGTGAGCAAAGGTAAGAGAAATAGTCCCAGGGCTAATACCTGGGACGGTCCCTGGGGCCCTGGTTGGTGTATCTCTGCTCTGTTTTCAGATTTGCTGGCTGCTGCCATGTACATGTTGATAGGACAGTTTTTGGACATAACACTTTCCCTTTTATAAAGCACAGAAGGAAGGTTTATAACCAGGAGGGCAAATCCATAATCAAAGGGTTTTAGGATTGGCAAGTGCTAACTCTCTCATTTTGGATGAGAAAACTGTGGCCCTCACAGGTCATGGGAGTTGTTTGGTTAGAGGCAAAGCTAGACTTAGCCATCCTGCTCCTGACATTCCGCCCTCCACTCACTGTTGGAAGGGGGCTGAGGCACAGCTGTGGACCCCTTCCTCCCCCAGAGCCTTTCAATCCTGTCTCCAGGGAAAACTCCCGTCAGACCAAAGGATTTCTCCCAACTTAATTTAAAAAATACTTTTGTTGAGTACAACAAAGTGCAAAATCCTAAGTCCACAGCTCAGTGAACTTCACTGATGGACCTTCCATATAACCACCGCAGGTCAAGTAGAGAACATTTCTAGTACCTCAGAAAGCTCCCTCTACCCCTTAGCCAACCCCACTGAAGGTCAACAGTGTCGACTTCCAGCATAGGTAGTGCTTTCTCCCTGGGGTGTGTGTGTGTGTGTGTGTGTGTGTGTGTGTGTGTGTGTGTGTGCAGGGAGGTGCAGAGAGCCATTTTACAGGACCTCCTGGCAGTAAACAAAACCTTTACACAAGAATTAGAAAAATAGCATATGCTAGTTAAATTGCAAACAGAATGGAAGTTAGGAAATAAATATAAACCACATTGCTTTACGATGTTTTAATATTCTCCAAGAGTGTGATGTCTTGGTAAGTAAGCTGGACACTCTTTCAATGTATCCTGACTCACCTTGTGGAACTGGTGTCTTCTCAGTTCATTTACTCAACCTCTGTTCACCTGGTTTCCAACATCCTCCACGTCTTACACAAAGATCTACTCACCCTTTGCTCCACATCTTGTGGGCCTCTGCCCAACAGTCATATCCCGAAGGAGACCACTGAGATCTAACATGTCGGTGCCGCTTGGCCTCAAGGTAAAAGTGTGTCCTGGTCATGCAGGCCTCTGGCCAGAGCACATTCGATGAGTCAGGTTTTAGTGGTGGAAACACTGAATTGTTACAGCGGCGTAATTATCCACACTCCCTTCCCTTACCCTTTTTGGCCTGTCTTCAATAGTGATGAGAGCGGAAGGGAGGAATTATTCCCAATGACAGAGCTCATCTCACGTTTCCGTGCCAATATTATTACCAGTGGAGCAAGTGCTTTTGAAGAAGAGAAATGGGAGGAGATTTCAGTCGGTTCCTTGCATTTCCAGGTGAGTTCTGGGAAGTTCTGTCATCCTTCCTGAAGGGCTGTGAATGGAGACCAAATCCGAGGCCAGGATGGTGGCAGGTGGGAACCCCTCAGCAGGAGGGTGTGTGACATCTGCGTTCTGCACCGCTCCTTGGAACGACCCATGCCAGATTCTTGTTCCAGCATCTAGAAGGGTTCAGCAATCTGGAGAAAGGCTCTGTGTGTAACTTAAAGAATCCAGAGACGAGGCATAATTTTGAAAGGCATTTGGGGGTCAGCGGAGCTTAGCTAAAAGGAACTAAGATCTCCTCGTCTCAGGACCCCATGCTTTTTATTAACACAAATTGTGCTGAGGGCAGGTGGAGATATACACTTCAAAGGGTCAGGGTTTAGTATACAAAATCCATTTGGGGGAATTAGCCTACGGCTGTTCAGGTGTTTGGCCAGTAGGAGGCAATAACATGTAGATTAAGATGCCCTGAGCTGTCTGGCAGCAAGCAATCATCCCTTTTCAGGTTTGGGGAAATGCCTTCAGCCATTCCCAACAGGTGACAACATATGTGACTCAGCCCTTATTGAGTCCCCAAGTTCCATCAACGTTTTGATGAAACTCTTGAAATTATGACATGCTAGAATTGGCTTCCAGCAACCCACCCTTACTTCCCACCAGGGTGAGAGAATGTGCCCCCTGCAGGTGATGGAGGGCTCAGTGCAGCTCCTCCGCCCCCCCCCCCTTGCACCCCCCTCCCCCGGCATTATGTCTAGGCTTAAATTCTGTTTTCTTGGAATACTGTGTCTCTGAGAAGTTCGTCCTGCTGAACTCGGTGGGCTTTTTGGCCGTCTGAAGCTCGTGGAGGAGGACCTCAATGGCTAGTGGTCCATCAGTGCAGTGGCTGCTGCGCCTTCTCCCCACGCTCCAGCTTCTTGCCTTGCTGGGAGGAGCTTGCAGTCAGAGGCACAGCTACCAGGACGCCCCCTCTCCCTAGGCTTTGGGAGCATAAGGCACCCCCTCCGACCGTCCCCCAGACCGGAGCCATTCTCTCCTAACTCGCCAGCCCCTCCAAGCTCGTCAGCCCGCCCCTCTGCCTGTGGTACCCACCTTCTCTCCATTCCCTACACAAGCCGAGCTTCCTGCCTCAGGGCCTTTGCCCATGCTGTCCCTCTGCCTGGCACATTCTTTCAGCAGCTACTGCAGGGTCTCAGCTCAGATGTTCCCTCCTGGAAAGGGTGTTCCTGACCACCACATGGCAAGCTCTGCACAGCGCCCACTTATTCCTTCAGAGCATACAAGGCTGGGACCAAGTCTGCTTTGTTCCCTACCACACCTCTAGGGCCTAGAACAGCCCTGGCCCGAGTCAGTGCTCAATAATTGTCGAGGTAATGAATGGACAGGAAAGGTCAGGAATAGCTAGGGGCAGGGGGATGGGTCATCTGCACTGCGTGTGCCGGTTCTTCAGCGGGGCCCGAGATCACGTTAAGAATAGCAGTGCCAGTAGCCAGTTGTATAACGTATCTCGGGGCTTCTCATGTTATCATCATGACAGTTTCCACGTCTGAGCACGACTGAGTGCCAGGCCTGTGCTCGGCTTCTTGGAAATAGTACCTGGACTCCTTATCAAATCCAGCCAAGGAGCCGGTGGGAAATGAGGCCTGGCGAGGTCAGGTCTGCCGAGCGTCCCAAGGTAAATACCGGGCAGAGCTCCCTCATGGCGCGCCCGCTGCTTGTGAGGCCCGGAATCTTGACTTTGGTACCGCGGTGAGGTGTGTGTCCTCTGGCTTAATGCCCGGCAGCCAGAATAGGAGTGACAGGTAGAGGCCAAGGCGCATACCCATTTGGCTGAGTGTGTCTGATTTCAGTGCTCACCTTGTGCTTGCCCACGTGGGAGCAGAGGAGAAAGTGGTTATGAGATAATCAAGTGCCTTCGTACCTTTCCTTTTCTTTTCTGTTGATTTCAGAGAGAGGAAGTGAGAGGGAGAGAGAGAGAGAGAGAAACATCAATGAGAGAGAAATAGCAATCGGCTGCCTTCTGCACGCCCCTGACTGGGGATCAAGCCCGCAGCCCAGGCATGTGCCCTGACTGGGAATCAAACCAGCAACCTCCTGGTTCATGGGATGATGTTCAACCAACTGAATCATACCGGCCAGGCATCCTTTGTACCTTTTCTGTGTGCAATGAAAGAGCATCTTGTCACTAACCGGCATTCTTTCCTTTTTTAATGCTAACATTTTATTTAAAGCCCTTTATAGGTTAATTTTAAAAACCGTATGAGCCCAGCTGGTGTGGCTCAGTGGATTGACGTTGTCCCAGGCACCAAGAGGTCACTAATTCGATTCCTGGTCAGGCCTGGGTTGTGGGCTCAATCCCCAGTAGGTGGTGTGCAGGAGGCAGCTGATCTATGTTTCTAACTCTCCCTCTGCTTTCCTCTTTCTCTAAAAAAAATCAATAACAACATATTTAAAACACACACATACACCAAAAGCCCTGCATGATGTATGTCATATTTGTAGTGTGGTTGGCTGAACCATTCTTCTCTACTGCCACATTTCCCCTAGTATAAATAATGTGAGAAATATCCTTGTACATGAATCTGTGCTTGTACTTCTGATTCTTTCCTTGTGTTGAATTCCTGGTAGTCAAGGACATGGACACACTCAGGTTCTTTCTGATGACTTCCTCACAGAGACTCAGGGCCGGGTCTGTGGCTGTTAATCTTCCCCCGGTTAGTCCTCCCATCATTTAGTTCTTTTCTCCCTGAGGGGTCGCCAACATTCCCGGGTAACCACCTGAGATTCGCAGCCACTCTGGTTTCTCTGCAAAGCCCCGAAGCAGCAACCTCTCGGCTGAGAAACAACTACGGATGACTGCCCAGTGGCCCTGCGAAGGGGTGACACTTTCTGGCTCCTTACAGTTAAGAGTATCGAGCATCTCTCTGTGAGTCTGACGTTGGCCGGGGGGTGGCCTTTTACAACCCAAATCCTCTGGATCCAGAGTCATCCCTGCAGAGTCGGGGGGTCTGGTCACTTTCATGGCAACGCTGTCTTTTCTGTCCTCACCTCCCAGGTTTTGGGGCCTTGTCACAGATGCCAGATGATTTGCATTGACCAGCAAACTGGGCAACGAAACCAAGATGTTTTCCAAAAGCTTTCAGAGAGTCGAGAGAGAAAGGTAAGCATGACTGCAAAGGACGGTACCCCATTTCAAAATCCGGGTGTGTTACCTCCCCAGAGTTACATCCCTCATAGCGCCGAGTAATTTTTAGAAGCAGGAAACATTCAAAGGCTGTTGGGCCACCATTAAGGTTCTGACTTCATCTGTGGCACCATCTTATCTTTCCTTTCTGCCTGTCTCTTCACTTGTATGGGGCTCTTATTATGTGTATTTTTAATGCCCTCAAATCATGTTGAAGAGATATGGAGTACAAGTCAAAGTGAGTAAGTGGAGTAATTCTATTTTTGGATTATTCTTTTCTTCACTGCAGAGTTCTTATGAAGAGAAAATGCCTTATGGGGTACAGAGTAGCTGCATAGAAACAGTAATAGATTTCACTGTACTAAGCTTGTAAGTCATCTTCTTGAGGGTGAAGATGCCTGGGCGCTGTCGTGGGGTCCAGATGATAAAAGCTAACCTTACTTATTTCCACTGTTTATTAGAACCGTTTGTTTGCAAAGAATTCCAGGAAGTCAAGTCAGCAGTTAGGCTGCGCAGAGCAATTCTTGAAAATTAACTGAAATAATGCAAATGTTTAATCTCCCTCCAGTAACACATTGGCAGGTTAAATCAGGGTAAAATGTTCTGCACGGCTTCCTGTGTTTCTCCAAGACCAGGGTTTTGTGTCACAGTATTTGATTGACACGCTCTCCCTACAGATATGGGGTAGATATGGTCTTCAGAGATGTTGCACTTGAGCATTATACCAACACGTCTGTCTGCTCAGCAGAGGCTGCTGTATCAACGAGGGGCATAGGGACCTTGAGCCTGCCCCATGCTGCCAGGAGATGGGTGGGCACAAACACTGTGATACATCAAAGCATCTTAGAATTCTCATGTGCACAAATCTTTTATTTTTTTAAAATTTGGAATATTTTTAGATTTACAGAAAAATTACAAAGCTAGCACAGAGAGTTCCTGTGTACTCTTTGCCCACATGTGCACAAACCTTAAGGAATTAATTTGGGGCCTGGAACATGGGGAGCGGGTGGCCAACTGATGTTATCACAGAAATGAACAGGTCTGGGAGCACGTCACCTACGCCAAAGGGTTCTTACTGGCTCACCGGCGGTGATGGCAAACCTCGATCAGACTGCATTTTGGACCCTCCTTCTTTATTCTGGAGAAGCTGGAGAATTTACCTGGCATCACATGTTCTCATGGAAAATGCAGGGTAGACAGGAAGGAGGAAAAGAGTGGGTCCAGCCATAAAGAATATGGGGTGACTTGGGAAAAGACACCTTAGAATGAGGGTCTTTGGAGTCTGCAATGAGGATCCCCCTTGTTTCCCAGGACATATAATTAAATATGTGACTTAATTTCAGTTGAACATTATTTACAAAATGTTTTCAGCCGCTAAAGTAAAATAGTTGTTGCTGCTTTGTCCACAGGTAAACTTTGGAGTGTACCTGATGCATATGTCTTTGGATATTTCTTCTCCATGTTTCCTGTCCGTAGGATCTCAGGTGCTCCCTGTGTTGAAAGAAAATGTAGAATGCCACGATTTACCTGCTTCTGAGAAACATCAGAATGTTGTCTCCTAAGATTCTTTTTTTTCCAGCTTAAATTAAAATTTCTCTTTTCCAACTATCTCCACTTTTACTAAGATCATCATGTGGCTCAGTAGGAAGGACTTGGTCTTTTGAATGAGGAGAGTGCTTTTCCTCTTGGAGGTGGATAGCCCTCTCTCTCGCTTCCCCCTTCCTCTCACTCCTCACTCCCCACCATGCACTGGCCCTGCTCAGGAGGGCAGTTTCGAGGCCCCTGTGCTCTCCACAGGGCAAATTCGGCAGGAATGCCACACCCACACCCATGTATTGGAAGTATGAGTTTTAATGAGATGAGTTTCATGCATGAGATGCTCACTGGGAATATTTAACCTCCTTCATTTTGCCCTTTCCCACACTGTTACTTTGTCTTTAAAAAGAACCTTTAGGTGCTCTTCAGCCCCCTGTATGGAAGAAGTAGTCTAATTTTGAGGGAGTGAGAATGTGCCCCCCTCCCTTCCATGTGCATGGAGGCGGTGGGTCTATGCTCAGGGCTCCTGAGTGTGACTTGTAGCCCTGTTCCTTAGCAGGGGTTCGGCCAGGATATCCATGTATTGAGCAACGGCACAGGCCATTGACCCCTTCCTCTTGCTTCTGATCCCTGCCCACCGTTCCTCTCCCACTGTGAGCTGATGCACCAAGGAGTCACACTCAGTGAGGGCGGTGTTATTTGAGCAATTGTGTTCCCTCCACAAGACCCCTGGACAGTGTTGGTCCACTGACCCCAGAGTCTTCAGACCCCAGTCAAGAGGAACCCTGGAGATTGAGGGAGTCTGTCTGTACCACTGTGACCAGCGCTCTTGCAGGCTCCAGCTGCACAGGTAATGAGGTTACCTGTCCCATGAGTTGCTCACAGTTTCCTCCCTATAGTGAGCTTGTATCTGCATCCCGGTGACTTCTGGCCATGGGTCTTCCCTGTTGTCTAGAGAGCAACATAGAGTGAGACTGCACACACTCACACCCACCCTGCTGGCGGCATGGAGTCCCCGTGAGAACCCCAGGCCATTGGCCAGGTCTTCAGCCCTTTCCACCTGCGCCCAATGCCCACAGCCTCTTCCTAAAGCCAGTGTCCCCGCACTTCTCTGCTGCCGGTGCTGCTCAGGCTGCTGTGTCTCATCTATTCAGAGCCCCGGGAATTAGGAGTTGTTTGTTTCGCTATCTTATTTGTAGGAGCGGTGCTGTTCCCGGCACGTGGAGCTTTGGAAGGTGGGGTGTGGCTCTGTTCTCTGGGTGCTGAGCTCAAGCCTTGTGCTCGCACTGTCGTTGGCATGCAGGACTCCGGGTAAGGCCTCTGACTCAGGGGTTTTGAGGTCAGTGAGAGGAGGCACTTGAGGTTAGGTGGGGATTTCATGATTTCAAACTTTATTGAAAACTCGACCTCTTTTAAGACCCAGCACTACTGCCTGCTGTATATGGGCCTGTCCTCACCAGTAAGCCACCTGAAGAACAGTACTTCTCATCGAGATTTCTGCATCCTGTGGGATGGCTTCCTATGCAGACTCTCGTGCATTTATAATTCTGTGTCCCTTCCTTGGTTCCCACTTCCTGAAGTTCGGCTCGATGTGCTTCTAAAGAATATGAAAATCAAGGACAATGTCCCTTGAAACTACGTCTAACACCGAATCTCAGAGTCACCGAAAGTCAGATTGTGTGTGTGTGTGTGTGTGTGTGTGTGTGTGTGTGTGTGTGTGTGTTTTACCAGTCCAGGGTACAGGCAACATCAGCGTGTCTTTCTGAGTGATCCCTCCATGATCCTTGAAGCTGGGGAGAGGTTCTCTTTGGCATGCCTTAGGGCAGTGGTTGGCAAACTGCCGCGCGGCAAACCGTGGCTCACGAGCCACATGTGGCTCTTTGGACCCTTCAGTGTGGCTCTTCCACAAAATACCGGCTCTTCCACAAAATACTAACTTCTGCACATGGGCCACGAAGTTTCAATCGCAGTGTAAGGGCGCGCCCCCACGTGGTATTTTGTGAAAGAGCCACACTCAAGGGGCCAAAGAGCCGCATGTGGCTCGTGAGCTGCGGTTTGCCGACCACGGCCTTAGGGTAAATGCCAAGATGCCTTTGAGGAAGGTGGTGGTGCTGACTTTTCCCCAGAGAGATGCAACCTCACCCCCTCCTCAGCCTTGTGGGATGGGGAAGGCAGGCAGCGAGTCCTTCCTCCTGTTGAATGATGTCCATGCGTTTGCTTTCCGTTCAAGATGTGCCAAACAGGATGCAGGGCTACGGAAATGAAAGATGACACAAGAGGGGAAAGAGACTAAGAAGCAGGTGTGAAACAGAGTGTGTCTAAGACATGGCTCTCCTCCGATGCCTGCATTTTTAGTTTGGGGAGCGTTCTGGGCACAACTGGAAACAGAAGGAAAGCTGACAGACACTTTCCAGTGTGCCTTTTTGCAATTCCCTTGTCCTGTGCTGACAAAATTAACCTTTATGTATCTCATCTTGCAAATCCCCAACTAAACATCATCCTATATGAGCAAGTTATTGAGCATCTCTTAGCCTCATCTGAAAAGTGATGAAAACCACGGCACTTAGCTCACAAAATTGCTTGAGAATTAAAAGACATTTTGAGTTTTAGCAGTGTGGCAAAATCATGCTTGAGTAAGCCACGTCTGCCACCTGGTGGTAGCCTTAGGTAAGTGCAGCTTTTGTTACTTTAAGAGGCTGAAAACTAGTTCAGATTGGTCAGCAAATCCGAAAGGGTAGCGGGCATTAGGGCAGGTCTCTTGCCTGGCTTTCCTAACAGACCAACTCTGAGCAATTGTCATTACCAATGTTGGTGTCCTTTAAAAGTTAGTTCCTGAGTCACTTCTTGGTCAGATTAATTTTCAACTTACATTGCATCAACCATTCTTTTTGGGGCCCCTATTTTTTCTTAGGATTTTCAAAAAACCTATGCTGCTTCGAATCAGCTGTTTTGCCAGGTATGTATCTCTGTCTCATTATCTCTCTTTCTCTATATAAAGTCTTAAAATACAGTTCCTGGTCTCAGCTACAGATCCAGGTTTTGTGGCTGTGAAGCTTATGCAATTTTAAAATCATCTTTAAGGAAAATAATACTAAATAAAAATTAGGTACAAAAAGGGAATATTCCTTGGCTGGGAAAAGAAAGGGTTTTGGAAGAGGTCTGTGCAAGTGACAGGCCCTGACCCTACGCTTTGTTCTGTCTGCAATGAATCCACGTTTGCCAGGTTTTCTTGCTGCTCTCCTTTCCTGTTCCTGCTTCCTTTTTTTGCAGTTTTCAGAATAAACCACATTTTGTTCACTTTCTAAAATAAACAGCCACACGAAGACCTGTCCTGGTCTTTTATCTTCCACCTGTGGCGGGAAACGAATTGTTTCCACTCCAGGGGTCCTCAAACTTTTTAAACAGGGGGCCAGTTCACTGTCCCTCAGACCATTGGAGGGCTGGACTATAGTTTAAAAAAAAACTATGAACAAATTCCTATGCACACTGCACATATCTTATTTTGAAGTAAAAAAACAAAACGGGAACAAATACAATATTTGTATTTGCATGTGGCCCGCGGGCCATAGTTTGAGGATCCCTGATCTATACGCCCCTGAAAACAGCCACTCTTTAGCCTCTTCTCAGGCCTGAGGGTGCAGCAGGGTCTGCTCTTAGGAAGATCATCCAGGGAAGGCACATGTAGGCCTTGGAAATAGAGGTCATTTGGGCAGGGCATTCTGTGGTCCCAGGTGCTTGGAGAAAACTCTAAAGAGAGCAGGGTGGGTCACAGGTGGGCATGAACTCAGTTCTATGGACTCCTTGCCCTTTAGAAGGGTGGGCAGAGCGAGGCCCTGATAGCACGAAGCAGAAGGCAGGGCCCTCTTGCTCTGGCCAAGGGAAACACTGGTAAGAACTCTTCTGGGTGAAGTGAGCTACCACTGAGAGAAGACCTACAGATGCTCAAGGAAAAAGCCATTTGTCCACTGGCTTCATCTACAGTGAAGCCCACCAGGCAATGTGCCCGTTACACCCTAGGGCAGTGGTCGGCAAACTGCGGTTCGGCAAACCGCTGCTCACGAGCCACATGCGGCTCTTTGGCCCCTTGAGTGTGGATCTTCCACAAAATACCGACTTCTGCACATGGGCCATGAAGTTTCAATCGCACTGTATGTGCGCGCCCGCACGTGGTATTTTGTGGAAGATCCACACTCAAGGGGCCAAAGAGCCGCATGTGGCTCACGAGCCGCGGTTTGCCAACCACGGCCCTAAAGCTTCCAATCAGCTTTTTTTTTTTTTTTTTTTTAATAAATATATTTTATTGATTTTTTACAGAGAGGAAGGAGAGAGATAGAGAGTTAGAAACATCGATGAGAGAGAAACATTGATCAGCCGCCTCCTGCACATCTCCTACTGGGGATGTGCCTGCAAGCCAGGTACATGCCCTTGACCGGAATCGAACCCAGGACCCTTCAGTCAGCAGGCCGATGCTCTATCCACTGAGCCAAACCGGTTTTGGCCCATCAGCTTTTAATGTAAATGAACAGCCAAGAGCCACAGAAAATTTGAGGATAACCTCTACTATAAAGGAACAAAACTGAAAGAAAGAGGAAAAGAAAACCATTTCAAAGACTACAGAAACAATGTAATGAAATGAAAACTTCAAGGAAAATGTAATTAATATATCAGGAAAATGCTGGAAGCAAGAATAAGGTGCCTTTTAACAAGAGACCAAGAAAAAGCGATTGAAAATGAAAAACACGAATGCTGAAATTAAAAATTCAGTAAAAGAGAAGGAACATGTAGTTGAAGAAATTTCTCAGAAAATATAACAACGTAATAAGAACTTAACAGAGTGGAAAAGTTAAGAAAGTTAGAGGATCTGGTTAGTGGTCCAACATCCAAATAACGGGAGTTCCAGCAAGTAGAGAAAACTGTGGAGAGGAAATGATCCGAGATGGGATCCCAGGACATCCCCACAAGTCAAAGAACAGGATCTCTGGGTCAAAAGTACCATGGAACGTCAACATGATGAATGAAAAGGAACTCACAGCAGGCCACGTCAGCAGGACATTTCAGTGTATTGCAAATAACC